GTTGATGTAGAATTCTCCAACATTTCTATCTCTGCTTATCTCTCCCGCCTGAAGCAATTCTATTCCTGTGCCCGCATATGCTGCGATTATCAAACGCATAGTGTGGATATTAATAATCTTCAAGGATGTGGCTTCTCTCAAATTGTGTCCTAGAGCCTATCTGTGCCCCTGCCATAGATTTTAGGATATGGGATTAACATGTGTGTTAGTCTAAACTTTGTCTTATTTCATACAAACATCTTTAGTCTAACTTATTGTCTTATTTCATACAAACAACTTTAGTCTAACTTATTGTCTTATTTCATACAAACATCTTTAGTCTAACTTATTGTCTTATTTCATACAAACATCTTTAGTCTAACTTATTGTCTTATTTCATACAAACATCTTTAGTCTAACTTATTGTCTTATTTCATACAAACATCTTTAGTCTAACTTATTGTCTTATTTCATACAAACATCTTTAGTCTAACTTATTGTCTTATTTCATACAAACATCTTTAGTCTAAACTTTGTCTTATTTCATACAAACATCATTAGTCTAACTTATTGTCTTATTTCATACAAATATTTTTAGACTATGGCCTTGATCTCCCCTTTACATTAGGTCTGGGTTACCATAGTAACAAACTACTCAATCACCGCCCATAAAGCACATTCCAAGCAGCCAATCCTTAACTGACGATTGCCCTGTCTATTCGGCTCATTACGTTAGCTAGTACAAATGTTACCGAGCGGAAATGAGCAGATCACATGTGGTGTGTTGCCGTGCTAAATATGCTAGCACATTCTACGCCGTCCATGTTAAGACTTGTTTTTTTTTTTTTTACAGAAGTAACGTTTTAGTCATTGATAAACAAATGTTGTACACAGAATGAACGTTTATACAGGTAGTTATATCTGGTTATACACAGAGGTAGTGATAGTAAGTTTACACAGAGGTAGTGAAAGAGAGCTTACACAGAGGTAGTGATAGTAAGTTTACAGAGGTAGTGATAGAAAGTTTACACAGAGGTAGTGATAGTAAGTTTACACAGAGGTAGTGATATTAAGTTTACACAGAGATAGTGATAGTAAGTTTACACAGAGGTAGTCATAGAAAGTTTACACAGAGGTAGTGATAGTAAGTTTACACAGAGGTAGTCATAGAAAGTTTACACAGAGGTAGTGATATAAAGTTTACACAGAGGTAGTCATAGAAAGTTTACACAGAGGTAGTGATAGTAATTTTACACAGAGATAGTGATAGAAAGATTACACAGAGGTAGTGATAGTAAGTTTACACAGAGGTAGTGATAGTAAGTTTACTCAGAGGTAGTGATAGTAAGTTTACACAGAGGTAGTGATAGAAAGTTTACACAGAGGTAATGATAGAAAGTTTACACAGAGGTAGTGATAGAAAGTTTACACAGAGGTAGTGATAGAAAGTTTACACAGAGGTAGTGATAGAAAGTTTACACAGAGGTAGTCATACCTAGACGAGAGTAAGTGCGTGTTCTAGAGACTTGAGAGCCCAGATTGTGTCGCTTATAAGAATGTCTATGATAAGACTATTAAAATAATGTGTGGCTTCATTCATCTTAAAGTTATGTCAGTCTCGTGTTGATACCTTGTTTTAGATTGGTGTTTGACAGTCATGGCATTTTTTTTTTTGTTCTTAGCAAGCTGTCAACTTGCAAATGACATGAAATAGTATAGCCCGTAGTGTGTGGTTGTGTGTGTGTGTGTGTGCTGGGGTGTGTGTGTGTGTGTGCAGGGTTGTGTAGGTTATGTCATATAGGGAGTAGATGTTTCTTAGGGTGACGATAAAATTCTCATGAGCCTAAAGAGCCTCACAATGCGCCCACATAAAACCACATAAAAACCGCCACATGATGCCAGATTTCAATTAGAACCGAGTGGACTCAGTGATGATCAATGGTTTTGGTAGAATTTTAGTTTTCGTGTTTTCATCAACTTTACCGTGAGTTTGTCTCCCAACCCTGAGCCCTGCTGTCTGAACTGCTTCACCAGAGTTGCTGGCCCTACCGGAAACATTGTCGAGACGGTCGACGCTCTCTGCCCTGACGTAACCACGTCCAAGTAACTCCACCGCCAGCTGGGTGATGACAAAAATATTTCCTACAACTTGCACCTGCTGTCTAACGTCTCTCTGAAGGTCTGGCTGTGAAGGTGTTTGTTGTAGTGTAACTTAGGAATTTACGTGCCGTATTCTAAATCTCAATGTGTCGACAAAAAAAAAAAGCCATTTTTCGATTCCATGTGAAATAAATCTTTCTCGAATATTCTTATAGAACACTACGGGGGATGGCAACTCGGGATATAGATATGATTTTTAATCCATTTTTAATTACTTAAACCTTTTAAAATAGAATAAAAGCCTCGTAGAAAAAAAGTATTGCTCACCAAATAAGCTGTGTATAATAATGCTGAATTTTATTAGTACTTTATAAATTCACATGCGTTTTTTGAGAAATCGGAAATAACGTACATTTCTACTCCCGGTCGACGGAAATTACTCAAAATTTGACAATAGGCCGAGAATCAGGTATTTTACTTATATTTGAAATTTCGTTCATCTATCTGTAAAAGTAGTCAAGTTATAGGCTTTGAAACACCAAAAGTAGAATAAGTTCCACTTCCGGTTACCGGAAATCGCTAAAAAGTTGGTACAGAACTACAAATTTGATATAATACTTGTATATGAAATTTATCAACCTAGCTGTAACAGTACTCAAGTAATCGTGTTCACAGACACACACAGACATACGGACAGAATTGCAAAGCCCAGTTTTTTCCGCCTCGATTACGCATAGAACGCTGAAATTTTGATAAATCTGCATTCATTGTTTTTGCCCGATTAAAATAAGTCCCTTATGCTCCGTGGTGAACGGAAAAAAGTCACAGGGAAAAAAAAAACAGAAAAAAAGTCAGTTTTTGCTAGGGAAAAAAGTCACAGAAAAAAAAAAGTGGATGTGCCTGATTGCTCCTACCACAGTAATCCCCCCTTACGAACTAGTTGTATAATCCTGTCCCACCCAGCCTTACCCCAGCAACAATGTGCAGCCCGCGGCGGGAGAACTAACTTGCCAGCTTGCCACTCTGATGAAATGTAACTACGGAGAAAACATGGCACCCGATACTGTTGACCTTTGCGTAGCAAGTCATTCTCACCTGACGGCTTGAAATTGCTAGACTATCACGGGGAGCTTTTGGCCCCGGTACCTCGGCGCAGCAGGCGACAGGGAGCAGGCTCTGTTACACGCCATCACCAGATATTTGTCGGCATCTGCTACTGGACTAGTGGGTAACCCAGTACATTGGTGGGTACAACCCCCCCCCCGACTGAATCTTAGTCTTTTATTTTATTGGTAAATATTTGAGGACTGTCCACTACAGTTGGGTACCGGGATACCTTAAATTATTGTTGGTACCTGGATACCTTAAATTATTGTTGGGTACCGGGATACCTTAAATTATTGTTAGGTACCTGGATACCTTAAATTATTGTTGGTACCTGGATACCTTAAATTATTGTTGGGTACCGGGATACCTTAAATTATTGTTAGGTACCTGGATACCTTAAATTATTGTTAGGTACCTGGATACCTTAAATTATTGTTAGGTACCTGGATACCTTAAATTATTGTCGGTACCTGGATACCTTAAATTATTGTTGGCACCTGGATACCTTAAATTATTGTTGGGTACCGGGATACCTTAAATTATTGTTAGGTACCTGGATACCTTAAATTATTGTTGGGTACCGTGATACCTTAAATTATTGTTGCTACCTGGATACCTTAAATTATTGTTGGGTACCGGGATACCTTAAATTATTGTTAGGTACCTGGATACCTTAAATTATTGTTGGGTACCGTGATACCTTAAATTATTGTTGGGTACTGGGATACCTTAAATTATTGTTGCTACCTGGATACCTTAAATTATTGTTGGGTACCTGGATACCTTAAATTATTGTTGGGTACCTGGATACCTTAAATTATTGTTGGGTACCTGGACACGTGATTGTAGGGTAGCTAGCTATCTAGAATAGTTGTCATCTGTGCAGGGAATCGATGTAAGCCAGCCAGTGGTGTAGCGAGCTGCTAATGTGGCTGGCTGCTAGTTTTAATGGACCACCCAGAGTTGGCAACACTTGACTTTATGTGCTGAGAAATAAAAGTATTTGATGCAGTGAAGCATAGGCCTGGGTATACAGTTCATGTCTTTTTATTATATTTTTATTGTCTGATTTCATTTTAAACACAACATAATGAACTTCGATTCATTTAAATGGTCTGTATAAAGAATTAGATAACATTTTATTTGAACCAGACTAGCACAGTTTTTGTTGGCGGTTTTCTCCCCTCACCTGACAGCAAGCCCCCACCCAACCTTATCAACATGTTTGCAAGCATGCGATTCTACACCTCTTTAAATTACCATGTTTTCAAAATATTAGATAATGAATGCACGTAACTTACATGTGTGCATGTGTGCAGAGGGGATGGGAAGGGGGGGGGGGGGGGGTTCACGTAACGAAAGTCAGGCCAGGCGTGCTTCACATTTTTGTCGCGTTTTCTTCACGAACGTTGCTTCACAGGGCGTCATGATTTGTGCTACACAGCATGGCTGAAGGTAGTCTAACTACCACAGGACAACACGAGGTAGTCGTATTATCTTTTGTTTTTGTTGACACTAACACATTCCCTTGAAACAAATGGCCGACACTGATGTTTAGAACAATGTTCTAACACGACTTTCGTTTTACTTTGATAGTTGGTAGCGAAATCTCGAGGTGACCTAGGGTCATCTATTAGAACAACCAGCTCCTGAATGTGACAACATTAATGGTTCCGTCTATCTGGTGCTGGCCAAACTTCCTGCTTGTGTTGCTGGCTAGGTCGAGTGCTGGTTTTTTGCACGGTGACATTAGGCTGTTGTCACACGACACGTTCATCACAACTAACGCCGTCATTTCCGTTGTGTCATTTCAGGTTGTACAGCATAATGAAAGAGTTGGCCTTTGGACAGAAGGACAAGTTCCACAGGTTTGTCTACACATGTCTTTCTTGTTTAACTGGGCTTAACTTGATGTATGAAAGGCACGGTGACCTGCGCAGGCGTGTTGGTGTGTCAGGCATCTTGTCCAACATTCTACTGCACTTGTCCAACATTCCACTGTACTTGTCCAACATTCCACTGTACTTGTCTAACATTCAACTGCACTTGTCAAACATTACACTGTACTTGTCCAACATTCCACTGTACTTGTCCAACATTCCACTGTACTTGTCAAACATTACACTGTACTTATCCAACATTCCACTGTACTTGTCCAACATTCTACTGTACTTGTCCAACATTCCACTGTCCAACATTCTACTGTACTTGTCCAACATTCAACTGTACTTATCCAACATTCCACTGTACTTGTCCAACATTCCACTGTACTTGTCAAACATTACACTGTACTTGTCAAACATTCCACTGTACTTGTCCAACATTCTACTGCACTTGTCCAACATTCCACTGTACTTGTCCAACATTCCACTGTACTTGTCTAACATTCAACTGCACTTGTCAAACATTACACTGTACTTGTCCAACATTCCACTGTACTTGTCCAACATTCCACTGTACTTGTCAAACATTACACTGTACTTGTCCAACATTCCACTGTACTTGTCCAACATTCTACTGTACTTGTCCAACATTCTACTGTACCTGTCCAACATTCCACTGTCCAACATTCTACTGTACTTGTCCAACATTCAACTGTACTTATCCAACATTCCACTGTACTTGTCCAACATTCCACTGTACTTATCAAACATTACACTGTACTTGTCCAACATTCCACTGTACTTGTCCAACATTCCACTGTACTTGTCAAACATTACACTGCACTTGTCAAACATTACACTGTACTTATCCAACATTCCACTGTACTTGTCCAACATTTCACTGTACTTGTCCAACATTCCACTGTACTTGTCCAACATTTCACTGTACTTGTCCAACATTTCACTGTACTTGTCCAACATTCCACTGTACTTGTCCAACATTCTACTGTACTTGTCCAACATTCTACTGTACCTGTCCAACATTCCACTGTCCAACATTCTACTGTACTTGTCCAACATTCAACTGTACTTATCCAACATTCCACTGTACTTGTCCAACATTCCACTGTACTTGTCAAACATTACACTGTACTTGTCCAACATTCCACTGTACTTGTCCAACATTCCACTGTACTTGTCAAACATTACACTGTACTTATCCAACATTCCACTGTACTTGTCCAACATTTCGCTGTACTTGTCCAACATTCCACTGCACTTGTCCAACATTTCACTGTACTTGTCCAACATTCCACTGTACTTGTCCAACATTTCACTGTACTTGTCCAACATTCCACTGTACTTGTCCAACATTTCACTGTACTTGTCCAACATTCCACTGTACTTGTCCAACATTCTACTGTACTTGTCCAACATTCCACTGTACTTATCCAACATTCCACTTTACTTGTCCAACATTACACTGTGCTTGTCCAACATTTCACTGTACTTGTCCAACATTCTACTGTACTTGTCCAACATTCCACTGTACTTATCCAACATTCCACTTTACTTGTCCAACATTACACTGTGCTTGTCCAACATTTCACTGTACTTGTCCAACATTCCACTGTACTTGTCCAACATTACACTGTACTTGTCCAACATTCCACTGTACTTGTCAAACATTACACTGTACTTATCCAACATTCCACTGTACTTGTCCAACATTCTACTGTACTTGTCCAACATTCTACTGTACATGTGCAACATTCCACTGTCCAACATTCTACTGTACTTGTCCAACATTCCACTGTACTTATCCAACATTCCACTGTACTTGTCCAACATTCAACTGTACTTGTCCAACATTCCACTGTACTTGTCCAACATTTCACTGTACTTGTCCAACATTTCACTGTACTTGTCCAACATTCCACTGTACTTGTCCAACATTCTACTGTACTTGTCCAACATTCCACTGTACTTGTCCAACATTTCACTGTACTTGTCCAACATTACACTGTACTTGTCCAACATTCCACTGTACTTGTCAAACATTACACTGCACTTGTCAAACATTACACTGTACTTATCCAACATTCTACTGTACTTGTCCAACATTCCACTGTACTTGTCCAACATTTCACTGTACTTGTCCAACATTCCACTGTACTTGTCCAACATTTCACTGTACTTGTCCAACATTCCACTGTACTTGTCCAACATTTCACTGTACTTGTCCAACATTCCACTGTACTTGTCCAACATTCCACTGTACTTGTCCAACATTCCACTGTACTTGTCCAACATTTCACTGTACTTGTCCAACATTCCACTGTACTTGTCCAACATTTCACTGTACTTGTCCAACATTTCACTGTACTTGTCCAACATTACACTGTACTTGTCCAACATTCCACTGTACTTGTCAAACATTACACTGCACTTGTCAAACATTACACTGTACTTATCCAACATTCTACTGTACTTGTCCAACATTCCACTGTACTTGTCCAACATTTCACTGTACTTGTCCAACATTCCACTGTACTTGTCCAACATTTCACTGTACTTGTCCAACATTCCACTGTACTTGTCCAACATTTCACTGTACTTGTCCAACATTCCACTGTACTTGTCCAACATTCCACTGTACTTGTCCAACATTCCACTGTACTCGTCCAACATTCCACTGTACTTGTCCAACATTTCACTGTACTTGTCCAACATTCCACTGTACTTGTCCAACATTCCACTGTACTTGTCCAACATTACATTGTACTTATCCAACATTCAACTGCACTGAAGAACTCTGACTATGAGGTGATGTTAAGACCTTATAGTCTGATCACATCTGTCCGTTGATCAGGAAAGAGGGGAGACCACTTAGTTGGTATCCACCAAAACAAACATAACCTATCTCATTGAAATAAATCAATATTGGGGGTCGGGGGGGGGGGAGGAAGAGTTAAAGTTAAAGCAAATATTTTCAGTAGAATTTAATATAATTTTAAAAATGTCCTCGCTTGTGGGGGAGGGGGGGGGGAGGAGATGTCCGGGAGAGGGTGTCGCCCTCGGAGAGATGCCTGAAAGAAACCCTGTTCAGTACTAAGTCGGCAGTTTTGGAGCGAGAAAGTTTTGATGACATAATAAAGGATTAAAGGTATCCTTCAAAGAAAGCCCCACCTGCAGTTTATTAATAGAAACAAAATGGTTGTCTGACTCGTCAGACAGCACACTGACAATAAATACAATACAAACAGCCCTCCTGTATAGACGCTACACTTGTACATTGAGATAACATACAGTCGTTAAGTTTGCAGAAAAATGTTACGAAAACAGCTCAGTGCTGTGTTTATTGTAGTTGGTAATGCCTATCAGCTGGTCACGTGATTCATGCCACGTTTGGTGAAACCAGTCGCGTGGCAAGGGACGTAACGCGCTTTTTTTTAAAAATAATTATTTTTATCTCCCTTTGCAGCAGGTTTCAGTTCTTGTTTATGCTGGAAACCGAGACGGTCAACAGTATCGCCATGTCTTTCTTGCCCGTGCCAGTCCTGATGGTCATGGACACCACTGACCATATGTACTACATGACCCCGGCTGTTGAAAACCTGACTATCGCCACAATGGGAGATTTTCTAATCAGGGTAGCTGAGGGTAGAGAACAGGTTAGATAGATAAAATGCACCCTTAACAACATTAGAGTCAAAGTATCAAATGTAGCCCTAACCACATTTCATGTCTAGAGTCAAAGTATCAAATGTAGCCCTCACAATATATATTTTTTAATAACTTTAAAATAATACATTTCCAGGCATATGGTGGGACTGGCTTTTTGATGAGTTTAAGGAGAGTTGTGTTTGACATCGCATCACTGATTGTGGTAACCAGTTTATTATAGTCAAATTATTTAAAAGTCATGAAGCTAGAACTAATGTTGAAAAAGTTACATGTAAAAGTCCCTTCATTCTGTTTATATTTTGTGTTGCAAGTATTGAATGTTGTCCACTTGCTCCCCAGAGTATCTGGCAAGCCTCCCGCTGGCTGTTCCTGCTGATGTTTGGCCTGCCCACCCTGATCATCTCATTCATCTGCTACAGTCTGTGCTGTATGGAGGCTATTGATGACCTGCCTGATGAGGATGAGGATGGTGAAGAGAGAGACCAGCTTTACGATGCACCTCCTCCCCCTTTAACCTCAGGACCTGACACCCAGCCTCCCCCTTATGGTAACATTCACAGGCCTAAAATATGGGACCCTCCAGCAGAGTGCCTAAGCCCTTATGGCTGAAGTTTTATATCTAGTCATGAAGGGCCTTAACGCTGTAGACTTGAAACATCTTAGATATCATTTCTAATGATCCAAGTTTTATATCTAGTCATGAAGGGCCTTAATGCTGTAGACTTGAAACATCTTAGATATCATATCTAATGATCCATATTGTAATTTTGAGAAATTTTAATTTGAAAATGTCAAAATTATTGGTTTTCTACTTTTAAAAGAAATTATTTTTAAAAAGTTATAGTTATATAATGGGTAACTAATTAGAACTGGCAAACAGCCCAAAATTAATGTCCTACATTCCCTCATGTTATGTTGGGCCTTAAGTACAAAACTGAGGCGAAAAGCAACTAATTGAAACAACTCTTTTTGTCATGGTAGATCATATGCATTAAAATGTTGTTTTAAACCTAGAAAGATGTTTATTTTAACTAAATAATAGCACAGCAATTTTTATGGTCCTTAACATTACAGACAAAATTTGTAAATTCTGTTCATAAATTTTGAACTTTAGTTCAAGTAAATATAACATTGGTAATTTATAAATATGTCATTCTCAGTTATAAATCTATTTCTAACTATCTCAGTTTTCTTTCTAGAGCATTTGTTTTCATATCATTTATGCTTAACATTGGATATATATGAGCCGAATAAATCATTTTCAATAATTTACAGAAGCTATAGACTGCCCACCCAAAACTGAAGAGGAGAAAAAGAAAGAATAAATCCATGGATGAAAAGTGTGATCAGAATAGATGATGCTTTGATTCTCTCCCAGAACTTGACGCTATGGACTACAAGGCTTTTTTTCTATTGTAGAATTGTTAGGTACCATAGTCTTACAAATAGTCAAAAATTAAATCTTTTTTCATTGAGTAAATTTCATAGTGCCATTTCAAAATCCTATCTTGTACTTTGTTGGACAGAAATATTACTATTCTTCTGTAAATGCTGTTATTAAAAATATAGGCCCTATTTCTATTTTAACCACAGTGTAATGATCAGCTTTATGAATGAAAAATGTATAATTTTACTCCCATTATATTCCACAGTGTAATGATTAGCTTAATGAATGACAAATGTTAATTTTACCTGGGACAAAGATTTACTCATGTATAAGTCATTTTAAGAAATGTGCAATGCATTTAAATTATGATGCCAGCTCAACTACTGGCATAATATGCATCTGTGTTCATTCCATTATTTTTAGTGTTCATATTAATTGTATAAATCTAGACGTTTAAAATCTGTTTCCTCTTACTTTTTGTTTAATTTTTATCATATAAATGTATAGAATAAAACTTCCCATATATAACGGAGAAACTCATTTTTATCAATTATGCAGTATAAAAAAAGTACCAAAAAAAACTGCACTGGTCCTAAAATTAGAATGCTCATGTTTTTTTATATCTATTCAATGATTCCTTATTTATAAGCCAAAGAAAACTTGCCTCTAAAATATTTGACTGAAATATTTGTTCAAATTCTGCATTTGATATGATATCTTCTTGTGATGTATGAACCTACATATCCAACACTTTGTTTACAGGACTGTGATAGCTTCTGTAGTTAACACAGGGAATCCTGCAACAAAATAACTCTGAGAATCCTATCAATAGATATTTATTACAACAAAGAAACAAAATAGTATAACATGGGAAAACTTTTATACTTTTGGTAACAAGAATGTGTGCAGTTGAAACATTTTTGCTATCAAATGACGATAAGATTGAGAGGGTAAATGATTAAATTATTGAATTCTAGTGATGCGTACACGTCAGGTATCAAGTGAGATATAATATATGGATATTAAATGAAATATTAAAATTGTAATATCGAATTATCTTCTTGCAAATTCAAATAATAAATATTTTATTTTAACTTATATTATAATTAAGAAGAAAAGCAGAAAGCATAAATATAGTTTTGAAATGCATTTATAATCTAATTTAGAGTTAATTTTTATTTTTCAAGTTATGTTCTTAAGCTATTCAAAAGAGAACATCTACATATTTCATGTGTATTATTGTTTACAAACTTTGATTGGTCTGTTAAACGTGTCTGTTTTTCATGCAACCTTGTCCACTGTCCTCACCTGGTAAACTGCAATATTTTCATGTACAAGTGTGTCACATATCCATAGTTTTTCTTTACTCTGTAAGATGTTTCACTTCATTGGAGCAACTTTTAATCTATTTGATGCAAATTAAGGACAGCTGGAAGCAGGTTAAATATTTTACAACCACTCATATTTTTCTGGTAACTGAACTTTGGTAAAATTGGCATTTCTTTTCCGTTGCATGAAAATTAAGCAATATTTGAAGAAAAAACACAATAAACATGTTTTTAAAAATACTTTTGAGATTTAACTGTAATGCTATTTAAAAGTAACTAAAAATAATTGTAAAGCATGTTATGGCTACAAATATGAACCATTTTCTATTTAAAAAGAAAAAATGCTGATTTATGAGTATATAGACATTACTATTGTTGTTTCCAAAATTTTCAAAGCAATGAACAACTGTTTAGAAATATATGGAAATTTGATGATGCTCTACTCATTTACTTTATTTTATATTTAGGCAAGCAAATTTGTAATCAATCTATCATTATCTTTGACAGTGACAAATTCAAATAGTCATCCAATATTACATATGTTTCAAAAATGTTTAATGTTTTGCCAGATTTAGTTCATTGTGATTACTTTCTAACTCAATTAATTGTTACATGTAAGTGGCCTTCATTGCTTTAGAAATAATGTGTTATCTAATAGAATAGCACATAGAACAAGATTGTTGGAAACTATGATACATCTTTTTAAAAGACTGTTCCATATTCACATCTTAACGCACCTTTTTAATGTAACAGCGCATATATAAAAATAAAATTTTTAAAAATGTATTTGATACAACGCAACCCTGCAACTTTATTTTTAAACATTCTGTGCCAAACAGTTGTAGAATTCAGTGTTCAGTAGACAGTATTATAAATACATCTTACCTTTATTATTTTTAAACTAGATTGACTGAAAAATTGTACTCTTTTTTTTAAATATTTTCTTTACTATAGCCTTAACTTTTGCCTTTTGTGTTGTATTTTATGTTGATTTAGAAACTTCACTGACCAACAGTATTTAGATTGAGCATTAGATTGACAAATTGACTCCTAAAATGAGTACCTGGCTAAATGCTGACCATGCTATCCCATCATATGCCATGGCCACTGAAACAGGTGAAGTCTGTTTCCTTTGCCCCGAATAGGTACCTTACTTTACTAATAAATGCCAATTGATTAAAATATTTCAACATGTATATTTTTGTCTAAAAGCCTGCATACATTTTATGCAAAGCAGAATCATTTGTTTTTTAAAGGTTATCAGACAAGCAGATTTAAAAGAACATTTATAATGTAAAATTAAACAATTGTAAACAAATTATCTGTTTTAGATAGTTTAGTTTTAATGCATTTTATTTATAACAGTTCTCTTGTATTTTTTCAAAATTTGCATCTAATCATTAAATTATTGAATGTTAAATGTTCAAAAATGGTTTTTTTTTTTATCTCTCAGAAAAGTTCTTGTTTATAACAACTTCTTTTTTAAAAAGTCCCTTCAGTTGATTTAGTATTTTAACTTAAAATTTCTGGTAAGAAGGAGACATAAATGTATATGGCGTTTTTATCTTCTGAGTAAACTTTTTAAAACATTGAAACTAAAGCTTTAAAATTACTGATTGTTAATAATCTAAATCAAATTTACAAAAGTATAGAACTAAATTAAAACTAACCAAATTAAATAATAGAATTAATTATAAATTGTTTTTAAACTTAAATATTGACTTTCTCTTGCATCTTTACCATATCTACTAGTAGATCTACATAGATCTACTAAAAAGTGAAAAATAAAAAAAAGTGATTGAGATATGGATCAATTTTAAAGAAAAATATAAGCTTTGTTAAATGCACTGTGAAATCAGAAATAAAATAAAAACTTTCTTCTGTTATATGTCACTAAAAATTGCGTAAGGAATGTAATAAGCGACAAATGGTTTTTACTAAACGCTGTTAGCGTTATTCGGTTATTAGTTTTCTTCCGGTATTTAGTACAGCCATAGTATTTATTTATTGTGACAAAAAGTTTAACTTACTTTAGCCTAAATTTAATCATTAGATAGATCTAGATCTAGACGTCTATCTAAATCTAGACTCCACAAAAAGATGACTTCAGTTTTGCGAGTTAAACGAAGGATAGACGAAGATCCTGTCGAGGCTTTAATTGTTTCTTGTAAACGATTTCGTCATATTGAAGATCAAAATTTAGAGAAAAGTATTTTTTCGTTTGCTGGTACAATTTCTTCAAAGGTAACAATTACAAACAAAAACATTCATTTTTTTTAAAAACAATAGTTAAGTAAGTAAGACAAGACTAAGAGTAGTCTAGAATACTTGATCTAGATATAGATATTACTAGATAATGATAATATTCTAGATCCTTTACTAACTTAACAAACAGACTCATAACTTCATAACTTATGATGAGTCATAGTGAGGCCTATTCTTAACAATTAACAAAACAATCTAGTTCTAGAATCTAGAATTTTAATCTAAATTTATAATATTAGGTTAGGCCTAGGATCTCTTGGGTAATCTATCGTTTTAGGTAGATTCTACGTAAAATCGCCTGCGACTAGTAATGTGAAAAACAGGTGACTACTTAAATTTTAATAATTATTTCACATTTTTAGGAGGATTTATATTTTGAAAAATACAAAAATGTTTCCTCATTTCATAGGGTTGATTCTAAATATCATCCAAACTTTTCAGTAATAAATGAAGACTATCGATGTTTCCGACAGATGCAACCATGCTCATTTACTATAGCAGCCATCTTGCTTAAGTTCATTTTTTGTAAACTTATAGCGCGAGATTCAGGGGAAGGCAACTCTATTTTACAAATGGTTGCTGTTTATATAGGAAATCTTGCTTGCAAACACTGCTGTTTAAAGTTAATTTCTGGCCTATATTGATATATTTAGACATTCATTTAGGTTTATTATTCATGTATCTATAATATTTGACACAAATATATCACAATATACTTCTATTAAAACCTTGACAGTGAGGTAACTTTTTCGTACATTTATAGCCGCGGGGGATTTTATGTACCTAAAACGATAGATTACCGGATCTTGATCTAAAATAAATGAAATTTAATAAATAGAGTAGTGAGTAGAGTGTTATACATATATTTTATCTATCTTCTAGCAAAGTTCAGCTAATGTGTCAACACAAACTTTTGTTCTTTTAATATTAAGAATGAGGAAATGCAGACAAGATTTGTCTGTATTAATACTTTTAAAGTAAGGTCAAACAATACTGCAATTACTAGATCTAGTGAACTCTGAAACAGTGTAGACATCTTCTTAAACATTTATTTAAACTATTTTAAACATTAACAACTACCAAAATATTTGTTAATAGGCCTATATATATATAATTATATATATATATATATATAATATAGGCCTATATTTTTTTTAAAATACATGTTTAGGGTCAGGTGCTGGCCAGGGTAAAACTCCATTTTAGCGTATTTTATTCCCCGTTTCACGTTCGCCTTCAGTTGAGCGTATTTTTTTTAATAAATACAACCGAAACGCACAAAAACGTTAGGAAATCACTCTGCCTATTTGGAATATTGAATTTGTACTATTTAGATCTAGATTCTAGAAGAAACTGCATGATACTATAAATTAAATTACTTGAACTCACAATGACTTTAATTGCCCTAAGCTATGGCGTATGCTGATTATTTAAGTCAATGTGAACTCATGGTGAACCCTTGCCTTGACCATGTAGGGATTTTTCTCCCACCGACGATCACGCGCCATTTAATTAAACAGTAGGCCTATTGCTTATTTATAACATTTTTTTACCTTTTCTAATTAAAACACTTTCATTAAAAAATAAGTAGATCTATATCTATCTTTTAATGATTGTAATCCTTGTGTTTTCCTAATGTTTTTGTGTTTTGGTTTTATAATAAAATACGCTCAACCGGAGGTGAACACAAATAAAATACGCTAAAATGGAGTTTTACCCTGGCCAGTAATACTTATTAGTAGGCCTGTATAAAATGTCATTGTCAACCATTTTAATTTAAGATATAGTTTCTAACCCAAATGTAACAAAACAATCTTTTACTTTTAAACTCTTAATTTCCTTGGGTGATTAGGATGAACCAGTGTCAAGGCACATCAAAGAAGCAATCAGAAAGACCAAACTACATCAGCACAACAAAGATTTCAGACATACTCATCACAGACCTCAGTCAATTAATGACATTCGTTTACAGAAAGAACAAGCATCTAAGGCCTCACGGTTTCGGGTAACTTGTAGTAAAAGAGCATTAGATTTGGAGCTGTTGGATAAGGATCTTAACACAGCCTCCGCTGATGTAGATGTAGCAGGTGCTGTAGGAGAACTTTGTAGAGATTCTTTAGAACACAAATGTCCAGAGGTGGATAAAGAAAATAACAAAGATGATGGAAAAATCAAATGTGATAAAGATAATTGTAAAATAGACAAGTCTTCAATTTTAAACCCTACAACAAAGGTGCTATGTTCTAAAAACACTCATATTTTACCAAAGCATGAAGCGGGTGAAGGTGATAAATGTTCTTCCGACAAAGAAAATAATGTTATATGTATGTATGATGTGGAGAATGAAGAGGAGGATGACCTTCTTAATGCAAAAATACAGGTTAGTTGTTATCTTTTTTCTCTTAAGCTAAAATATTTGTGTTATAAATATTCACTCATGATCTTATAAAATTTGAGTGTAAAAACTTCATATTACAATTCACATTTCAGGAATGTTCTAGTGGGATAACACTAAATAATGTCTCTCTGGTGACTAAAAGAGTTATGTCCCCTCCTAAAAGTGAATCTCAGTTTGTATATGACCTCTACTATACACACCATGACCTGAGTCACTTTGACCCAGAAGCGGTTTTAACTGTAGAAGCTTTATGTGAGGAGTATGTCAATGATGAAAACCATGGACGTGTGGATCATGAGTTTGACAATAATGAAAGTGATGACAGCAATGATGAAAACAACTGGAGAAATGATTACCCTGATGAGGATCCACACTTTTTTGAGAATGAGGATACTGAATATGGGTATGCAGAAGGTGAGTGTGTTAAAACAATTCTTGATAATGATTTTATATATTATTATTTTATATTATTTCATAAATAATTGTAGGTTTAAATTTCTAACATTTAAGTATGTAGTTCCCTAGCAGTATTGTCTAAATGTGTGATCATTTTCTTGAGCAGACATGGTTGAGACCAACTTCTTGTGTGAAGATGACAGCGACCTCTTGACCTACTGGATGAGTACTAGATGTAGAGTGTCAGCTGGTCAGTATACCTTTGTTTACATTTCCTTTTAACTGTCATTTTGATGTTAATTGTTTGCCTTTTACATTTACTATTGTTAGCAATAGCATGCCTGATAAAATGGGTTGTTGAAACTAAAATCTTTTCTTTAGTTGACAGCGTAAGTACTTAAACCCAATATTCCATAACAGTTGTATCATGCACATTTTTTGATAATTAACATTATTATATTGTAGATGGGGAATCTGATAATGGTGAAGATGAATATGAAGATGACCATCAAGATGACTGTGCCTCCAGTGAAGAAACTTGAGCTGTTTGGATGACATAATAGTTTCTCGTCTTTTTTTCTTATTTTCTCTCAGTCTTTTCTATTTCTCTATGCAGATCTAATCACTGCTTTAAGTGTGGGCATAAATTATTAATGCTTTTTTAAACAATAAAAACTATGCATCTTATCTCCTTGTTTATAATCTTTTTATCCTATCACAAAAAATTTCTTCAATTTATCACTAGGGTGATAATATGTTTTGCATTTTAGTTTTAAAAATAGCATGAGCTAGTAAAAATAACTCTGAAATTTTTTTTTAAATAAATACTGAAATACAAGCATTCCAACATTTATTTATTTGATTACCTGGTTTAAATTATTCATCTTACATTTAATGGATAATATTGCACTATCCACTTTGACAGTTTGCACAAATAATACATATCTCTAAAAAAAAAGATTATAAAAAGCACAATTACATTTTGAAAAATGAAAATATGGTTTAAAACATGAATTCTGGTATCACTTTACCAAATTAAAAAATTAATTTTTATTCGTAAGGTATAAATAAAATACATGCAATAGGAATGGTTCTGTTCCACATACAATTGATTACTCATTTAAGCTCAACTATAAATATATATATATATATGAGCAGTTGTAATATTTCATAGTTTAATTCTCAATATTTATTTTGTATTGGTCAAGTTTGTTTACTAATTGAACTTTTAATTGATTACTGCATGCATGTAATTTGTAACTTAGGGTCTCAAGCTCACATACAAAATAACAATAGAAACATAATTTGAAATGCAAAGAAAATTCTTTGAAATATGCATAGACATGTGATAAAAATTTATTTTATACAAAACCAATTGTGTATGTATGATAAGTTTTCAGCATACAATCTATGACACAGCCATACTTTGTTCAGCTGAGACAAAAATTTAGTATATCTCCTTTACTAGTTAGCCAACAAATGGATTATGGTATTTCCTTAAAAGTAATAACAACAGAAGGTAGCATTTCTCTGATCCCTTCTATACTGAGATCGCTGTCACAGACAGGGTTGCCAGATAAATCTAAAAATGTTAGACCCAGGCAGGTCTTCAGTTGCTGGAGGCTCTCAGCTGTTGAGATATCTGACAGTTGGTTAAGAACTCTGACCATTGGTAATGGGGGTGGGTGGGTATCAACTGACCACACAGAAATTAGGCCATAGATTCAATCCAATGTTAATTTTTCAACTGATTGCGTGAAACCAGAGGACATTTGAAGTCAAGTAATAATTCAAATTTTCTCAAGTCTTAAAATAGTGGAAATAAGAAATCTATTTTTAAAACTTAAATATTACCTAAATAATTAAAAGATATTTAAATTATTATTATATTTAATCTAAGTGATTTGATCACACATTTATGAGCTAAACAAACAAAAAGCATTTGTTAAAAAGGATACAGTTATTTCTAAGAATCAGCTTCTCTAGTTTGCTCAGACTTTGCAGGCCTACACAGCTGTCAATGCAGTTGCTGGAAAGGTCCAAGCAGGTCAAGCCCTGTAAGAAGCTGAAGTTTTTTAAATCCCTCAAACTGTTGTTGGAAAGGTCCAGAGTGGAAACAAAAGGCAGCAGTTCTGTGTGGTAAAACTTTGTTAGCTTTTGGTTGTTCAGGATTATGGTGGCCGATGAGTCTGGAGCCAGTGAATCAATACATCTCTCCACAGCAAACTTGCTCCCTTTACACAATAAAAGAAATATATAATTTTTAATGAAAAAGTTAAACTATTTTATTTAAGAAGTATTAACTATGAACAAAGATTGATGGAACAAATGAAGAGACTTTCTTTGTGTTTGTTGCGTGGTGAGCCATATAAAAGCTATCATTGACACTATCCTGATAGCTGAGCTTTCCCTGTGACTTTAACTTACTCAAATCCTTATAATAGTTCATCCTTTTTGGATCAAGAGTTTGCAGTCTGTCTGTTTGGTTCATGATCTCATCATTGTACTTGACAGGGTCCAGAGACTTCATTAACAAGACACTTGTCAACAGTGCCCCTGTCAAAATTCAACGGTTTTAAAAATAAGAGGGATAATTGGAGAAATTTGTTTCTTTCTTTTTTTTTTACACTAATCTGTTCATTGACAAACAAATTAAAATTTAGTTTAAAAAGGATAAATTTAAATAATATTGTGACCGAAGCAATATGTTAAAAAGTTTCATACGCTGTCACCATTTACACTGGGAATGATGAATACATAGGTAGGAAGACATTTAAACCTGGATAGGTAAACCAATGCAGACTTACATTTATTGTCTGTTTCCAGCTCCATCAATTGGCGTACTGACTCTAATTCTTGTTGCAGAGTCTCAGCTTTCACAGCACTCAGCTCCTGACTAGATCATTTCAGAAAAAATTAATATAGTGTTACCTCGCTACGGGAAACATGTTTTATATACTATACTCGACTATTGATGGTCAAAAAACTGGAGAGCTGACCAAGTTACCAAGTGAAGAAGAGGGGGTAGGCTTAACACTTGAATGTTTCCCAGGGGTTAAGAACTTCATCTACTTGCTGAAGATTGGGATTTGAGTATAGTTTGAAGTTTAAAATTCAATTAACAGTTCCATGCCAGTGTACTAAACAAAATCCAACCAGGCTAAGATGCAGCAACTCCTCATAACTACATTCATAACTTGCATGTTTTGTTACACCTATGCCTCAAACAGAAGTACTAGATGTTCTGTCTAGTGTAAAAAATACTGCAACACCTGATGAAAGATACTGCAACACCTGATGCATTCATCATACATCTTCAGTGTCATCATTACTGCACAGCTAATTCAGTCATCTCTCTAGTTGATGATGTGTAACTACTAAAATAAGTAAAGCATCCCTACGTTGCAGATGCTAATTAACACCTGTCATAAGTGAGGGAGCAATGTAAATTGTTATCTTAACTTTTATTTTTCATGTGTGGTATAAAAATGTTACATTTCTTTACCTAAATCTACTTGTTTCCGAGCTATTTAAACTTAATATTTGATTAGTGCAGTCATTCTGTTTGAGTTGAAGGGAAGATGAGCAGACAGCAGAATCACAGTCAAATAAAGTCAGCTTTATACAGCAATCTGTCTTCTCTGGGAGAGTAACATTTTCAGCTATGTGATTTGGTTAAAGAAAACATTGAACCACTTCCTTCATCACATTGTTTGTTTTATCTAGTGGAATGTTTTATTTTCATGTTTACTCGATCTTTACTCAAGTAAAAATGTTTAAATTATGGTGGATAAAACAGACCTAAAGGTTTTAACTTTACTCACAAAAAAGGAACTTTGAGAACAGATATATCTATTTTATATTTTTAAAAAAAATTAAAGTAACTAAAAATTTCTTAAAAAAGAAAATAAAGATGATCAAATTGCAATGAAAGGATATCCACATGGTAGAGAACATATTGTTTCCCTCCTGGTTGTGCCAAGAAAGGTTTTCTAAATTTGACTCGTTACATTCCAGCAAAATATGTTCTTTCTTCCCAACCTAAGGAAAAAATGGAAATACAAGAATATAGTAGAACTATAGTAGCACTAAATGAAAAGTTTTATTATGGAGATATTTTTGCTTCACTTAAAGTTAAAGAACCTGTTATTAAATACTTCAAATTTGCAAACTTACCGACATCAATCCACTCAATTTAATATTTGTGTAAGAAGCACCTATTCCTATCTACCAAGCTGCTACTACACCAACACTAAATTCTTCAACTAACAGCAGCATCATGTCTACTGCTAGCGCCCTCTAGCCACATCTTATGTTTCCCTTGTTGCTTTATATACCCTATGACATATCTTTAGTGTCTGCCTGTTGGCCTGCGCTGACCTTAATTAACCTAGCCTTGTATGATCACAATACCTGAGTTAACAACCCCACAAATGGTACTGACCTGTACATGTTTAACAAATGACACAATACCTGAGTTAACAAGCCCACAAATGGTACTGACCTGTACATGTTTAACAAATGACACAAGAACCCTTTTCTCAGACCTTGACATCATAAAATAGTTCACCGCCTGTTTCTGTTCACCTGAATAGAGACCAAATTAAGACAATTTATAATAAACTACATACACTAGTTTTTAGGTTTTTTTTAATAGTTTTTTAAAAAGCTGACCTCTGCCCATCAACCAACGGTGATAAAACCAGTTGCTCTGATCATCAGGATCTGTAAAAAATCCGTTCTGGACAAGCTCATATTCTATAAGATGAAAACAGAAGAAGCGTATTAGATTATTGTGGTGACTGAAGGTATTTTATAGCTCAAGTTATGATAGAGTAGTCCACATTTCTAAAGAGCATGATCTTCATTCTTTTACCACTTTACCTTTAAGTAAGGCTTCTTCACTCACACCCATAGGCTGTGAAGGATCAGGGAAGAGGATTGGTAACAGTTTACTTCTGTAATGCCAAGATGAGTAGTTTGAAAAATTATTACTTATTTTGCTCATAGAAAATTCAAATTCAGCTTCTGGTGAAACATTGGATCTTTTGACAACAAATCTACGATAATCCCAGCAGTGAACTGTTAAAGAAAAAAAGTATACAATTATTAAGTTAAAGTTAATCTCAATAACAAAGTATTAAACATATTAGCAAAGGATTAAAAATATATTAGCTATTACTTTAGTGTCTTACAATTTCTCTCATCATACTGGAGGAACTGGTTACAGAGTTCAAGTTCTCTATTCCAGTCAGGGTCTGGCATGTTGTCCATCACAAAACATCGCTGATGCCAAGAGCCATAAGATTTTGGATTGATTTTCAAGCAAGTTTCTAAAAACTGAAGCTCAGATGAAAATATTTTCTGCAGCTCCTCATTGGACCTTTATAAAAATATACTTTTAATGTGCTGAATATGGTTTTATTTTAAAAGTCAACAATATGTAATGATTTTTTAATTAATTTGGAACAATCATTGAAATAAGCTTGATACTTACTTTGTTTTTTGGAACTCTAAAAATGTTTCTTTTCTATAATTCCAAAGTGTATAAAAATCTGGATTCACAACTAGAACCTCACCAGTTAGTAAAAGTAGCTCTTCATCCAGTTCCTTATTTTTTTTCTATAAGAAAAAGACATACTGATAATATTAATGTTAAAGCAAAGAATCAATAGAATATGGGTTCTTTCTTTTTCATAAAAAATACTTAGAAAATCTGGAACAAGTTTTTTAGATTTGTATTAGATTTTAGATTTATTATACAAGTTGCACCATCACCTTTTCAAATATTTTTGTTATTGCACCATTATATAATTGCAACTTCTTTTCTCTTTCTTTTTTCTTAGCTTCCAATTGCTCAGCTGTAGATTTTACTTTGAGTCTCCCATGCTGTAAAGTAATATAATTTAATTTGATGAATAATTGAAATTAAACAGCATTTAATAATTTGTAGTTTAAAATATAGGACTATAAGTAAGTAAAAACCATAGGTTAATAAAAAATGTATTCCTTTTATTTGCATTAACTTTAAAATATTGATTACAATTTTTTTTAAAAGTGGGATTATAACTTTGGGGAGTAGTGGGTAAAAAAATCTGATTTACCCAGCATGTATTTAGCCACAAAAGTAAATGAATTATTTCTGCTAGTCAACGGTATCCCCATGTTTAAGTTATTATCAGATAATATTCACCAAAAAGTTAATTTCCATGTCAAGCTTTCATAGCTATTATGATACATAAATTGGCAGAAATTAGTACTACCTACTTTAACTTTAGAGTAGCTTTAGTAAGAATTTAGGATACAAAAATAACAACACTAATGAAATGTCACACACAAACGATGTAGCCTTGGCTTATCTATATATGGGGACCATGCGAGGCACCACGTAAACACACGCCGTTACTCCCCCGCTCTCTAGGCATATAGCTACCACCCCCACCAGTCTGGTGAGCTGTGGTTAACACTAAATGTTTACAATCGTAGAGCCGGGTGATGGCTAATTAGTGATGGCTATTAGGGGCAGATAATTTAGTTTGTAAACTATTTGAAAATAAGGGGAGGTAATAACAAGTTCTGCTTGGTCTTTTCATTGTAGTCTGTAAACTGTCACGGACGGCTGCTTTTGTGAGGGCGGGGGGGGGGGGGGGTAATCAGCATTTACGAGCGACCAATAGTGTTTTAAAGTAAAAGATTTTCAGTCGCAACATTTGTAGTGTTGAATTCACAAATTATGAATTACTGACAAGTAGAAAATAAAACAACTAAATAGCGGTGTATGCTTTTACGGCATGGGTCAGCTCGTAAATAATATAACCGTATGTTAAGCATGTAGGCTATATACTACTATTAGATAACTACTATAATATATATTTCGAAGTGACTAGTCGGAAAAGCTTTTACCCCTAGCCTAGGCTGGCCGAGGCAAAGACAGATACTGGATACTAATAACTATCATACTAGAACTAATAAACTAATAACTAATAAGTTAATAATTTTTTTTTTTAAATTTATTTATTATTTTATTATGCCTACTAAACTACTAATCAGTGTTTTTGGTTTTCTCAAATGGAATTGTTTTACAACATCTGATAATATATCATTTATCTAATTATAGTGAAATACAAGGCGAATATTTCTAATACCATATTTAATTGAACTTGTTTTCAAGTTAATAAAAAGTCTCAGACTGCCAACTTGAGTAATAATGCGAACTTCTGATGTTTACGGAAGTGATTAAGCAGTACGGTGTCTATACTAGTTGAGTCATTAGTGTATACTATATTATATGAACAAAACCTAATACTTACATTTATACAATAAGAATAAGAATATATATAAAAATATAATCATTATAATTAGATAAGCTAAAAATTGTGATTCGGCGACAAAGCTTCTTATTTATTTATTTAATGTTGTATTTGTAAAATAAAAAACAAATGGTAATCACAATAGTTTTAAACACCGCAGAAAGGAAATACTTCCGGTTCAAACATGGCTACCTGCGAAGAGTCTTTAACTCAGCGGCTAGTAAATATACATACAGAGGATGACTTGCTAACGAAACATAAAAAGGAACGAAGGGATTTACAAGGTACATAAAACGACACATTTAACTCACACTAGTAGATCTATTCGGCTCTTCTACATGAACATCCACGGGGAAAATTACTAGGCCTTTAATAAACTTCTTAAATTTTAAACTGTAACGCAGTGTGTGTAACTGTAACGGTAAACTGTACTGTAACGTATCAGTCGTATCTTATTCGCCCCTTCACGTTCACCTCCAGGTGAGCGTATTTTAAAAGTAATTGCACCAGGTTATAGCTGAAACTCAGCAGATTTTGAAAATGTGGTTGCTTTGTGAAGTGTGTGTATTGAAATTAATATGGCAGGAAACAGATTCAACCCTCAAGCATCTACTTTTAGGGTCGATTTTCGCCAATTTTCAAAGTAACAAATATTGACATATTATATATCAATTTTGTTGCTTAACAATCGAGGAATTCAAAAATATAAAAATTAATAGCACTAGACATTTACATCACGTTCAAAATGTAGATTAACCACACTCACTCAACTGAGATTTTTTTTTACATCTAAATGTAGTGAGGTCCAAAAATCCACGAAATTCACAAAATTAACGATATAATTACACAGAAATGTCACTTAGGCATACATTTATTTGTAATTATGTCAAATTTTACAAAATATACCAGTTTATAGCTTATTTCTATAATTATTCTTGAGAAAAAAAACGACCGCCCTCCCCTTTAAAATTCTGGCTTTTAGAAACACTCTGGGGAAGAAAAAAATAACAGAGTTAAATATAGAAGGTCTATATAAAAAACATAATTAATAAAATATGTCTATATGCCAATTTTTAATATAGTTGCAGCATTTACATGGCTAATTATAATTGTTTAGTACTTTGAACATTAATTTAAAGTTACGACTGTCTGTGGCGTCATTCAAGTGTAGTGTCAGTGAACAGGGTGTTAGTTAGGGCCTGATACGATTTCATTAGAATTGGTAATGAACAGAATGTATAATTAGAACTGGCATATAAAAACAATGTTGATAATAAATGCAGTTGTTTTAATGCTACTTATAATAGATCAAAATGACAAACATAATTAAAACCTAAGAATCTGGAAGCGGTGACCTCATTTTACTGACACGGTTGTCAAATAGTAAGTGAATAGATCTAGATTTAGAATCTACGTAATTTTGAAAATACGCTAGTTCTAGAAGCAAAATCACTTTTAAAAACTGAAGTTAGTGATTAGATCTATAATGAAATTGAAATCAACAACTGATATGTAAGTATCTTTTGATTTAAAAAAAAAATACGCTTAGTTCTAAGAAAAAAAAATTCTATGGTGTACTCGATCCCTATCCCAAAACGTGCCAGCCATATCGCATGCGTAGTCAGCTACTCAGCTGCTTATCAAATTCATGAATTTTAAACTTATATAATAAAAGTAGGTCACCCTAAAAAAAAGAGTAAAATGGCTCCCGTTTTCACGACAGCCGTCACTCGATTCATAATTTACAGAGTTATAAAGTTCTACTTTCTTTTGGCTATAGATTTAAAGAAATATTAATTTGTTATTTCTCATGCGTTCCAACAATTGTACCTAATTTTAATAAACATTAGATTAGTAAGGACTCGATTCTTTTTAGAATTAGCCCTCGACACTATACAGACTATTGCGAAGAAACAGACTCGCGCGAATGTCGTGCGTAGGCTGGTTCAGTGGCGAAGGTTAGAAGCCAATTTGCGACGGAAAATTTTTACTTTGAAATAATTACATTATCAATTAATTTCGATTTAAAACAAATGGCTTAAAGTCAAAAGTAAACTAAAATTTAAAAACTTTGTTATTCGCAGTGTACTCAAGATTCTCGTGTTTTAAAGATAAGTCTAGTTTTACTACGTGTGCGTGCATGGTGCGAATACCGATTTTCCGCGACAGAAAATCATTAAAAATATAAAAAAAAGTATCTACGGCAAAATAATAATTATATTTTACAGAATTAAATAGATTTAACTTAACTGTTATTTAAATACATGCTTCGGAGTAAAAAATACAATTTTATATCCGTAAAAAATTAACTGAAATTCCCGCTTTCAGCGACGCCGATGTGTCGTAATTTTTGGCAGTCATTTTGTTCAAATTAAAGTAAAAAACGCATTCAAATATACTTTTTTTTACTTTTATAATTTACAGCAATCATTTCTAATGAAAAATCAATAAAAAAATAATAGTTATTTTTACAAAATATTATTTCTTACCTCATTAGTGCAGTACACGTACTTTCCAAGTAGATCCATTCCATCTAGATTTGCATACTTCGCATCCTTCGCCGCGGCACAAAATGTCATAAAAAACGAATTCCACAAAAATGTTGCTAACGAAGCTTGTAAAAACCTTGCTCTATTTATCAGTATAAACAAAATCCCCGAACGATGTCTGGTTAGAAAGTTTATGAACGGCGAAGACCGAATATGCATTTTGCGGTACCAATCTGTTTCCTGCCATATCATATTAATTTTAAATTAATAAGAGACAGTGGTAAAAACAAAATGTGAAAAATCACTCAAGAGCTCTGGGCAGGTTTTAGTATAAAAATTATCTCCCTTTATCCAAATGATACATCCTAATTAAACTATATTTCATTTCTTGTCACTTGAAGAAGTTTTAGTTAGTGTAATCTATTGTTTAGATACGTAAAATCGCCTGAGGCTAGTAATGTGAAAGACAGACGACTCATTACATTTTGGTAATAATTTCAGATTTTTAGGAGGATTTATGTTTTAAAAGTTACAAAAATGTTTCATGCACCTGTTTTTGAACAATTTTATTGAAACTTTTCAGTTTTAAATAAAAAACGATTAGCCATGTTTTAAACAGATGCAACCAAGCCGTTTACTTTAACCACTCTAATTTACAGGTGGCCACTGTTTTTATAGCAAAACTTGCTCTCAAACACTGCTGTTTAAAGTTAATTTCTGGCCTATATTGATAGATTTAGACATTGCTTTTGGTTTATTATTCAATTATCTATTATATTTGACACAAATATATCTGTATTAAAGCCATATTAATGAGTCACCTTTCTTTCACATTTCCAGCCTCTGCCTATTTTACGTACTTAAAACCATAGATTACCAAAGTTTGTTACTTGGTAGTTTTAGAAAGTTTAGGTAGACTCATTAGGTTGCCTACTTTAAACGAACATTTAATTTTATCCATATATGATGTCACATTCTTTTCCTTAATCCCCCACCATCATCACGATAATAAGATGATCATTAAGCTTGGTCAAGATAAGGTATACAAAACTATAGACTATTATTTTGATAAAGTATTATCACAATTTACTCCCCCTAAAAAAATTGAATTGCTGAAATAGTTGTATAGTTTAAGAATTATTTTTCAGAATGTTATCAAAAGCATGATCTCTTACTAAATTAATTTTTTTTTAAGTTTTTTTTTTTTAAAATCCAAAGTATCTATAATAATAGTTATGCTATTCTGTCACACTGTCACTCTATTGTTGGGAACGCTTTTACTATAGAAAAAACACAAGCAAAGTAAAAACTTTCACAGTAATACAGAAAATGAAACATATGTCACATGGAACATATAGGTAGAAAATAGTCTCTAAAGCCGGAAAAGTACACACAATAATATGACATCATTGATTCTCGAGTAAACATGCAATTAAAAACCATTAGTGTAATCATTAGAAGAATTAAATCCGAACACCCCCCCTCCCATGTATAGTGCCTCCCTCCCACAGAGAAAAAAGTCTGAAAGAAACACTTTCTCCATGATTGAGATTTAGCGGCCAAAAGTAGGAAACCGGTCTATATTATAGAAGTAGGCTCTACCTTTAGTCTGTATGTTTTACAAATGTGGCCAGTGTTCCTTTCAGACTTTTTCCTCCTTGGGGTACTTGAAATTTTCGTAGGGGGGTTGGTGGACTAAATTTTCTGGGGTGGGGTCGGACACTGGTAAAAGTATAATTTCTTTATAAATGCTATTTTGTTGAAGGGGACTGTAAACATGTTTCGGGGTGGGTGGTGTGGACTGAGCCCAACCCCCAGTAGAGTCGCCTGAAAGAAACTCTAAATGCGTCTTTTTGTCCTAGTTGAGCTTAGGTGCAAGGTTTAGGGGTATGACTAAGATTATATTTAGTACCAATGTGCAGTAACTACGTGTAGAATAAGCTTAAATACGGTTAAATGCAGATTCTGGATAAAAATCCGTTTTCAATTACATTTTTCTTTTCTGGTTAAATTTGAAGTTTAGGTGGTGATTTTGGTTTTGGTTTAGAGAAAAGAGACAACACTATCAACCTAGCACCTGTTGTATCTCTCCCTCAACGGGCCATTTATCTCGTAATAAATATTTAGAATCAAAACTTCTCACAAAACATAAAAACAGAACTTTAAGCAAAACAGCAATACCCAGAAATATCCATTAGCTGATATTTAAAAGGATGACACTTATAAGGATTTTTTATTTGCAGCTTAAATCTGGAACACACATCACAGCAGTTGATGTTGGTAGTTTGAACTAACTAAGGCAATCAGTAGCTATATATTTTTTATTGTTAATTTATGTCTTTCAAAATACCTCAATTTTAACACATACAAAAATGTTTAAATTACAGGGCATATAACTTATAAGCAGGTGTTTATACAATTTTGATTTTAAAATTTGGTGTATTTGTACATTTTTCAGCTCAGATTCAAAAGATCAAAAATGCTGTTCCAAAAGGTGACAAAAAGAAAAAAAAAGAATCAGTTGAACAAATTGCAAAGCTTGAGGCAGAAATGGATGCTAAACAAGATGAAGAGACCACCTACTTCAATTCAAGAGAAAGGGTCTGTTTTTATTTCCTGCTTTTGTGATTTTTATTGATAGCTTTAATGTTTTCTCTAAGATCTCAGAGGAAACAGCTAGAAAACAGTTAGAAATAGCTTAATATTATAGTTTTATTAACATCAACTTTGTCAAATGAATTAAGCTCAGGCAATTTTTTTTTTGTTATTTCAGACAGATCCAGTTGAGAATGAAACAACTAACCAAAATGATAATGAATTGTCAAATTCTGCTGATGATAAATCAGCAGATACAGTTCAAGGGAAAAAATCTAAAGCTCAAAAACGAAGGGTAAGTCAATGACTATGCACATAGGACAGTGCTAGTACAAATAAGTGCACAAAACATTTTTGTTTTGAATATAAAAATGTGCACATAAGATGTTTTTGTAAAAATATGAGTGGAGGATGGAAAGATGTTCTTGTTGATATAAATGTCTACCGATATAGTCCTACACTTTTGAAAACATCCTCCTTTAAAACCAGAGAACCCTAGTGCTACAGAATTATTATAAGACTAACAGTTTACTTGCTAATTGTTTTAAGATTTGATTGATACCTTTCATTTTTTATTATTTTCTTGTGTAGAGGGGAGACAAACCCACTAGATTTATAACTCTCTTGACTGACTATAGTGCATGCAGTTAATTCAAGAAGCTATTTCTTCTATGTCTAATCTTTTATTAACAGATGAATTAAAATATCCTGTAGATATAAGTGCCCCACATTTTAAAGATTGTGGGAAAAAGAGACATCTAAGTTTTTAAATGTTGAAAATTCTTGCATGTTAGTTGTTTTATTTTATTTGGTTTTACATAAAAGATAAGTAATTTTGATGTAGTCCCAGACTAATTTATCTCAGTATTTTATATCCTCTAAATATTTAATCCACTGGTACTACTTTATTTACTTATGTAAGCTTGGGACCAAGACAAAAATACCAACCATACAAAATGTGGAGCTAAGTTCTGACATTCCTTTTTATATTTTATGCTGATACAACCTCTACATTATAGCTGGCCTATAATTCTTGTACTCAGTTTATACAATAATTTTTGTGCAAGATATTGCTATCAGCGTTTCTTCCACTTTTTTTCTCGGGGGGGGGGGGACGACTCTCCCAAAATTATTTTGGATAATATTTAGAATCGTCCCCCTTGAATCCCTAGCAAAACAAAACCCCATGGCTCAGTCACCTGTTGGACTTGATGTGTTGTGTTTAATATAAACCCTCACTAATAATAAAGACAATCTCACTGTACTTGCTTGTTTTCATCATCTTTAGTCAGTGTTTATTTGTGGATGTAGCACTCATGATTGTGGCTTTAAAATCTTAAATCTTGTTGCTGTACACTACAATCTTTGATGCTTCCATGTTCTGGGCTTGACCCTTTGCTTACTTAAGTTTCTTAAATTTGATGACAAATTCATTTCTGCCATTGGTGATTGGGTTCATTTAATGTCAAAATATTGTTACGGAGGTGCATGTTTCTGTCCTAGATGGTAAATTAATAAACATCTGTGTGTACAGCTAAGTTTGGATTTAGCTGATTACTTTAATGCATCGACCAGAAAATCGTTCCAACCTGTTTAAATTTCCTGCACCCATATATGACCAACACTCAAGCATAATCTACACATGTCAGATACGATGCTTTGTTATGTATACTCTACTATAAGAGAACGTATAAATACCACTGGATTAATTTGAAAGACGTGTCCATTATCCAGATAATTTATGCCGGGTGTTAATGGCGTTACAACGGGTATGGGAGGGGGGGGGGAGATGGAGAATGTGACAAGAAAATTATTTTTTTATTTTAACAAGCTGGATTTTGTGAAATTACATTTTCCGGAAGGCGGGCAATTTTGTGACGTCAGATTAAGAGGGGGAACAGAGAGATGTAATTAATACAAATGTAAATGATTTTCTTGGCTGGTGACTCCTATCGAGGGAAAAGCAAAATGGGTTAATGACTAGTTAAAATTGTGAGCACAAACTTTTTAGTGCTGGAATAAATAAGGCATATACTGCAGGTAGTGTTTCTTTCTTTCAAACTGCAGGCTTCTCTTTCCCCCCCCCCCCCCCCTACACGCATTAGAGGACAAATCTGTTAAAAATCAGCGCTGAGCTCGGCCTGTGAGCTGTTCTATGTTTGAAGCATGATTGGACTGATTGAAGCCTGCGCTGTTACCACAATTTTTCAGGTTGCCATTTCCTGCTTAACAGCTGATATTGTGATCATTCGTTTGTGGTCGATGGTCTAACCCGTGTGGTTAGGTTTGGGATAGAAATATCGTTATCGGACTTAAATGCCGCCCTCTCAACTTGAAGGACACCAGAATGTTTCATAGTGCGAACTGGTACTAATGGTGTAGTTAGTAGTCACAGTAGTCACAGGGGAATAACTCTCATCTAGTGCCCTGTCTGCTCAAGCTTGATCCCCACCCCTATGGTTTCAATGAAAGAGTTAAGATCACTTTACAAATTGGAAAGAACGTAACCTATCAATGCAGATATGGGCAATTAAGTCTTGTACTCTTGTCACTGACGGCGCCTCTCCGTCCTGTGTCGGCTACACATAGAGGTACCGTACTCACGTGTTCTCTAGAAGCTAGCCATTGCTTGTATGGCTTGTCCAGTTCCAGCTCTATCTTTCTCAGTATGTAACGCAGGTCGGTAAACTCTAGCCCGACATGTTGCTGCGAGGGGTTTGGTGAACTCATTCTTTGGCGTCTAGGGGGGGACGTTACAACTGCAAGTTAAATCACAGTCCTCTTGACTTCTTGTGTGTTGGGGTTGTGTGTATGGCTAGTGGCTGTCAGTGTTGTGTGTGGCTGAATGTTGTCTTTTAGTGTTGTGTGTATGGCTGGCAGTGGTGTGTGTGTGGCTGGTATCTGTCAGTGGTGTGTGTGTGGCTGAATGTTGTGTGTGGTGTCTGTTTTTCGTGTGGCTGGTATCTGTCAGTGGTGTGTCAGTGTAGCTGTCAGTGATTGTGTGGTTGGCTGTCAGGGTTGTGTATGGTAGTTATCCACTATCTATATTTTTGTCCGCTAGTTTGTACAGGCAAGCAAACGTACTCAATCTTTACTCCAACTGACTATTGAGAGTTTGATGAGATTTACATACAAAATCTTAGATCATGTAGAAACCTTACTTCAGTAAGCTGCCGTATCTCATACACAATCATGTAGAAACCTTACTTCAGTAAGCTGGCATGTAAATGCCATACTTGACAAGTTGACATGTGTAGGCTATAAACAACAAATGTATTCTTACCCTCCTGCTCTGAGGACTAGTCCATTATCGTCCTGTCATTCGGTGATTAACGGCCGTCTAACCCCATTAGTGTCCGCCTGCCCGTGTGTCCAGAGCTTCTTTATTGGCACCGGTTAGCTGGCCAGTGCCAGACTAGCTAGGTAGACGAGATCGTTAATCCACGGCTCAATCGGTCAATGGAAGGGGGAGGGGGTGTAGTCGGGATATGCTAATCTAAAACCTATATCAGGTAAACACGTAAGGGGGTGGGTGGGATAGTTTACCAGTGTTATTACTTTCCAGAACTATCTACGTAATTGGGTAGATCTAAACGGTATTTGTGTTTGCAGACTTTTTTTAAAAACACTTTTTTTTTTCGATTTTAATTCTTTAGACTCGTATTCTCATAGAAACCTTCAACATGGATTTTATTTTTATTCGAAAGGGCGTCGTAGCATACTATTTCTGTGTTTTATTTGGTACTTAATTTCCACAACTATTTTTAGAATGAACACTTGCGTAAACAAAGTGTTTATTGTGTGGATGTTTGACAGCATTGACCGGCCAGGTTCAAGTTTGTCTGTCAGACAATCTGTGGACTTTAGCCAAGCAGTCGATTAATCTGATCATGTTTTTTGTTAATAATGTTTTTTTGTTTTATTACTAGATTTCTATACAATATGCCTCCCATAACTTGTGCGACTTCGCTTGTTGTGACTTTGTTGTCGGCTGCTAATGTGACCTGTCAAAGGGGTGTGGTGATAAACTTCGTACAAGATTTTAGCGCGTGCAACATTAAAACACAAACTTCGTTCAAGATTTAGTGCATGCAACATTAAAACACAAACTTCGTACAAGATTTAGTGCGTGCAACATTAAAACACTAACTTCGTACAAGATTTAGTACCTGCAACATTAAAACACAAACTTCGTACAAGATTTAGTGCCTGCAACATTAAAACACAAACTTCGTACAAGATTTAGCGCGTGCAACATTAGCACACAAACTTTGTACAAGATTTAGTGCGTGCAACATTAAAACACAAACTTGGTACAAGATTTAGCGCGTGCAACATTAAAACACTAACTTCGTACAAGATTTAGCGCGTGCAACATTAAAACACAAACTTGGTACAAGATTTAGCGCGTGCAACATTAAAACACAAACTTGGTACAAGATTTAGCGCGTGCAACATCAAAACTGCGTGTACTCTCGTCTTGTTGACAGTCGCTTCACGCGATTTGTCTTAGAGCAGATTGTTTCCGACCAGTATGGACAGTACAGTTGTTAAAATCTTTAAATAATCTTTTCTTTGGTAGTGACGTCGAACATTTCCTGATCTGCTGGAGTTGTTACGATGCCATTGAGAGACTCGCTTTGGTTACATCAAAACAAAAATCTCTAGATTCTAGATAGTTATAATAAGTAAAGTGGGAACCGCAATATAGAGTTTCATTCGAATGAGATTTGGTCCCCCCCCCCCCCCCCCCCGCAAATATCTTTGAAGGCCCATGGTTGTATGTGGACTTGTTACGTTTGTTTGTTTTATCAGCCTGCATCATTCACATTAAATGTGTTAGATTTTATATTATGATCCAATGAAGGACAAAAAACAAGCTAAAGGAAAAGAAAGAGAAGAAAGAATAAAGGAACAAGATGAAGAAAATAAACTTGGACCAAGGCAACAAGAGATGATGAAAATAAAAGCAATTTTAAAGACTAAAGGGCTGGTACTCCATGAGGTAAGCGGCTTGAAAAATGTGCCAGATTTTTTTTTCAACTTGAGATTATTGTGGGCATAAACTTTGGTTTTTACAAAACTAACAATTACGATTATTTTCAAACTAACAGATCCCTGCTGATGGCAACTGGTGAGTCCAAAAACAAGTTTTTTTTTTAATTTTTAAATTTTTTATCAGAAGAAAAAATATATGAAAATATTTGTGCTTTTTTAGTATGATTGACATTTCTGCCTCTCTCGCCTTGGCAACATAATATTTCTATTTTTTTTGTCATAGTTTATACAATGCTGTAAGTCATCAACTGCTGAGTCTTAAAATAAAGGTAAAACTTATTTACATTTCAAAAAAATTTCTTTACATGGATAAAAAAAAATATATATATATAATTATAATGATGAATTAATTGGGGGGGGGGGGGGGGTTGTCATGGTTGAGTGATAGAGCACATGGCTACTGACCCTAAAGTCTTGGGTTTGGTTCACTTTCTGGAGTCTGTAGGATGTTCCTAAGTCTACCCAGCTTAGTTGGGTAACTGACTAGCACTAACCTTCTTAGCTAAGTACTGACCACACTCCCTACATATGCTGAAGAAACTGATTGATTGAATGATTCTTTTTTAACTGCACTATGTGGTTGTTCAAATGTTTACACCTTTTAACAGATAGAGGAATCACTTTGTAATTTGTAAAAATGTATATGTTGAAAAAAACTAATGTTTAAGTTAATAAATTTTTTATAGTATAGCAATGAGGAGTTACGGCATAAAACAGCTGAATATATGAGATCTAACAAAGATGATTTTCTTCCATTCCTGACCCACCCTGACACAGGAGACATGCTGACACCAGGCAAGCCTTTCTTGATTCAGTATTTAAAGACTTTCTTACTGTAAAAGGGACGGTTGGTCAAATGGTTGAGCTTTTGACTGCTAACCCAAAAGTCTTGTGTTAGTATCCCACTGTATGGCATCCTTGAGTCCACCCAGCTTTGATGGGTACCTGACTCACGTTAGAGAAAGTAAAGGTGGCCGGACATACTGCTGACCACACTATCCCTTTTTTGCTAATGTCACTGAAACAATTAAACTCTACTTCACCTGCAACATGACCTGTATGGTTCAAAAGGGTATTTTACTTTTTTTTTAAACTATGCAATGAATGTCATTTAATATTTTTGAAAACATGTTTTTCTTTCATTAGTAGATATTTTCAACTATTTTTTGGTTTTCCTATAACTAATGAACCTGTCTAAAATATTTTTTACAGAAGAGTTTGAGAAATATTGTGATAAAACAGCAAACTCTCCCATGTGGGGAGGGCAGATAGAAGTAGGTTTTGTTCCTTTTTTTTTTGGTAACAGTGGTCATTGATAAGCATTTTATGAATTGATAAAATTAATACAATTCTTCAAAAGAAATTGTTTAAAATTTTAATATAATTTATTAGTTAGTTACAGGCCGATACTTTCCTAAATCCAAATAAATATTTTCTTTTCCCCATTTTATTTCAGTTAAGAGCTCTGTCTGAGGTGTTAAAAGTTCCTATTGTAGTCATACAGGCAGACATGCAACCACTAGTTATAGGTGAAGGCATGGAAGGAAATCCTGTTACTGTTGTGTAAGTTCTTTTTCTGCCTCTAACTTCAGTGGCTTGGTAAAGATGTCATTGTAAAACATTTTAGGAATGCAAGCTGTTTAAGGTAGTGCTTGTTTAAAATATTAAAGATGTATACTTGCCTGCACTGAACCCAACCATCTACTCAGTTGTTCCCCTATTATTTTTTTATAGTTTTTGGTATGATTCCAACCATGGCAACCGTATTATCATACATTTTTGTCTTATTTATTCACAGGTACCATCGCCATGTGTATCGTCTAGGAGAACATTATAATTCTGTTGCTGTGGCTTCTCAAAATGAGGATGATGACGAAGAAAACAGTGTATTAAAGTAAAATTGGTTCAGCAATTTAAAAAAAAACATATATCTTTCTGTGGAATATTGTTACATAGAATTCTTCAATTGACATCAGCCAAGTAGGCAACAGTCCACACGATTCTTTTAAAACTGGAAGGATGTTTTTACAAGTATGTAACAAAAAAATGATCCAGCTGTTGTACTTTGTAGATGAAAGTTTTTTTTACTATCTATACTGTAAGAAAAATATTGACATCCTGAAATAACTATGGATAGGAGAAGTAATGTTTGTTACTTCCTTATTTACCCAACTGTCTGTAAAATAATTAAAATTACATTTCAAAAAATTGTACTGGTCTACTGAAATACATTTAAAACTTCTAATTGTAATGCCACTAATTATTTTCACAGTGGAATGGAAGACTTATATAGTATTTTATAGTTTATAGTATTTTATTAAAAGCAGATGTAACGATTATCATTAATGTTGATGGCAACTGTAATCAAATTCAGGATTAGACTAGCAATTTCTCACTGATAAACAGCTATGGTTGCCATTGTTAAGGCGCACCAAATACAAGACAAAATATCTGTATATTTTATGAACAGTATTAACCATAGTTGAAAGAACGAAGTGTGGCAGTCACTCAATCTTGTAAAGCCCATTTTTATTTGTCAAGAGACTGTGTGCAGTCATAAGACATGTATACAAGGGCATGATGTGGACTAACTGTTGAGTTGGGACAAAAATATGTAATTGTATTCTGTTGTTTTATGTGAGTTAATACATTATTTTAACATTTCTCTTCTGAAAAAGATTTTGTTCAAATTTTTTAGAGTAACAAGCTCCTTTAAAAAATGCTGTACTTGATATTTCACAAGTACACATATGTTGTCATGACATGTAACAAAAATAAACAAACACAAATATTACAGGAGTTAAATATATCTTAAGATGGCTGTAGTGAACATATTTTTTAATCTAACAAAACTTGCATGATCTGTGGCCCAAGACATCTGTCAGTTCTTTGACTTAAAAGAATACATCTGTTTAACAGGTATGTCAATCTTATAGCAAGATTTGATGGATTAGCTGGGTACATAACTTGAGGTGAGTAATGAGAAAATCTGAGTTGAAAATTCATACTATTGGTAATTAGGTTTAGATGTCTAATAAAAAACCATATAAACAAGGCAGATGTGTGGTTTAAACATTAGGTTTATTAGATGTACATGGAAAACCAATTATGAAATTTAAAACTGATCTGCTAATATTCAATATGCTTCATTATCTTTAATTCATCAAGGAAAGCTATTAAAACATGTTTAACTTGTTCAAATACATTACAGAAAACTTGTGAAACAAAATTAGTACAAGCAACTTTTAAATAACATCTAAATAAACAAGACAAAAATGTGAGCATCTATGCATCTAGCAGTGCACTATGATTTGGCTGGGGTTGCTTCCCCTGAAGCATCATTGACAGTTCGTGGTTGGGTGTTCTCCTCTGGTCTCATGGCAGGGAAAAACAAAACTTCCTGTGAAAGCATTCAATCATTTCTGGTCAATTGTTTCATTTTTTTTACAAAACAAGAGGTGTTCTTTAAGCTAGCTATGGTCTGGTTCAAAAGCAGCATGTGAGTTTAAAGCTAAACTAATAGTAAGAAGTTTATGGTAGGACTTAAGCTAGGTGGAAATGCCTAGAGGGAAAATGTGGCCATAAGTAAGAAGAAATGCTTTTTCTCTGCTTGACATAGGAGCACTGCTCAAAATAGATTCCTGTATACAAGTGAAGAAATATGTAGGTCCCTTAAAGAATTTACCTTAATATTATTTTGGTCTGTTAAAAACATGGTCAGTCTATCAACACCAAGTCCAAGACCACCAGTTGGGGGGAGACCATACTCCAAGGCTACACAGAAGTTTTCATCAACGAACATAGCCTCATCATCCCCAGCAGCTTTATCCTGGTAGAAATAAAAATGTCTATTTATTTGTGAACTCGTTAAAAATAATGACTGTCACTTTAATAACCTTTGTTACTGTATGAAATCAAGTAATAAAACATTTGATATGATTGAATGTCATTAATGTTATGAGATGTCAGTGAGAAGCTTGACCAAAAGTGAATGTGTAAACAATGGTTGCCGACACTTACCTTTGCCTGCTGTTGGAAGCGATCTCTTTGTATAACTGGATCATTTAATTCTGTAAAGGCATTTACAATTTCTCTGTGCATCACAAAGCACTCAAAGCGTTCCGTTAACCCTGGAACTGACCTGTGCCTGTTTATAGAAACAAAATAGTACCTTTAGTGCTGTAATAAGAATTTTATTAATAGCTCCAACTTAATAAAATGATGGCCAAAAGTTTTTCTTTTCTTTAAAAAACTGCATTGAACACAACTGTTTTTCAACCAGTTAGCATTATTAATTTAAAAATCTGTTTTACGAAGTAATTAAAATGTTTATGGCCCCAAAACCAAATAATAATAATAAAAAAAAAAAACATACCACTTTGAAAGGGGGCTCATAATTTCTGGGTGCTCTATAATAAATGTTGGGCTGATTATTTTGTCTTCAATGAAGTGACCAACCATCTGATTTAAAGGTAAGAATATTTTTAAAATATTAATACAATTAAATGCTGAAATGTTAAATAAAATTGAGATATGAAAAAAAAGCCAAATACCTTGTCCAACAATCTTGCAGTAGTTCTCGGTGGAGGACACTCAACACCATTCTTAATAGCAAGTTCATCAAAAAATTTGCGAGCAGCTGGGGTGGGGTAGGAAAGAATGTCAAAGTTAGATTATGCTTTAACAAAATAAAAAACTGTAAAGCAACCTATACAGTATAAAAGTGTCTCCTAGTCCTGAGTAAATTATTAAAAAAAAACTTACATTCTGTTTGCAGCTCAGTAGCTGGAGGAAATTTAACATTCATGGCTTCCTCAAGGGCAGGGATCATTGGAATTCTTTTAAATGGAGGAGTAAAATCTATTTCATAGCCTTCTGTATCTGGTCCATCAGGGTGGTAGGTTATTTTGTACCCACCTGTCAACTGCTTTACCATCCCTGTTTACAAATATCAAAAGCAAACATTTCAAAGTTCCTAATTAAAAAATGTATCTGATACTTAAATTAACCTTATGTTATTTATGGTTTCCCACTTAAATTACTCATTAACTAAGGGATAATTCATAAATAAAATCACTTTTTTATTATTGTAACTTAACCCCTTCATTACAGAAAATTCCCCTGCAATGGTGTAACAATTCAGCCAACTCATCCCATTAGCTGAACTTTCTAACAGCATTTTTTTCTCTAACAATTGAGCTGGGTCAGCTTTATGTTTAATGAGCAATTTTATTACAATATGCAAAAGTCTTAAAGTCTTTTTAAAAATTTGAAACAGCAACAAAACAAAAAAAGTACTTTAACACACCAAAGTGTGAAATTACAAAAATGTCTATAAATAACTGTCAAATATAATTTTTTTTTGTATGATTTAAACATGACTAAATTTCACCAACCAGAGAGCATGCTTTCACAAAGTGTCATCAAATCATTGTAGTCAGCATATGCCATGTAGAACTCTAATGTTGTAAACTCTGGATTGTGTGTCAGGTCTATGCCTTCATTTCTGAACTGTTTTCCTATCTCATAGACCCTGTCAATACCTCCAATAACTAACATCTGCCAAGCAAAGAAAGAAACTTTGTAATAAAATTTGATTTGTTCACAAACTCTATTAAAACACATTACACAGAACTATGAACTAGAAAAAGTACAAAACATTTAATCTCATAAAAAATGTTTCAATTTTACTAGCAGCGCTTGAGTTTTAAAAAAACAACTCAGCAGGTAAATAAATCTTGGCATCTATCTTTATAAAATTCATAGTTCCACTGCGAATAACAATAGAAACAGAAGGTGGTCATAAAACTTAAAATACTCCACATCACAACGGTTGAAATGATAAAAATATACAAAAACAACCAAACACTTATCTTATAAAGAAATATATAGACATTGCTTTTAAAATGTTATATCTATTTTAGACAATGTATTCTAGATTCTATTTTTAATACGAATAACAGACATAACTATAACACAAGTGTCCAAAATTTTTAATTACCTTAAGATACAACTCAGGAGCGATTCGCATGTATAAATCTTGATTCAGATCATTATGATGTGTGATAAAAGGTTTGGCTACTGCACCACCTGGTATTAAACTCATCATTGGAGTTTCAACCTGAAAGGTATAAAATTTGTGTCGTTTTTAATACTAGAATATAAATAACTTAATCTAGAAGAATACCAAATGATGTTCATTAAAAAAAAATTGCTTATGGACAGTTGAACAGTGCTGAAAAAAACAATTGTAACAACACAATTAAGAAACCACAGTACTAATTACCTCTAGAAAACCTAATTCATCAAAAAACCTGCGTAAATAATTAATGATCTTTGCTCTAGTGATGAAGATGTTCCGCACAGGCTCATTAATCATAAGATCCAAATATCGTTGACGAAACCTTGTTTCCTAAAATATTTAATATATATATACCTATATATGCATCCAATTTTCACTAAAAAAGGGTTCATTTTTATTAACAACTGTGTTTAAAAGTAATCTAGCTCTTTTAAGACTAAATAAAGTTTATATCCCTTCCTTGAAGATACCTTATCTTTCACACCATAATAAAGATGGGGCAGCTGCCTTAAACAAGGAGCAAGAAGGGTCACTGTGGTTGGAACAATGCTCAATTCTCCTTTCTTTGTTTTTCCTACAAAAAATTGATTTTTTTTAGAAGTGATAATGTATATTATTGAATTTTATTTTTTACATAAAAGATGTAGCGATAATAAATCCAAGTCAGATACCATTTGTAAAAGGATGGATTAGTTTGTTTTTAATAATGGTATGTTATAATAAATATTATGGAAATATAATAATAATTATATAAGAACATATTTATTTATAAATAATGTATATTTTGAAATTTATGACTGCTTTAAGAAGAAAAATGCATGGAAATCTGTGAAATAACATTACTATCTAACAATTTCATTGCCAAATGTAGCAGATTCTATAATATAACTGACCTGGCTTTCCCTTAACACCAACAATATCACCTCGTTTGATTTTTTCAACCATCTTTTCATAAGCTTCTGGGCTTTCATAGTATCTACAATACAAGGTTCAGACGCAATTTTGTTTTTATAAAGTAAAATTTAAAAGTTTCAACTTTATAAGGTTTTATTTTGTGTAAAATAGAAATCACCAATTTAAACATAATAAATAAATAACTTTTAAAATACACAACAAGCCTAACATTCTAAATTGACTTGTATGACAATCACCTTAACAACAAATATACTTCCATTTAAAAGAACTTACTTGGCATTAGCCATGATTTGAATCTTCACACTTTCCCCTCTCAAATCATAGAATATCAACTTTGCACCAGATAACCTTTTAGCATGAATCCTTCCTAATAAAAAGTGCAAATAAGTGTTTAAAAGTTGAAATTGATTGGCAAAAAAAAAAAAGTTAACACAAATTTTTTAAAAGTCCAAATTTAATCACCTGCTACAGTTACAACCTCATCTAAAATTTCCCCAGAATCTATGTGATTGAATCTTTCAATAAACTCCTGAAGAGACATTCCAACATGGAATTTATGTGGGTATGGTGGCTCATTTGATTCTTTGAGAAGAGATACAGCAAGCGATCGCATATTGAAGTATTCCTGTAAAAAAATTAAACCAGATTTTTATAATATTTCTATAAAACATCTTTTGATTAAGGTTCTTTTTTTTACACCATAACCATCTATTTGTTGTTTCCTTTGCTAAACATTAAAACATGTATTAATATTTCTTCAATTAAAAAAAAATTTAAATGCTTAAAGTCGCTGGAACTTTTTTACCCCCAATAAAATTAAATTATAATCAAAGCCAAATTTAACAATTTTAATTAGTTAGTATTTCAGTTATATTTATAAAGTTCTTTCATTTAAAAAAATTAGCTGATTGTGATATAATAAAAAGAAAACTATTTAAACTTTTTCCGCTTCTGCAAGTATTTTCAAAATCTTATTACCAATGAGACTTCTGTTACCAGTGTAAATAATACATTAGTATTATACATTGTTGGGATGCATCAGAATGTAACACTAAGAAAACTTCAGACACACAGGACTGTAAGGGTTAATTAATTTAAAACTGAATGCAACACTAGACATTAAAGAAATATACAGTTTCAATATTTTGCATCTAAAGTTGCAACAGCAACAACTTTAAATGACTTAACATAAGTGTGAAGTGAATTAAATATTTACTCACTGTGGGGTCACATGTTTCTTCATCTTGATCTCCTTTAGCCTCTTTATTTTCAGCCACTGGTTCAGTTGCTAGTTTCTCTGTTTTCTTTTTGGCCTGCTTCTCAGCCTTTAACCTCCTCTTCAGTTCACTGATCAAAAAGTGAATTATATTTCATTATTCAATGAAGTTCAAAGTAAATACATGCATTTGAATATTTAGTACAGATAAAACCTAACCATGCAATTTTATTTTATTTAAAAGAGACTGAACTATGAAACAGCATTACCTAGGTTTGTTAATCTCATGGTGACAAAAAGCTATAGACTGTGATGAGAAATCTAATTTCCTGTATGCTGCAAACGCAGCAACATTTTTTAGCTGTGCCAATACAATATTATGATTGTGTAAAAAGGTTGTTAACAACTTTGAGCTCCACATTGGTAAAGATGTTATGGCAACAGGACAGAGAAAACTTTATTCACAACAGCTCTCAGTGTATTGGTAATGTTAAAACCAAAGAAGAGCATCGAAGTTCAGAATTCTTCTTTCAATAGAAAATGATGGCTTTGAAAAGTCCTGCCAAAATAGATACAAAATAGATCATTTGGACTATGAACTTTTTAAAAGTAATTCACAGATTAAGAAATAGTTCTTACTTTCCATGTAGGCTACAGTAAATACAAATTACTTTCATGTTTCATGTAATAAATGTAGTTGGGTCTATTATTTTTAATTAAATATTTAGATCTAGCTACTATTAATCCTTGCAACAACAAAAAAATGCATTCATTTTTCAGTCTCTTTCATAGTGATGTAAAGTAAATAAAGGTGAAGCTTTACAAAAGTTTACTACCATTTAGTATCACACATTTTTTTTAAATAACAAGTATAATGAGTAATAAGTTAAATGTGAATGTAATTAATGTTCTTAACCTATTTATACACAACTTGGACTATTGCCCTAAAATTGCAAAGCCTATTCTTGTTACAAAAAGTTGCATCATTTTCTTATAATCCTTAAAACAATTTGAAGTTAAACAATGTACCTAGGCCTACTTTGTCTTATATTTATATGTAGTACTTCCCTGTTATTAGAATATGGCCACACAATAAAAAGTCATAATTTATTCCATCTCAGGTTAATAAACAGCAAAGTGGCTTATTACTATACTATTCACAGCATAAAGTTGATTATAGCCTATTAAATCAAATTATAATAATAATATTTTTATAAATTTTTAGGCCCAATTTTACTATATTAAAGCAAGACTGTTGCCTTGGTATTGATCGCTGCCAGAAAGGGTCAAACCACTTTTTTAGGCCTACAAAATTGAGTTGTCATTTCATTAATTTCAAAGCTATGGGCTTATATTGTATTTAGTTTTATAGAGACAATTCTACAACTAAACTGATTAGATTATAACAATGAACCTTTAGTGTTTGCCATGTACTTTTTATCTGATGTATTTGTTCATTACACTGAGTATAAGTGGGTGGAGAGTAATTTAAGAACTAACGTCTTCTTAAATTTGATCTGTGATAGAAAATTAAATGCCCTGTAATAAATTAATATTAGGCCCTAATCATTAAAAATATTTCTGACACTGAAGAAAAATTTACAAAAATACCTAGGCCTAAATAATAACTTGATCGAGGCAACACCCAACTAAGACCCCCTCCAGAATAGGAAAAGTCTAAAAGTACAGTGAACTGAGTCTAAATAATAACTTGATCGAGGCAACACCCAACTAAGACCCCTCCAGAATAGGAAAAGTCTAAAAGTAAAAAGTACAGAGAACTGAATCACAACAACACTCCTTAAAATGCCTTAAATTATGTTACGTTAACCCACTGTAACAGTTAGGCCTATAGCCCTATAGATCTAACATCCTATTTTAATAAACATATTTTCAAAAAGCCTTTTGTAGGCTACTGATTTATTTTGATCACTAAAATTGGTATGAAATTAATGTTAAATAAATAGACAGGCCTTGGCCTATAGAATCTAATCTAGAATCTAGTGTCCTATTTACTACTTATTAATAGGAGACTAAGCAGAGGCATAGCCATAGCGACTTGAACCGGTGCCCAGGGCAGACTATCATTTTTGCCCCCCCCCATTTCTATATATATTTATTCCTGTCTGTGAACCCCCCCCCCTCATCCCCCCACCTGTCAGGTGAGCTGTGGTTCACCCCGAATGTTTAGTGACGGATATTAGGGGCAGATAATTTAGTACTAAACGATTTGAAATGACGGGGAGGTAACAATTTCTGGTTGATCTTTTCTTTGTCTGTAAATGGCTGCTTTCAATGTGCGGGAGGGGGAGGGGAAGAGGGGGGGGGGGAAGGACGGGGGGGGGGGGAAGGACGGGGGGGGAGGGATGGGGAAAGGGAGGGGGAAAGGGAGGGGAGGGAGGGGGAAAGGGAGAGAGGGAGGGGGAAAGGGAGGGAGAAAAGGGAGGGAGGGGAGGGAGGGAGGAAAGGGAGGGGGGAGGGGAGGGAGGGGGGAAAGGAAGGGAGAGAGGGAGGGGGGAAAGGGAGGGGGAGGGAGGGAGGGGGAAAAGGGAGGGAGGGGTGGAGGTGGTAGTGTTGAATTCAGGAATTATGAATAGCTGATAAGCAGAAAATTAAACGTAACCAATAAAACTAGATCTAGATCTAGATGACGGCGGCGTATACTACGTCGCGGGTCAGCTCGTTATTATTAATTAGACTAAGAGGAGCTTAAGAGAGAGTTGAGTTATTGCAGGAACGTTGCATCATCACTAGACTTAGACTTCTCTTAACGTTGAACTTGTTAGTTATTAGTTAAAAAATCTAGAAAATCTAGACCTCTACTTTTATTCTAGATTTCTAGATTATATCTTAGGTGACTAGTTTATCAAGTCCAAATTAAGTCACTCATTTAAGAATTTGAGGCTTTCATTAGAATCTAGATCTAGGTATTTAGATCTAGAATTATACAGTCCTATTCCCTCAACTTACTTTTTGCTGATAGATTTAGAATCTGTTGATTCCGCCATGATTACACGTGCAAGCGGGACAACCGGGTGTTAGTTTAGGCCCCAAGAAATCAAGTTAGAAGCAACGTAGGCTAGCCTAGCCTAGACCAACCTAGTAGATCTAGTAGGATGTATGAGATAGATCTAGATCTTGGCCTATAATGACGCTGGGCCCAGCTAGATGCAAGTTTACTAGACTCTAATATTTAATATTATTAATATTTTTTGTTGTAAAAAAATAAAAAACTGTTTCTAAATAATTGTTTTACTTTAAAACCATTTTCCCCGGGCAATTATGTACGACTGATCTAGAATTCCATTTTGTAGACTAGATCTACGAAATATTCTATTGGATTAGTTTTAGAGTAGATTCTAGATCAATCTGACTTTTGATTTCTCTAGCCAGTAAATTAGGCCTACTAACTAGATCTAGATATAAATCGAGTATTATGAAGCTTTTTATGCGTGTAGGTTAGGCTTAACTAAAGAAGGCACACCGTAAAACACGATACAGTAAACATCGATACTGTATTCGTTATGCCACATTATTTAAAACTGCGATACTTAATTTTTTCTCGGCAGACCTAGATCTAGATTCTAAATTTTAACTCAGCCCCGAGAACACGAGGAAGTCCACAAATCTGAATCTAGATCTAGAGTAGTTCTAGAACAGGCCTACTAGATCCATAATAATTCTCTAGATTTTAATCTATAATTTAAACAAAAATGTCTCTGTTACTGATGTTCTACATGAATGACGCAGGAGATAGAGTTTATACTTTAAAAGTAAGGAAGATCAAGATTTTATTTATTGGTAATCTATCGTTTTAGGTACGTAAAATCGGCCGCGACTAGTAATGTGAAAAACAGGTGACTCCTTACATTTTAATAATTATTTCACATTTTGATGAGGATTTATGTTTTGAAAAATACAAAAATGTTTCCTTGTTTCATTTATGTACCTGTTTTTAAACAATTGAATTAAAACTTTTCAGTAATAAATGAACACCAGCGATGTTTCCAACAGATGCAACCACGCTCATTTACTATAGCAGCCATCTTGTTTAAGTTTTATTTTTATAGACATATAGCGCGAGATTCAGGCGGAAGTCATTCTATTTTACAAATGGCTGCTGTTTATATAGCAAATCTTGCTTGCAGACACAGCTGTTTAAAGTTAATTTCTGGCCTATATTGATATATTTAGCCATTGATTTAGGTTTATTATTCATTTATCTATAATATTTGACACAAACATATCACAATTGTGACAATATACTTCTATTACAGCCTTGACAATGAGGTAACGTTTTCGTACATTAATAGCCGCGGGCGATTTTACGTACCCAAAACGATAGATTACCTATTTATTTAATATGGTAATCTATCGTTTTAGGTAGGCTACGTAAAATCGCCCGCGACAGTAATGTGAATGTGAAAAACAGATGACTCCTTAAATTTTAATAATTATTTCACATTTTGAGGAGGATTTATGTTTTGAAAAATACAAAATTGTTTCACTTAGAAATAGATGTAGGCCTACAAATGGCCTACATGTTTTTAAACAATTGAATTAAAACTTTTCAGTAGGCCTAATAAATGAAGACTAGCGATGTTTCCAACAGATGCAACCATGCTCATTTACTATAGCATCCATCTTGCTTAAGTTCCTATCCCTAATCCTACCCCTAACCCTCATTCTAGCCATAGGTCACTGCGCATGCGCAGAGCTATCTTTTGCCGACTAAGTGGAGACATTGGGGAGAAAAATCTTCTTCCGACTAGTCACTTCGAATATATTTATTATTTAGCCATTGATTTAGGTTTATTATTCATTTATCTATAATATGTTTGACACAAATATATCACAATAGGCCTATACTTCTTCTATTAAAGCTTTGACAATGAGGTAACTTTTTTGTACATTACTAGCCGCGGGCAATTTTACGTACCTAAAACGATAGATTACCTTTAATTTAATTAGATCTATTTATTCAACATTTTAGACTAGATCTAGATGATACTACTATTACTAATCTAGATTTAACTAGATCTAGATCTGGTAATCTATCGTTTTGGGTACGTAAAATCGCCCGCGGCTATTAATGTACGAAAACGTTACCTCATTGCCAAGGCTGTAATAGAAGTTTATTGTGATATGTTTGTGTCAAATATTATAGATAAATGAATAATAAACCTAAATCGATGGCTAAATATATCAATACAGGCCAGAAATTAACTTTAAACAGCAGTGTCTGCAAGCAAGATTTACTATATAAATAGCAGCCATTTGTAAAATAGAGTGACTTCCGCCTGAATCTCGCGCTATAAGTCTATAAAAATAAAACTTTAACAAGATGGCTGCTATAGTAAATGAGCATGGTTGCATCTGTTGGAAACATCGCTGGTGCTCATTTATTACTGAAAAGTTTTAATTCAATTGTTTAAAAACAGGTACATAAATGAATCAAGGAAACATTTTTGTATTTTTCTAAAACATAAATCATCTTAAAATGTAAATAATTATTAAAATGTAAGGAGTCACCTGTTTTTCACATTACTAGTCGCGGGCGATTTTACGTACCTAAAACGATAGATTACCCTAGATCTAGACTTTACTTAAACTTACTCTACTCTAGACGTCTAGTTTTAAGTCTCGTTACTAGATCTAGATTAGATTCTAGAATCTAGCTTAGAATCTAGAATAGATCTAGAATTCTAGATCCTAGCTAGCTAGAACCTAGATCTAGTACTAAATCTAGATCTAGAAAGGTACAATTACCATCTAATTGAATCTATCTAGATACACTAGAACTAGAATAGATCTAGATTATTTTATCTAGAAAGTTTAGCCTAGATTTAACTTAATCATTCACTTCATCTAAAGTAAGAGTATTCTAGAGTACATTATTTGTAGACCCTAAGAAAGCCTAATGACTCATGAGATGAGGGACTAATGATAATGCAATGGCTAATGTATTTTTGTTATTAACTACCAGATTTAACTGGGCCTAAATCTGAATTAGATAGCCTATCTAGAATCTAGTAACTATGGAATATGGATGTTGGTATATTGCATAAGGTGAGCCGGTAAGTTGAAAGAAGGGTGCAAAAACTGCCAGTCACATGAGATTTTGGATGATATTTCGAATTGTCAGGCCACATACCACGACGCACAGTGTTGTGTGTCGTGCCTTAACCAAAACAATCTCCCTTCGTATCACCAGCGATATTTAGGTTGATAATGCTATTTTCTCTAAACCAAAATCACCACCTTAATTCAATTTAACCGGAAACGAAAAATGACATTGAAAACAGATTTTTATCCAGAATCGGTACAATAATTTATACAAAATATAGTCATAGGCATATCCCTAAACCATGCACCTAATCTCATTCATGACAAAAGTCGCGTTTATAGTTTCTTTCAGGCAACTCTACTTGGGAGGAGGGGGCTCCGCCCCCCCCCCCCCCCCCCCCCCCCCAAAAACCGTGTCTACCGTCTCATTCAACAAAACATAATTATATACTTTTTCAGTGTCCGCCACCTCCCAGAAAATTCTACCCCCGTCCCCCAAAAAATTCAAGTACCCCCACCCCTCGCCGGGGAGGAAAAATTCTGAAAGAAACACTGGTGTTGCGCTTAGCCACTACCTGAAGAATTGCATGAAAGAAACTCTACACGCAAAACTACACTGAGGTGGGGCTTCGCCCCTACCCGTAAAATTGCATGAAAGAATTTCTGCACGCAAGCCACTTTTAAGATTGAACAAAATTGGCTTTTTAATTCAATGTTTACTCGAATCAATGACGTCATACTATTTTATGCATTTTCCCGGCTTGAGACAATTTTTTGCTATATACTCAATGTGACGCCATGTTTCGTTTCTGTTTTACTCAAATTTACTGTGCATGTTTTTATTTTGCTTGTTTTCTCTATAGCGTTCTTGTCAGATAGATACATAGACAGACAGCGAAACTATTAGTATTAATTAAAGAGACAATTTTACCTTGCATTGGGTGGGGGTAACATTCGAAATTCATCAAATTGGAGACCATCCAAATTAAATAATACCGGTGTTGCATGTGCTAAGCCTTACTTGTTGTATTTTTTCAAACATTTTGTTTTAGTTAGATCCTTAAATAAATAATGGCCAAAATAAAATAGTAACCAGAGCTTCTCGAACATTGATCATCAGAATTTAACACTCCTTACATAGTGGTGACTCATCTCTCCATAATACTTACTCCTTTACATATTTTTCAGAAAATGTGATTCAAAAAGAGTAAAAACATGGCAATGGTTTATTATGCTAATGAATAAGATTCTGCTTTTGTCGAGCAGCAATAAACCTCATCTCTTTTTTATTCCAACAACTTTCGGCTTTCATTTCAGAAAACAGATCCAGAAGGGAAGCCAAGTTTATCAGCACATCCAGCAAGGTTCTCCCCTGAGGATAAATACTCGAGACACAGAATCATTACTAAGAAACGTTTTGGGCTTCTTCCCACGCAACAGCCAAAAACGGTTTTATAATAGTAGAAGAGCACTGGTATTCAACTTCCTTTGACATTCAAGAATGTACATATATTAACATGGTCATGTAAATATTCAGCATTTCAACTTGTGGTATTCCATGTCAATAGATTAAATGTTCTGCAAAAGCATTTTTAATTTGGTTTGTTTTCTGGTTTGATTATATGTAATAAATCTGAGTGATCCAGAATAAGCCTAATTATAATCCGCAGAGGCACATCTGCTTAATTTAAGGTTGTTGGCACACAAAACTACAATAGTTCTAATAGTTGGCATGTCAGATTTTTAGCGCAATTTCCATTCTGGAGAATTGCGTTTATTAATCCGTCATTTCTGGATGTATGAATGGATGTGTGTCCGCAGCTGCTTTAAGTCGTATCTCCTCAACGAAGCAATATCGAGGACTAATTCCAAAAGCAATTATGTTAAGCAAGTTACGAGAATGAACATAGGCCAAAAAAATTCCGGGTTTCTTTCATGGATTTCCCGGAAAAGCCAAAAAACCTCGAAAAAATGCTTTTGGCCCATATCTCGGCAACCAGACCACTTAGCGACTTGAAACATGTACCAATCGATTCCTGCCATAATTTAGAACAATATTGCCGATGAAAGTTTTCAAAAATATTAATTAAAATTTGGACAGAATTAGTAGGCATTTTTATCCAACCACACCACACGCGTCATAGCGCTATGTCAAGAACTCAGGATTCTAAGATAATGGATACAAATTTGTTAAACCAATCTCACGTAGTTAAAAAGTTGGCGTTTTGAAATCGTGGTTTTTCTAAAAAGTGCAATGTTTGGGGGATTATCTGTAAAAGTATATGGCATTGACAAACTTAATCTTTTGAATTCAACACAAAGGCACAAGAGAACAGACTTTTTTTTCAAACCTCAAAAATAAGTACATAATTTTTTTTTGGAGCATGGTACATTTATTTTTAAATAATTCAAAAGGAATATCACATGTTAGGTAATAACCTTACTGGTATCATTGCTATTTGCTTCATCTATCTCATCATTGCTAATTTCTTCTATGTTCTCATTTTTGTCGGAAGGCTTGAGGGGTTCGTTGGATAGGCTAACTGGTAATAAATCACCTTGATCAACATTTCGACTACAACTGTAGAGATGCCTGGGGAAAAAATTTAAGTTTAGGCCAAAAAGCATATGTAATGAACTCCTACTGGTATGATGGTAACGTTGGCTGCAAAAAATATCCCTGGCCAGTTTGGTTGTTTTAAAATTGTTTGATTAAAATGTTCTACTTCTACTAGCCTATATAGGAAAAAAGTTTCATTGATTTGTGGAAATAATTTATCTCAGATGGGTGGGTTTTAGCAGTTGATCAAATGTGCCAGATTTTTAATAAATGTTATAAAGCTGCCTACTTTTCAAATTTCCCTCGAGTCACAACAACATGTTGCAAGTCCCCACATGGAAGACACAGGTGGAGATGTGTGTGTTTTGATGCTTTACTCTCTTGTATTACTCTTGGCCATGTTGTAGCTTCAATAGTAAATAATGCAATTTTCAAAAGTAGGCAATTTTGAGTTCTTGACATTCTAGGAATAATTTTTAAATTCCATTGTTATCACTCATAACCTAAACATACCTTTCTCTCTTGGTCCTCGCTTAAAAATCAGATATGAATATCTTGCAGTTTTTTTGGGATTTTCAGTCTAAATTAAAAAAAATTAAAATATTTAAAAACTTGGATCAATAAGATCAAATGCACAAAATTAATTAAATTATTAACCTGAGACCAATTTTGTCAGAATTGATTACTGAGCAAGTTACATTATCAAGCAAGTACGATCTCATCAAATTACATTAGTTAACTTTGGGACATGGACATCTTTCAATTACAATATAGAAAAAATTATATTGGAACTATGTTGGGAGTTCAAGCTAAAAAGGGCCACAAAAACCTGCTCAAAACTGACCAGTTTTATTGGGGTCAATGGCTGATCATGCAGAGTACATTGTGCTAGACACAGCTGCTGCCTAGCATTTTTAGGGCATGGTCTGTCATGTGGACACTGTTGAATAAATAGAATCACAACATTTTATAGCTGAGGCATTATTTTTAACTTAAATTTTAAATAACTAAACTAAACTTGAAGCAATAAATTGTATGGTAATCAGTAGCAGCCACTCCCCCAGGACCATTTTCAGGATAGTGGTGCCTTTTTCTGCGATTAATTAAAAAAACAAACAAAGTTCCAACTGCTAAATAGAAAAATTGCAAACTTGAAATTGTCAACAAATATTTTCCAAGGACAAGATTATTCCAAGTTCTGATGACTAAAGTTAGTTATAGAGGTCAAGTAGAAGATAGCAAAAACAGAGCATAGCGTAGACCAGTAGATTTGAAGGAGATGACCAATTAGGTAGCTCTAGGGGAAAGATGTAGAGTTAGGGATGATCATGGGAGCGTGTAGGGAGAAGTGAAGTGTTAATTGCAGTTAGATAGTGTTAGTAGAAATGGTAGGAGTCAATTTGATGTGTAAATAAAGAACTGTATTATTTATATTCCATTGGGCCATTCCATACTAACAGGCGTACACAAGAAGAGGTTATTCCCGCAGGAAGAATATATACCATATGCTCATTACGGAGCATTATAGTTATATATAGAATCAAACTTTCTACTGGTAGAACTGCCACTATCACATTTGGTACAGCAGCGGTTTCTTCAACTTGCACCCTCAGAGTTTGGGCTTTCTTCAACCTCACACAAGTAAGGGGTCATCCATTTATGACATCCACACAAAATTTTGGAATTTTAGACCCCCGTCCACAGGCGTCCTCTTTTGACGAAATACCACACCCCTCTCCCCTCATTGTGGACGTCCACAACAAATTAGACCTCTCAAAACATGCTAAAAATTACTTATTTATTTACATGCAATGTCGCGCTAACCGTTAGACCTACACACCTGACCAAGTGAGCACATACACGCCCTGGTATTTAAATATGTAATTGTAACATGGTTATTTTGAGTTTTTTACTTGAAAAAAAAATTGACTACATCATCTTGGGCTTGACACAAAAAAAATAATGATGTAGGCCTACTATGATATGGTTGCAATTGTTTGATATGTTTAAAAATAAACTTGAAATATCATGAATTGTTTTAAAAAATTGCCCCTATCACTGCCCCAAAAAAAATTAATTTTGCACGGGTGGCACCCTGCAGGGTGTGATGTGGCGCCTCGGTCTTCCCGTGAGTGCTATGGTGCCTACGTTCATTTTAAACAGTGAGATAGACTATGGATAAAATGGGGCATTAATCGTTCAATAACTTGAATCAGGCAATTGTGCCGGCCCTCCTGCAGAGTTCAATTTGCCCCCCCCCCCCCCCCCCCCCCCCCGACTATGCCTATGTCCATTTTTAACATTGTGAAAGACTATGCATAAGATTGGGTTTTAGAGTCGTTCACTAAATATTATCAGGCGCGTCCGTTGGCGCCCCAGGCTTTTTTGGGCGGTAGTGTAGGTAAACCCATGCCCCAACAAACATGATTCAAACGCAGGCATTGTTAACATCTAAATAACTCAGTTTTAGGAAACAAGGTCAAGCATGTAAGAATATAGGATAGGTAGAGCATTGATGAAACCCTCTTAATATATTTCGTCAGATTTTATTTGTCTTTTATGCATTGCTACACCTTTCATCTGATCGCCATGAAACTTTGGGAAGTGTTGAGAATATTCCAGGGGAGGTTTCTGCAGGAAAAAATTTAATTTCGCAGGGGCAGCTCCCCAGCAGGATGCAATTTGGTGCCCTATGTTATCCCGTTAGCGCTATAGCGCCTACATTAGTTTAAAACAGTTCGATAGACTATGGATAAGATGGGCCGTTTAGTCGTTAACTAAATTGAATCAGAAGTGTTTGCTGGTGCCAGACAGGTTGCAATTTGGCGCCCTGGGCTATCCCAGTAGTGCCATGGCACATACGCTCGTTCTTAAGAATATGTATAAGAAGTAGTATTATAGTCGTTCACTAAACTGAATCAGGCTCATTCGATCACGTCCCAGTAGGGTGCTATTAGCCCCGGGCTATCCTGGGACGCTAGTATACATATATTAAGAGAATAATTATTTGAATAAAAAATTTCAGAAGCTTAGCATAGAACTCAGTCAGGTATCAAATACTTACTGGTGCAAAAGCATGACCTTCAAAATCTTCAGGTTGGTCTGCTGACAGCTGTAAAAAAAAAGGTAGTTTGTTAAGAAGTTATATTTAACTTCAACACTAGGTGACTACTAGCAACAAAAGATGTTTTGCATATTTTTACCCAAATAGTGAGCTAAGCGGTTAGTAAAGCTTACCCATATCAGGTAATCTCTGGCTTCATTTATCAAGGTGAAGCCAGCGGTTGTGCCATACTCAATCAGAATCTATGAACAAAGAATTAGCATTGTGTTTATGTGATTATTTTGTTTTGCCAAATATAAAATCTGTGTTGTATTGCAGTTTTAGCTTATTTGAATATAAAAATAGATTAACCACTATCTGTTCAAGATGATAACTTAAAAAAAAAGATGGATTCTGTTGTGCATTCCTGTAGTGGTAGCAAACAACCAGATATAAGAACAAAATTTAATGAAAAACAGCTCTTCACCATGTCATGGTGAAGTTGAACTAATATCTTTTTGCTTTACATAAATGGAAAAAAGTAAAAGACAAACAAGATAGTTCTGTGTTCTCTCCCATAAATCTTGAACCAGTTTAAGTCTCTCCTGTTGTGAAGGCTGTTCTATAAGAATGTTTGTGCTGACAACCAAGGGATGTTTGTGCTGAAACATTTTGTGTAATTTCATCAATATAAAAAGTTATATTACATTTTAAAAAAACATGTATCTTCAAAAACTTCTTTAACTAGAATGGTGCAACAGAAATACTTTTAATAATATACATAAAATCTATTTTAAAAAAAAACTTTTTTTAAAGAAAATATCTACATTTCTTTCCAGAGAAGGAAAGCCCATCTCATCTCATATTTAGTCATACATAGGCAGTGATATTTCAGAGTTGTAATTTGAAATTCCTATCAATGTATTTTAGGGCGATAAAAAAAATTTAATAACCTCTTTTGCACTCGGTTCAAACTGCCTGAAATATACACCTGGAATACTCTGGACATGTAACTGTTCGTTACCATCTAAAAAAAAATATTTATATAAATGACTATCAATTTAAATAGTTTATAAATAATTTAAAATAAGAAATGCTGAATGTTAATACCTTGTAATAGCAACTGAGCTATGGTATTCATATGAGGAGATGAATCAATACAGTAATGTTCTCCAATAGTTCTCCATGCTTTGTCTGCAGCCCTTTAAATTAAATGACAAGAAAATTAGTTAAAATATAAGTTAATTTAAAAAATTAATGGATTTGCCAGGAGTACAAATACATAAGTTAAAAACTTACCAGATGCCTGCTCCAACCTTAGAGCCAAGATGATAGACAGATAAGGGTTTGAAATCTGGATCTCGCTTTGTTATCTGAAATTTTTAAAATTAACAACTTTGTATTTCTAAGTAATCAGTTTTGCAAATAAACTGTGACAATTGGGAAATAATTAGAGATGGTAAGGCAATCAAGCCTGAAACCAAAATTTTTCATACAAATCTCTGCAGTTAATTATGTTAAAAATTTGTTATTTAAGACTCAATGATTCAGTTTTCTTTTTATGCTATCAGCGAATAAAAATCTTGTTTGACTTGGTATTGTGACTAATGAGAAAGATTTTATTTTAATTACCTCAGTAAAACATTGTGATGCAGCAGCAAAATCTAATGTGATGGAAGACACCAAATATACATATGATGTAAAGGCATCATATCTGTAAGATTATGTATATAAACATTTAATATTGACATTTTGTGGCAAGCTAATTACAATCTAAATGCTTAAACATGACTACCATTTTTTTTTTAAAATCACTCCCATGTATGAATGATATCCCTTATCAAAACAAACTTTGAGACAAGTCACTGATCATTAGTTGCTTCCCTAAATTAATTCTATATAGTAACTGTATAGCAACTTTGAATGAATATTATAAAATTAATTTAACATTTAATTATATCACAACTATGGAATTCTGCATTATTATCAAAGATGCACACAATTCAAGGCCTGAAACAAGTAAATTTTAAAGAATTGGTCAAAATTTGATTGCTATATTCCACTCAGGCATACATAACTGACAGAGGAACCAATTTATAAAAAAAAAAAGCGGATTAAATAGTATGTTAGACTTACTGCATTGGTTTCCAATGATAAACAGTTTTTTTTAATCTTAAAAAAATCTTTCTTTTGTGGGCCTCTATAGCTTCTTTTAAAGAACTGCCAGATAACCCCTCAAATATGTTGCCGTCTAAAACATTGCCCATGAATAAGTTAATATAACAGTATAAAATAAAATGCTCAAAAGAAAATTGTTAAATTTAATTTTTAAATAGAATAAACAGGGTAATTAAATACAGATATCACTTTCTTTACATTAGATGTTTATGTTAAGAATGATATTCAAAGATTTGCAAAGATTTAATGAGAAAATTGAAAAATACAGTCATTATTAAAACTACAAACTGAGGAACTGCACCTTTTTCAAGTATTTTGCTCTCAATTTCCCTTGCTTTATCAGTTAGAACAGAATCACTAGGGGGAATCCGTCTGTGTTGTAAATACCTCAGTAGTTTCTCTGTTTGCACTGCAAGTGCTTTTACTGGATATTCTGAAAATGTAAATATGCTCTACTATTGTCTAGCAATGTGCTAACTATTTTACAACCTATCCTATTATTAATTTAAAACACTTAGTATACACAAGTTTACTCACTTTCTATTAATATTTTTATAGCTTTGACAAGTCTTGATGGTAAATTAGATTTTTTGCGGTTTATGACTCCTGGGTGAGATCTATAGTTAATATGGCCTGATTTGCCAACACTTTGCTGTTCCAGGTGTTCTGCTACTGATTTGTCAACTTTAGAATCTTTTGTTATCAGATTGCTCATGTACGTTCCATTAGACTGATTCTAGAAAATCAAGCAGTTTTGATTTAGATAGACTGAGACTAAAACAATACTTTTTAAAATGATACTTCTTTTATGACATCTTTTCATATTACATCAGGTATTGGAGGTCTAACACTAAAATTAAGTAACAAACTATTTTTGAAGGTACTTTGCTTGTAAGCACTTTGTTAAAATGACAATTTATTATCATAATTTTATAAAACAACGTGGGAAAGTCATCTCATAAACTTTCTCAAATATTCGTATATGACACTAAGGGGGATGGCAACTCCAGTTTAATCGGGGTATAGACAGGTAATTTTTAAATAAAACATTATCTCAAAAAAAAAAAGAATTACGCACTAAATGAACAGCAAACAATGTGTGTATAATATTGTGGAAAATTAGTACATTATAAAGAAAACCTTGATTAATTTTTCACATATATATATAACTTATAGGGTCTATATATACAGTGGCATAGCGAGGTCGGGTGTCACCCCCTCAGAGGCGTAGCGACTCTTCCCAGGGATAAACTTTCAGTTTTCGATTTGCACCCCCCCGTCAAACTTTCAATTTGCACCCCCCCCTCAAACGTTCGATTTGCATGTACTCTCGTCTTGTTGACAGTCGCTTCACACGATTTGTGTTAGAGCAGATTGTTTCCGACCAGTATGGACAATACAATTGTTAAAATCTTTAAATCTTCTTTTCTTTGGTGGTGTTGTCTTCTCCTTTCGAACATTTTTTGATCTGCTGGAATTGTTACGAGTTTCTTACATCAAAACAAATATCTTTAGATTCTAGATAGTTAGAATTGGAGTTTCATTCACATGACATTTGTCGTCCCCCCCCCCCCCCAACAAAAAAACCCACATTTCTTTAAAGGCCCATGGTTGTATGTGGACTCAGTGGCGTAGCGAGGTCGGGTGTCACCCGGTGCGGCACTTAATGGTAGCGACTCAGAGGCATAGCGACCCTTCCCGGCGCCCGAGGACAAACTTTCAATTTGCACCCCCTCCTCAAACTTGTCGGGATTTGCCAAATTTGCTCTTAAAAGACTATTTAACACTCGAATTAATCACTTAATTAAGAGGAATTATCATTTTTCTCTATATATTTTACTATTTTTGCCTTGGTGTCACCCCCCTAAATGGTGTCATCCGGTGCGGTACGCACCCCCCCCGGCCTCTGTATATATACATACTAGCTGCATCCCGTGCTCCGCCACGGTAAATCTTTTTTAAATGTACCAGCTTGGGAACAGGACAAAACTAAACACAACACAAACGAACGCAAAAAAAAAAAAAAAAACACAAACGAAAAAACAAACACAACACTCATAACATAAACACAATTTAAATGCAATCATAAAGGCATATTGCTCACAGTCTAGCCCGTAGCGCCAAATCGCGCCCTTTCCGGTGATTTGCACCCCCCTCAAACTTTTGATTTGCACCCCTGTCCCCCCCTCCCCCGCCCTAAAACTTTCGATTTCCACCACCCCCCCCCCCTCGCAAATTTTTTCCAACCCACTTTGGCGCCCCCTAAGGTTGGCACCCGGGGACATATGCCCCCCCCCCCCCTCGCTACGCCTCTACTATAAAACCCCTAGCTTGTTCGCAAACCGAAAGATAGAATAATAATTAGTAAACAGTATAAATAATAGGCAATATTTAAAATATCCGTGTTTTACCTACAATATTTCACTTTATCCATTCACGCATTTTTTCCCAGTACTTTAAATTTTAAAAATTTACAATAGAGTTTCATAACTAAAACCATTGCGCACCGAATGAACGTGATGACGCGTCTATAATAGTGCTTAATAGTTGATTAAAAATTATAAGTAGTAAACATTACATTCAGTGAATAAAATAAATAAAAAATAGCCTTTTATCAATCAATGCTAATTATAATATTCCAACAATAATGTACTCTTACACGTCTGCATAATTTGCATTCACATTTTGCTAATTATATTATTCCAACAATTATTCCGTCTTGCAGATTTTGCATTCACATTTTTAGCGTGAGTTCAATTTATTTTTAAAATACCTCCCTTGGCAAAATTACTAAACAGTTTAATTAGATTTTTCTAACCTACAGCTATTATGTTATTAAAATGTATCCACTTTCTCTAGGAATATTAACGAAAACGATATTTGACAATGATCCTTTTAATATGTTTTAGCAATGTGCATGTATTTAATATTCTCTTTACGTTATGCAAAATTGTACAAACAGTGGAAATTATAAAATAGCTCTATGTCGTTATATAAACAAACCCTACTCTAATACTTATAATAAGACACTGTGGTGCACTCAAAAGCACTGCATGGTGCATAGTTTACTTTTATGGTTCCAAAATCTATAGCGATGATGGACGGACAGACACAGCCCGCTTATATTATAGATATATATAACCTATAGGCCTATATATACACATATATATAGGTCTATATAAATATATATGTGTGTGTGCGCTAATGGGGCTTGAGCAAAAGAATGTATACACATTTAGAGTTTGTATTAGGTGACTCTTTCAGTATAACCTATGCGACTAAAGCTTGGATATTCGCAAAAACATGTGAAAAAATAAACTAGCCCAAATCTATCACACTTTAGTACACTTTAGAATATTATGGTACAAGCGGTAGGTGAAGTAGAGTTCACCTGTTTCATTGACCTTGGCATATGGAGAGAGAGCAAAGCTGGAATTATGTGATCATGCTGCTGGGTACAATATAACAAATTTAGCTTTGAAATAGCATTGTAAAATCTTAGGAGAACATAAAAAAACAGTTGACAACAAGATATGGGGTGGTGGACCACTATCCTGAATATCGCCAGGTATGAAGTCCTTTCATATGTAGTGTGTTACTGTAGTGTAGTAGAACCATGGCAGCAAGTGCAAGGCTTCAAAATACCCATTCATAAGAGTTAGACAGTGAGCAGGTGCAGCAGAGTTATGTAACTCTATGCCTGAGCTACTAAACTATAGTTTTCATTAATTTTACAAGTGAGTCTACATCTCCTTGCATGTCCATATGTTTAGTTTGTGAAACACACGTTTCAGTAAAAATAGTACAAATGACCCGGACTAATTTTTTTTTTATTACTGTTTGGCAGTGTTTGATCCATTAGTGCCTGATGACCTCGAATTTGCAACATACCGACATATAATATTAATAAATAATTATAAGCCCTATACCTCAAATTCATTGTCATTATGATGAGAGAAAATCAGTACAAATAATTTTGTACACGCTTGGAACATAATTCAGGCATTAAGTTTAGTTCAGGGTTAGGTTAATACTAAGATTAAGAAGAATTAGTGTTTTTCATTCATTCATTATTAGAAGCTAAATTATTAAAATGAAACTAAATTTTTATGTAAATTTTATAGGTAATCTATCGTTTTGGGTACGTAAAATCACGCGCGGCTATTAATGTACGAAAACGTTACCTCATCGTCAAGGCTTTAATAGAAGTATATTGTCATATGTTTGTGTCAAATCTTATAGATAAATGAATAATAAATCTAAATCAATGGCTAAATATATCAATATAGGCCAGAAATTAACTTTAAACAGCAGTGTCTGAGAGCAAGATTTGCTATATAAATATGAACAGCAACCATTTGTAAAATAGAGTGGCTTCCCCCTGAATCTCCCACTATAAGCTTATAAAAATAAAACTTAAACAAGATGGCTGCTATAGTAAATGAGCATGGTTGCATCTGTTGGAAACATCGCTAGTCTTCATTTATTACGGAAAAGTTTTAATTCAATTGTTTAAAAACAGGTTTATAAATTATGAAACAAGGAAACATTTTTGTATTTTAAAAAACATAAATCCTCCTCAAAATATGAAATAATTATTAAAATTTAGGGAGTTCACCTGTTTTTCACATTACAAGTCGCGGGCGATTTTAAGTAAAACGATTTTTATAAATTTATTAGCGTGTATTACGGCATCGTAATTTCTAAGGGCAACCATTTTGGAAATGGCGCTGACTTCCCTTTTCGCTTTTTGTCCCAGGCTTCCGCCACCGCCGCGCGTGAGTCTAAAAATAGACTAACGGCTTGTTCCAACCGGCATTTCGTTGACGCTCTCTGCCTTTCGGGTTTACTTGACATATTGGAAAATTTTTTGGCGGACGATATTTATTAATTTAGTTTTTCTTTCTTCGGAATATTGCTGTCAAAAATAGAGGTAATTTCATCATTTTTTTTCTATTTGAATTAGATTCCAGTTCTTTTTAAAATTTTGGTAGTTCGACAGAGTTTTGCAAATTTTCTTTAAATTAAGTCTGAAAACGGCTAATTTCCCACCAACAAGTCGTTTAAATGTACCTGCAAAGTCTGAATCGATAGCTTTGTAGCCGCCATTATTTTAAAAAGATTTCAAAAATATTGTATATTTAATAAGTTTTTTAAAAATAGCATTATTAAAAAAAACTATTTTACGAAAAAAAGTAATAAGGTTTAATAGTGTCATTAGGTAGATCTAGATTTAGCTAGACTAGACCTAGAATTTCTAGATCTAGATTCTAGATTATCTAGACTCTAGTCTAGAATCTAGATCTAGATCTAGAGATCTAGAAATCTAAATCCAGATCTAGATCTACGACTAGAGATTCTATCATTCTAATCTAGATCTAGAGTCTAGTCTAGATTCTTAGAATTAGATTCTAGATTAGATCCAGATGATCGTCAAGCTAGACTCTAGACTAGATCACTAGGAGAGGCTAGATCACTATCACTAGATCTAGATCAATTTATCATGAAACCTAGAATCTCTAGATTTCTAGATCTAGATTCTAGATGATGTAGATTCTTTATTCTATACATATTCTATAGTACAATTAAGTATAAGCCTAATCTAAATTATTTTAGAAGATCTAGATCTCTATTAAAAAATTAATCTAATTTTCTAGATATAGACTCTAGATTCTAGAATCTCTAATCAACTCTAATCTACTTTTTTTTTTCAGTCTGGTCTTGCAGCGCTTTGATAGAAATCTGAGTGAGAAATCATTCAGCCATCGGAATCACGGTTAGTCTTTCTGATAAGTGACAGTACTTTAAGTGATCATAATTATTTACCTAATTATTAATTATAGACTACTTTTAATTATAGATCTACCTATTTAGTGTTAAGTAATTAAATCTAGATCTAGTTCTAACTTACCTCTACTCTAAACTCTAAACAATAGTAACTTTTTACTAGACTCACAATTTTAAAAACAAATGGTTTTTTTTGTGTGTGAAATAAACCTAGTAGGCCTAGTCTATTTATTTTAAAAAACCTTATGCTTAGATATCTATATCTAAATTTTCCAAATGCATTTTCAGAAGTTCGAACGAGGAGATGGAGATGGCTGGGCCATGTCCTACGCATGAGCAAAAGATGACTCCCCCAACATGGCACTGGAAAACGAAAGAGGGGAAGACCACTGGGAACATGGAGGAGAGAGATGGAAGAAGAAGTGCAAGCTGCTGGCAAGACTTGGCATGAACACAAGTGGCTCGCCCAGGACAGAGTGGAATGGCAGGGATTTGTTGCTGCCCTATAGTCCACAGGGAGTGATGAGGATTAAGTAAGTAATTTGTAATAGACTACTAATGTAACAGACTTTTTTCTAACACTAATTGTTTATTTTAGTATACTAAGTCATGACTTGATTCATCAACTTACAGCTATAAAATACAGTTGCACAGAACTTCCTTTATAATTCATATTTTTCTACAATAAGTAAACTAAGAAAAGATACTAAATCATTGCAGAGAAAGCAGACACAGATCCAGTGTTGGAAGAGGAAGTATTTTACATAAAAGAAAAAAAAACAGATGTCAAAGCAGGTATTGGCTGGTGCAGAAACAGCATGAAAGGGTAAGTTATTGATGATTTCAAACATAAAATATGCTAAATTGCAGGTTAGGTTTCAAAGAACAACTGGACATCTTCAGCAAGAGAATTGAGAACCAAGATTGATAGTGTTAAATGGGAGATGGATTTGCTGACAATGACAGAGTATTGAAGGAGATAGATGATGCTTTAAGAGGAGAAAGGGTCAAGATCTCAGTAAAGAATGACATTGTTCATGCAGAGAATCTCAAACTGATTGAGGAGTTTGACAGGGTCATCGACACAAACCAGTTACAGCACAAAATAGACACAGACATTCAATCTCGAATAAAGCAGATGAAGAAAAAGTTGGAAGCTATGGAACGCAGAGATACTGAAAATTCCATCTATGATGTGTTGTCTGGATCGAATGTCTCAGTAAACCATCCCCTATTTCGTGGTGTTGACAGAAGCTGAAACCCTCTTTGTCAAGAATTGTGGGTGGTAAAGACCTGGTTGGTGTCCAGCTGACTGACAAGTGGGAGCTAGATGATCAGAAAGTGCATCGCTATTATGTGAGGATTATTAACAGAGTACTAGCTAAAAAGAACAAGTCTGTTGTCTACACTGTATGCTACTGGGCACCGGATGAGGATGAAGCTGAGGACTTTTGCCTACCTGCTGAATCACTAATAGCTGACTAGATTAGTAGTATCTCTGCTTTACATCCTAATCTGCTGTTAATCCTTGGACAGCATGATTATTAAAAATTTGAGCTTTAAAAAATAATTAATGTTTCATTTTAAATTTGCTTTGTTCCTTTGTTATATATTTTTATGTTTACAGTTACATGCAATGATTGCAATATTTATGTCTTTACAATATGTATATAATTTCTATTTTTTCAAAAGTGCACTAAATTTTTTGTTAAAAAATAAAGGTTGGTATGTAATGACATGGTATTATGTTTTTAATCTTTTTTTTTTATATTTTACTTATGGTATTCTAATTTGATACACAGTATAGTGTAAACAAATCAAATAACTTTTTTTTTTCTTTGCAGATTTTTGTATCTTTCCTGGACTGATGACTTTCATTCAACCTGATCATTTTTTAATTTGCATCAACTAAAACATGTTATATAAATCACTTTGTTGTACTCACACCTTAAACTTAAACCCATTATTACTTTGTTCTTTTCATTGATAATTGAAATTTATATGATTGCGTCTAAATCTAATAAATAAATATTTTTTGGAAAGCAAACCATTTTGGTTCTTTTTATTTTTATCTTTTGTTTTAATTTGAAACCAGGTCTTGTATAAGAAATTATACTGGTGGATCTGTCAGAGTAACACCATGTTTGCACTTACCACATGAATACTATACATGTCTAGAAAAAAACAACTTGCAATGAGTAAGCCTTCATATACATGTTCTGATAAAATAAGCTTATGCTGAAGTTTTTTCTCTAGACTTGCGCAATTCACAGTGCAACAACAGTTATTGGAAGTAAGCAGTCAATAAATAAATATATTTATTAGACACCAAATTACATATTAAATATTTAGAATGAATAAATAATCATAGTGAGAGATAATGGTTCCATTAATTAGTATCACTAGCTTAACTGATGAATTTTTATAACTTACTATAATGTGTTCAAGCAAGGTTAATAATATTGATAATCTATAGGCCTAACTATAAGAAGCAGCTGAATACCTTTGTAGAGGGCCTATATAAACTATATTATAACATTTTCACTATTTTAGATAATGGTATTGGTATGAAATTGTTGGTCATGTAGGGCCTTACACAAATGTTAAAATCTAATAATAAAAAAAAAAATATTTTGCTACTACTACATGGTGGTAATTCAAGTTTTCAGTAGGCCTATGCCTAATAATTTATTCAAATATTAATAGGCCTAGCTGTGTATAGTAAATATAATTTTGATAAGTCTAACTCATAATAAAATACTACATTAACAATTTATAGTAAAATGACGAAAAGTCCGAAAATATAATTTGACGCGTATGACGTCATCAAGTTGTGTACTACCAATATCGGAGACACTTTTTTTTTTAATGTAAGAGGAAAAATAATGGTGGCAGGTTAATCCAAATTTTTTATAAACACAAAAATTTTAAAATCGAAATAGGCTAAATAAACTTTTGCTAGACACACACAGAGTATAAAAAGTAGTTTCAGTAAAAAATTACGCGTCGATCGGTATCTTTTCCTCCAGAAAATAACGAATTTTTCAATTTTCGAAATACACGCTAAATTTATTTTATTTTATACTTTTATTTATTTTTATACTTATACTAAATAATATAAATATATAGATCTAGTATATCTATATACCCTTAATATGAAACATCTGTTTAATACACTCCTTAGACAACGAGTGTATGTTATGCATTGAGAACCTTGTTGAACAAAATAAGAAGGATGGCAACAAGAATTATTATACAAAGTTCGTCGCAAGGAGGCGGCCATTTTGCTAAAGGGAGGCTATTATAAATATTTGTAATTAAATAATCGACTACTCCAGCCCGGTAACCACTGCAGCACACTGGGCCTTTTAGTACTATCTTGATCTCTACATCTAGATCTAAATAAATCAGAAATATTTCGAAATTCAATCATCGTCTATCCAGAACTATATATATTTTATACACCATTAACTATATAACTATTTCATTTTAAATTATTAAATAGGAAAATTACATTTTATTTATGTTCATTTTATTCATGGTAGATCTTGATAATTTTGGACGAGTATTACTCCTCGATACCAAGTGAACATGGCGGCATATTCAGTTCATTCAGCCACCACAAACAATTATTTTAGTTTAGATGATATTTTGGCTAGTCAAGAAAAAATACCATGCACATTTAACATCGAAGTAGCATCCATGGGTAATTTTAATTTAAATCAAAATCTTTTAACATTCAAAAATTAAATTCTAGATCTAGATTTTAGATCTATTTTCTAGAGTGACAATCTGAATCTCTGAACCTGCGAACAACACACATCACATAATTTACAATAATTTTAAATTAGGTAAAATCTTAGTTTAGCGTCGTAAATTCGGCCAAAACTAGTAATGTGGGAGAGAGTGAATTAATGAATATGTCATTAAATATGAGTATATTTTCGTATATTTTAATAAAATATTATAAATAATTGAATAATAGATCACCATTGATGGTTAAATCAATTTAAATATCCTGAAATTAATTTTTATCAACCCTGTTCGAGATAGTAAATTTGCTATTAAAAACAGCAGCCATCTTAAGAAAATGTTATTGAGAGTAGCTTCCCTTTCATTTCTATTCATATGAAAATGTATTTAAATATGATCGTCTTGTTGTATAGTCCGTATTACAAAGCATTTTTTTAAATGTGAATTTCCTAACAAACAACTTTATTAATTCTAGAAGCATTGTGAGATGCAACTTGTATCCATGTATTAAATCACGTGTTTTCTTACTCAGAGGCGTAGCGACCCTTCCCGGGACAAACTTTTCGATTTGCACCCCCCCTCGAGATTTCGATTTGCACCCCCACCCCCCTCGAGATTTCCATTTGCACCCCCCCCCCCCCTCAAACTTTCGATTTGCACTCCCCTCAACCTTTCAATTTATTTTTCCAACCCATTTTGGCGCCCCCTAAGGTCGGCGCCCGGGGACATATGTCCCCCCCCCCCCGTCCCCCTCGCTACGCTACTGATCTTACTATTACTAAATAGTTGTGAGTTTTTTCTTATTGTTTGAATGTTCACTATTTTCATTTCAGGTTTTTCTTTTCATCAGTTAGTAATTCTATCGTAACTTATGACATTTTTTTTTTACTTCTCTTTACCTTAATTAAACCCCAACCTCCGTCATATTTTTGTCGTCAATGTCACAACAAGTCATAATGTAAAAAATTACGCTTCACTCTGCCTTATCTAAGATCTCTAACCATAATTTTGACAACATTAAATGTTTGTCATCATTTACATATACAAAGAGACCAAATGTATTATCCACCAACTTCCCTCGTAAAACATCATCTAAAACAATGAGCCCGTCCACCCCTTAAGCGCGTGTTGTCATTATGGTCGATCCCAAGTCTCCACCTGCCAGACACATTTTGGTTATCCTTTCTTGTCAAATCGTCAATATCAAGTACACAAGTGAGTGATATGGGGTTGTCCATAAATGATGTCACAATGATGTCACATATGATTTGCTACGGGAGTGAGTGAAGATTTGTGACGTCAACTCAGGCGGCTTTGCAATTTATGACGTGTCGGTCTCATGAAAGGAGGTGAACGGGGAAAAATACCTAGGTGATTGATGGAGAACCTCTATAATGCTTTGTTCAATCAAAATAACGATAAATAAGCATTAGTATACGTATACCTTGCTTAAAACACAAATGTCGCAAGCCTGCTAGTTTAAGACATTCGGCAAAACGTCCGCAACACATTATCCCCGTCAAAAAGGCTTGCCACCAAATGCCTGCCGACGAATAAGCCGTGTCTAATGCGGGGCGTTAGGAATACGGCCATTAGCATGGGCCACGTTAGAGCACCAGTAAGCTATCGCGCTTTGTAAGATGACGTAAATACTTAAATTCAATTTCGCTAAACTGCGCGAAAATTTAGTAATGTTCCATCGTTTGAGGAAATTTATTTTCTTGGACTTAAATTGAAATATGTTGACTCTTAATTTCCGAATATCACTTTTAATGTATCAAGATTCAGAACTATAATTTACTTTAATATAAGTGTCATCTTATCGTTTATTGTGGTTTTTAAAAAGCGCAGAGCAGCTACAAAATCGGACGGCCATCCTGTTTTCACCAAGCTTCTTTTGGAGCTTAATATGGGTAGTCTAGTTCTATACGGTGTGAGCTTAGTACATTTTTAAAGGGCCGAAAGTCTCAAGACAGCAAGCTTGCAGAAATAACTACGTACGTTTAAATGGACGAGTGATAGATGTGTTAGGGGCTGTTTAATGAACACCAACTTATGTAATCAAACTAAACGTCGCGAAAGCGTCAAAAAGGCAGTGCTTATTGTTTTTTTTTTCTATAAAATTAGCCTAACGGTCGGCGGTACCGCTACATGACGTCACGTGCGAGCGTTAACTCGGTGACGATGTGCTAAGTGGGGGAATGAAAAAGGTAGGGTTCAAGAAATGCGACTCGGCAAGCTTTTGACATTTCTTGACCTTTCTTAATAGTTTTTCGTCCCCACTGAGAAAATGGATCACCAATGAATGACGCGTCATACTTCTACAGCTGGTCTTTCTCCCACAACCATCCCGTTTTCACGAGAAAAAAAAACTGACCAGTCTCCAAAATCACATCCCTGAGTTCTACTCAACCTCTCCCCACCACAAATCACAATTTCTATCTGAAACAATATGTTCATATGTTTGCTCTGTAATAATGCACGCTGTCATTACTATCTTAAGAGCGACGTCATTTATGAGCGATCTAATATTGATTTGCTTACTGCAAATAAAGTGTTAAAAAGTTCGACCTCCCAACAATTGTTGTGGTCTTGGATGCACACTATTAAGTCTGATATGGTCTATTAGTCATTCATGTCAACTATATTTTAAAAAAAAGAAAAATTACTATACAGGGGGTCATCCATAAATGATGTCACGCTTTTTTTGACGATTTTTACCTCCCCTCCCCTCCGTCAAACGTAGTCACAAAAAGCCAGACCCCCCCCCTAAAATGACGTCACACCTCAGCCTACACCCCCCCCCCCCCCCTCAAAATTGCAGTTGAATTTTTTTTTAACAGCTATATTTTTTTTGTCTGAACTCTGTCAAAATAGAGTATTTTAATCAATTGTTATTACAATGTATTAAAACAGTTTTTTAAAACGCAAAATAACGTCTAAAATTCGTTTTGTAACATTGCTTTTTTAAATTGCAAAAGTGTGATGTCGCACCGTCTGAACCCCTCCCCCTCCCCCACAACGTCACAAAATTACGGGCCCCCTCCCCCCTACGAGTGTGACGTCATTTATGGACGACCCCCGGCATATATTAAAACAATACAAAACAATCATATTAAACCACAAAATCAACACAAAAGACATGCGAATAGACAATTTATTGTTTTTAAAACATGGCCGCTGCTTGTATTTACTCATTGTTGTCTCGAACGGGGTAGTTTAAAGTTTATTCCAGGATATTTATGACTGGTTTGGTCTTGGATTGTGATTTGGTATTCAATTATCTGTTATATTATGTAAAATATGACATAAATATGGCCAAATGAAAGAAATATTCATTAGTTACCTTCATCGCACATTACTAGCTAAGTTGGAATTTACGACGCTAAACTAAGATTTTACCTTAAATTATACTCATAGAGTCAATACTCACATGTCACATAGATCTAGAAACATACTGATACTCACACATAGCAAACAATTAGAGATTACATCTAGAATCTAGATCTACTGTAGTCCAGCGACTAGTCTAACTACTAGCTAGAGCTAAATCTAGAGTAGATTTCCTAACGCGGTCACACATAGCAAAAAAATCCGAACTCCCGATTTTCATCGGGCGCTATTTTGTACCCGTTTCACACAGAAACAAACTGAAAGTACCGTGTTATTCCGCTGCCATTCTACTCTAATATTTATAAGTCATTTTGTACTCCTACGCATAGTATTTGAGATATTCATGTTTTAGTGACGTGCCTGCTGCGATCTTTTTTTCCCCTTTTTTTCTTGCCGGCGGTCACATTTTCCTGTTGCGTAACAAGCGTAGTTTTTTACGTTTTGATCCAATTTTAATAGCTAAAATAAATAATTTACACCTTCAAACGTGTTGTTGATTGTATTATTAATTAATAGACTGCAAAACCAAATAAAAAACACTTTAATTAAATTTATTAACAACACATCACGGATGACCCAGTCATAACTCAAGGGACGCAATTTTAATAATCATAACAAAGGGACGTAACAATTACTAACAAGACAAAACCTAACATTTGCTTAGATATGCTTGTATATGGAGACACAAACTAGTTCTAGAAGAAGTAGATGATCGAAATAATTTAAAACCACAGAATAATGTATAAACTATACAGATTCTAGACTTAGCCTGAAATATAGAGCATCTAGATCTAGGCTAGTCTAGCTCAAGTCATTGGTTACGCAGCGAGGAAAACGACCCGAATCCTCAGCCCAGCTGCGATCACCCCCATTTGACCTCTCAGGTTGCTTTAGTAGCCTTAGCTATAGTATTTACAGTGTCCCACACATATGTAGAAGCTATTTATAGTTAACCTAATTATAAACAGCTTTGATTGGTTGGTTTTATTCGTCTCATCCCGGACCTAGTGCTTTCATCCGGGGGAACTGGGATCACCGGCTGACGTCATACCTCAACTTAAAAATTTAAAAACTTGTCTTCCAGAAGGAGAAAACAAAAGAATTTGACCTGGATATATTTAGAAATGGACATGCGTACAGCAGATACCGATAGTTTCGTATAAAGCATCCAAACAATTATTATACGAAGCGAAAAACGGGAATGTGATCGCAATATGGCTTTGACCGCGTGAGGAAATCTACTCTAGAATCCGACTTCAATTTGTTTTCATTCAGTAACTATTTGACATAAAAAAAAAAAGAAGAAATTATCATAATACTATTCTATATGATAATACTTTGAACTTTGCAACCATTCTACTATAATAATATTAGTAGGGTTATCGGTATCGGCCGAGTTCGTGGTAAAAACATGACCCGAAATCTCCCATTACTTTCTGATACCGGACGCACGAGATTTGGTTTTGCATACTAATAAGTTTTTAATTTATGGTAGGTAATAAATTAAGTTTATAAGGTCATTTCCTAATGTTAAATGAAAAGTAGAATGGTTTTCCAGTTGTTTTGATGGCTTAGCGATCTGATTGCATGCTGTCTCTGCTTTGGTCTTACAGCTGTATAAAGGTTAGCTTTAAATGCGTTAAAAATGCGATTTTTTTGACAAATTTCCATTTAGATATAGCAAGTTTCCAAAGCAGATACAGCTCTTTTTTATAGATATGATACTTGTTTTTGGATATTTTGACTGACATTAGTAAATACTCATTTGAAAGTAGTCACCGTATGTAGGTCACATTGCCCCCATTGACGCCAATGTTATATTTCTTCATCCCGATCTGCCGGCTTTTAGTTTTGATACACTAACAACAGCGTTCTTATGTAATGTACAAACAAATCTCCTACTTGTTGTTTTAAAAATATTTTAATATACCTGTCTTTCATTATTTCAACTCTAATTCTTCTAGTTTTGCTTGAGTAAAATTTTGCCGGCCATACTAAACAAGAGTCAGACATAGGTTAACTGTCTGTTGCTATACACTAGCTATGTGCTAACTGTAACTTTAAGTATTCAAGTTCTACTTACCCTTATTTATAGTTTTATATGCTGAAAATCAGAATTCATAAACAATAAACACATAAAAACATTGATCTGATAACTTCAGTTCACTTTTAACAAAATGGCTTAAAGATGGACCCTACTTCACCTGCCCAAAATAATAAGGCAATTATATGCACATTACAGTGTTCAAGTAATTTACTTTAGATTTCTGATTATGTAGCTCTTTCATTCACTGTATTTGTAGAAAACATTGCTTTAGAAACATTTTCATATTAGCACAGCAGTTTTATAACAAAATAGCTTAAAGATGGACTCTACTTCACATTGGTTTGTCTATTATATTTGACAAAAATATATCACAATATACTTATTTTGCTGGTATTAAAGTCACCTTTTTCACATTGCTAGCCTAGGACGATTTTACATACCTAAAATGATAGATTACCATTATTCTAAATCACTAATTTAAACTAAGTCGATGACAATGGTCAATAGACACAACCGAATATAGCAGAATCTGAAAATAGTCTCAAAATTATTCGAAAGGCCCATATATTTTAAAAATCATACACGATGTATTAAAAAAATATGGTTATAAAAATCTGTTTGATTTTTGTTGGACTTTTATTTGCACATTTTTTTTTTATTATTCAACTACATCTACTTATTTAAATTTTCAAAGTTTTTTTTTTTTTGTATCTTTTAGTTTAAAACTAATAATATCATGTTTCTCTTCTTTATCATCAAAGATGAAATTAGAATGTCATTCCAACTTTGTAGAATTGTTTGATTGTACTAATGAATTATTAATATTTTATTTATAAACAAGTTTGACTTGATGTATGAAAATGCAATTATCCTTTTTTTGTTGCAAAGATTGCCATGCATGACATTGAATTCTATTATTTTCAAAAATGGTAGTCAAAGATTATTTACATTTATTATTTAAGTTTGCTCAATGATACTGATGAATAAAAGAACCATTTTAGAACTGGGGCATTACCCCTGTACACTACACCCTCCCCAAAAAGCCATAGTATGAGATAATCCTTGTCAGTAATTGGTTCAAAACCTACACCCACCTCTCTGGATGTTATCCACTTTTCCAACAGCCGCTCTTTCTCTCTTACAAACTCTACTTGAGTTTGTTCCTTTTGTTTCTTTAAGTCCCGAAACTTTCTCCGATACGCTTCAGGCACCAATTCTTACGCTTTTAAGATCATAGAATTCATTAGCTGATAGTCCCTTTGTTGTTCCTTGGCCAGTGAGGTGAACATCTCAGCTGCTCTCCCAGTTAGTGCTGGTTGTATCATCATTGGCATTGTTCTGGGAAGTTATAATGGTAAGCTGTAACTTCAAATTGCGTAAAATATTGGTCGATATTTTTTCTTCGAACTTGGGGGTTAATTTGGCAACTTAACTGCCTCATAGTTCTGATTGTTTTCCCTTGGTGAATTGCCTTCCCTCTCAAGCCTTGCCAACTGTATTTCCTTTTCTGCCTCTATTTGTTTGATCTTTACTTCTCTATCCTTCAGTTCCAATTCTTTCTCTATCTTCATTCTTTCAAGTTCCCTCTCTGCTTCAATTTCCATTTGTTTTAATTTTATTTGTAGCTCGGCATCTACTGACTTTCTGATGTTGTCAGTCCGCTTTTTCTCCACCATTTTTTTTACGTTCTTTGCCAAGTGGTCAAAGCTCGAATCTTGTGTTGTGTGTGTTCAAATCCCTACGGGCCCCTAATTTGTTACTCTCTGCTTCTTATGCATTGTAGCTCGTTTGGGCCAGGTGTAACAATATAAATAAATACAATCCACAACGAGAATCTGTATCATAGGTGTATAATTATCATCAATCACAAGAAGAAAAACTGACAAGTAGGTACACAATGTTGACGCCACACCACATTGCTTCACACACTGCCTCGTTCACACACCCCAGTCATTTAGAGAAATGGATTGGGATAAATTAGCTGTAATATAAACCAAGGGTTGTTTTTTTTGTGATTCAGTCAAAATGAAATATTTAGATATTTCATTAAAAATAAATTTAAATTATATAACAGTCAGTTATCCTTTACAGGCTATCTGGATCAAAGTACAAAAGATGCAGACATTAGTGCTGGTACCAAGCTGGAACTTCCATTCTGGCTGGCTCGTTACTTGAACAGAGGGACAAGAAGCATTGTAGATTTAGAAACTCCCAAGACATATAGAGAGGGCTATAGACATATTTTTACAGCTGACCCTAATGTTGTCGATTTACACAGACTTGGACCTTATTTTTATTTGTTTGGAGGAAAATTACTTTCCTTAAACTTAGCAGATGCTGATGATATTGCTAATGTTCTCTTAAAGGTATTATATTTCACTAATCTTCTCGGATATTTTAATTTATTTTGACACAAGAAACATTAATAAATATAGAACTATTAATAATAAATAATTAAATAAACAATGTTCATGTTGCCGTTGCTCATTCTATTCTTTGAATTATTCAACTACTTATTTAAATTTTAAAAGCTTTTTTAAAAAGTATCATTTACTTTAAAACATGTTTCTCTTCTTTATCATCAAACATGAAACATGAATGTCATTCCAACTTTGCAGAACTGTTTGATTGTATTTATCTGTTAATTTAATTAAATGTAAGAAGAGATTTATTTTCTAACTACCGTGCCCGAAAGTATGAAGTAATATTTTAAGAGGGTTTCATCATTGCATTACTAATATAATAAATTATATTCTTAGATGTGTGACCTTGTTTTCTAAAATTGAGTTATTTAAATATGAACAATGCCTGCGCTTGGATCATATTTATCAGGGCATAGGTTGATCTACGCTACCACATGAAATCCTTGAGTGTACTTTAATCACTAACTGTAATAGGTAGAAGCAGAACACACTTCCCAGGTGTAAGAGACGTAGAGGGGTGCTTTCTGGAGCCCCCAATTACACTACTGCAGGGGCGCCGCATACGGCCCCTGGCTGCTTAGAACTAATGTAGTCGCCATGGTGCTCGCAGGATAACCTAGGGCGCCTAATAGCAGCCTGCCAGGGGCGCCGGCAAACACGCTTGATTCAATTTGGTGAATGACTATATCGCCCCATCTTATCCATAGTCTATTACACTGTTTAAAATGAACGTAAGTGTTATAGAGCTCATGGGTTAGCCCGGGGCGCCAAATTGCACCCTGCCGGAACTCAGGTAACCGCGCCTGATTCATTTTAGTGAGCTACTATAATGCCACATCTTATCCATTGTCTATCTCGTTGTTTAGAACAAACGTAGGCATAATTTGCTCACATGCAAGCCCAAGACACCAAATTTAATCCTGCAGGGGCGCAGGGGGGCGTGCCTGATTCGATATAGTCATGTCTTGAGTGTATAGCCTTTTTTTAAGCAAACGTAGGTGCCATAGTGATCGCAAAGGAGCCCGGGGTGCTTCAAGTTCAAGTCGCACAATTGATGGGGCGCCGGCGGTTGCACCTGTTGCAGTTTTACCGCTCAATAAAGTAGTACCCCTTAACCGCTGTACAGGATGCCAATTATCGGATGCCAAGTGCTAACATAGCCGCTCTGGAACTCTATATGCCAAACATGTATTGACAAAAATCTCACCCTCCCGGGCACCGCCCATAAGAAATTTAAATTTTTTTTTTCTGATGAAAAGTGTAGTAATGCATAAAAGACAGACGACTGACAGACATTGCTTTTTATATATATAGACGAGCATGTTGATTATATTTACACAGACATTCCAAGGCCGGTTTCGGCGCATTATGGATGGCTCACAAAATGCATTGCACACAGATATTACGACCCAAACAAGCTTACTTGATGAACAGGAACGGCAAATTTTTGCAGCTGGACAGCTGAGTTTCCATGATTTTCAAAAGTGGGAGAGTAGAGAATCTGAAAAGCTATGTACTTCTGTTATGGTTGCTAACCATAGAAAAAGGAAACGTATTGGCTTTATTTCACAATCAACATAAATGTTATCTTTAGTTAAATATTAAATTTCTTTAAAAATAAATCATTTTCATGAAATAAAAACAAGATTTGTAAATATTTTTGTATATAAATATAAAAGAATTTGAAAAAGAATTAATGTATTGATAATAATTATAAACAAATTGTGTTTTTAATAAAAATGTTCATAAATTGGTTAATAGAATTACAAAATATGTAAAGGGTTCTGTGGACTCTTTGCATGGGAAAAGTTAACCAACCAGTTTTATACTTATGCACATGCTTGTAACAATTCATAATGAATAATTACACTGTATGTTTTGTAGCAAGAAATGAGATGTTAATGTATCAAATACCTGTAAATTGTGTTCTTAATTAATTTACTCACTATTTTTCTGAGACAGGCAAGTAAATTGCATATAAATGAATGTTGCTTTATAAATAAAAGCAGTAATTTCAAGACATTCTATGAATTCTTTATTAAAGTAAGAGAGTTGAATTCCCACTTTATAAAACATGCTACTGATGACAAAGAGCTTCTTGATTCTTAACTATAGTGTAATGTTGGATGGGATTTCCTTCTACACAATAAAGTATTACGGGTCATCCTGTTATGCACCACATAGGCCTGCTTTTCTTTTTGAATTTTGCTTCCTTAGCCTTAGTCTATCCAAGAACAAATTACAAGGTATAAGTTTTCTCTCCTAGATGGGTTGCTATCCCCAGCAACCGAGTCTAATCTACCCTGGGAGGTACAAACTCAGGACTCTTCGGTTAAGCAACCATGAGCTCTACCAAACCGACGACACCAACAAAGAGCTTTTACTCTTAATTTATTTTGAATGTGAAAAACCTCTGTTGCCTAAAACTAAAAGATAAATCAAATAAATACTAAATGAAATGGTAGGACGTACATGGTTTTGATAGCAGTATACATTCAGTTATGAGTTATGCTGTGAAATCCAGCATTTGGAATACCGTTTTCTGCTTTATCTATGGGCAACCTTCCAGGATACTTGCATTATTACTGGAGCTTGACCTAAGAAATAGATAAATAGAAACAGATTTTGGACTAGGCCTCAGATCACCATCCTCACTTTTGATTGGTTATGTTTAGTAATCACCAGCTTACTAAGTTAGAAAAGCAATGGCTGCATTTAATTTGCTTAACATTACAAAGGAAATCAGTTGCATCATGTCTCATTCTGCTTATAATCTATCTGTAGGGCATAATATATATATACACAGTGTACAAATCAATTTTGTAAAAAGTGTTCAGGAGGCTTCAATTTTTTTTCCTTAACATTTTCTTGGTATAATGAATATGTGGAGCAATCTTATCAGATAATGGCCAGTGATGTCTTGGTGGACTTAGAACTAAATGGTATATAAAGTTAAATATGGGGGGGGGGGACATAAAGTTTGAGTTGTTCAGGAGAAGGGAATACCCAGTAGGCCTACATTTTAAAAAATGTGCCCAGGGTAGACAACCCGTTTTTATGTTTAGCCTAGACGCCAGTCAGCAAAGCACTGGATTGCTAACTCAAGTTCGGATCTCTGACTCGAGTTCGTAGCTCATCCCTGAGTCCACCAAGCTATGTTGGGTACCTGGCTCGACTCGTGTTAAGTAAAAATAGCTGGGCATTGTGCTGACCACATGAACACCATCCCTTGACTTGTGGTCAAGAAGCATGAAATCTACTCCATTTGTATATTTTACGTAATTTAATTCATTCATTAGGTATAGTTATGTCAATTAAATCAATAAAATATTTGGAGCTACAAACAATACAAACATTTTTATTTAGATATATTTAATAGGCCTAGATCTAGTAATATATAGCAACATCGACTTTACCAAACACTAAAATAGATCTTGAATCTAGCGTACGTGAGAAATCTGGCACTAGCTTACACATTGTTTAGAAATGGCTGCCAGTGAACGGGTTTCTAGCCCGACAGATACGGCCGGGGTAAGTTTTAAAATATTAAAATGAAATCGATATTATCTAGATCTAGATTATTTTTCGAATTAGCTACTTCATATAAAATTAATTTTTCGTTTTCTAATGTTAGCTGTTTAATTAGATCAAGTCATTAAGGTTACTGATAGGGTAGAGTACCGACAATCGGTAGATTCAGTCTTTCTTTGACTCTTTGAGTAAAATAAGTAAAGTTAAGTTCCCTTTCAAACCTTACGGTCTATGGGGCAAGTGGGTAGAGTTCACTTGTTTCTGTGACCTCGGCATATGATTATGAAGAGATAGTGTGGTCAGCACTATGCCCAGCCGCCTTTACTCTCCCTAATGTGAGTTAGGTACCCATCAGAGTTGGGTGGACTCAGGGACAGTCTACTGACTTGAACCCTGATTCGAACTCGAGACATACGGGTTAGCAGTCCAGCTCTCTACAGCTAGACCACTCCATCCTCTTTGAGTGTGTGGTGTACTTATATTTAACTGAATTCAAGAAGTCAACAGATAGATCTAGATCTAGTGATTCTCATTTGGAAAGTCAGAATTTTATCAATACAGATATTTAAAATAGTGAAAGCCTGAGGATTTGATCTTAACATATTGAAATAAATGTCCTTAACACAATTGAATTTGATCTACAAAAGAGATGCATACATTAAGTGCATCACTAATCATTTTCCTAGGAATTTATATGCCTACCTCAACTGAAATCTTAAAATTTTTTCTAATAAAAAAAAGTACACTAATTCTTAAAACAAGATTCTGCTTTGATTATCATGTAATATTAACTACTTTACTCTTGTTTATTTTTTACAGTAAATTTTCAAATGATTTCATTCTTTTGAATCTTTAGTCTTTAGTTGATGAACTTTACACATTTCGAGATCATTATATTGAAAACTTTGGACTTGATAAAGCTGGCTCAAAAGAAGAAGATGTTCGTAAAAAAATGGAAGAATGTCTTCAAACAATAGAAAAATTGCAAGGTGATCATTAACATCTGTCGAACTCATAAGTTTACTTTAAAATTTTGTGTCTGCAACTATAACCCGAAAAGTAATTTGCTACATTATGAATAAAAATATATGTATCTTCAAAAAGTTTTTTTTTGTAACAGGTGATATTAAAAACAAAGCACAGTTCTACTTGTTAAAAGGTAGAATTTTAAATGTTACTTCAAAATTCAGCCAAGAAGCTGAGGATGCTTTAAGTAAAGCTGTGAAACTGGATCCAAAATTAGTAGAAGCTTGGAACCATCTGGGTGAATGCTATTGGAAGAAGGAAGATATCTCTGCAGCAAAAAATTGCTTTACTGGTGCTCTTAACCATGTAAGTGTTAGCATTTAAAACTAGCTGTTATTTTAAAATAATTATATTGCTTATGTATTATGCTTACATTGTAGGGCTACATTTCACATGGGTTATATTAACTTCTCTTACAAATTTTTTTTTTTATTGTTTAATCTTACTAGTTTGAGATTAAGTTTAGGCCAAGAGTTTTTTAAGTTTGAAAAAATGTGTTCCCATAATATTTTTTTTGCTTTTACAAAGACAAAGAACAAGGTATCTTTAAGAAACTTATCAATGGTGCTTAGACAGTTAAGTGGACCTCCTTTTGAAAAAATAAAATTGATTGAAGAAAGTGTGGATAGAGCTAAAGAAGCTGTTCAGCTTGACATTACAGATGGAACATCTTGGTGTAAGAACACATTTTCTTTGCTGGTAGGCTCTATATATATATACATATGTAAGCTTTCAATTTTTCATGTTTTTTTTAAAAATATTTTAAATGCTTAGTTTTTCCTGTTTGTTTTCAGTGATACTAGGAAATGCTTACTTGTGTCAGTTTTTTAGTGCTGGTCAAAATCCAAAAGTTTTTAAACAGTGTATGCAAGCTTATAGTCAAGCTGTAAGTCTTATAATTAAATTAATATGTATTGTGATAATTACATTTCAATAAACTTATGTTCAATTAAATAAAGATTACATTTTGTAAATATAAATTAAGATCTAGTATAATTACACTTATTGAATCTAGGAAAAAGATCCAGTCACCAGAGGAAATCCAGATTTACATTTTAACAGAGCAGTGGTAAATAAAATGTGCTGTTCAAAGAAATAAGTGTTATTTGTATCTATACCTAAGGGATATGCATTTTCTATCATCAAAATTGTACTTACTACTAGTGTGTTGTTGGATTAACCATTCTGCTGCTGTTAGCTCTTATGTTGCCAACATATGAAAAATGGATTTAGAATTTTATGATGTGTCGATGTAAAGTTGTTGAAATAAATAGAATGTTGCAAAATGTTTTTTTTATCATTAGTAATATTAAAAACCGCAAGAAAAGTTCATCTATTTGTTGACTTTGCTTGAAAGAAAATTATTGCTACAAAATATAATGTAGTGAATACTCAGAAAAAACTTGCTAAGCATTTGCAAAAATGCTATACATTTAGTAATTGAGATTAAAAAATAATAATTTTTTTAAAACTAATTTTATATATATATATATATATATATATATATATATATATATATATATATATATATATATATATATATATATATATATATATATATATATATATATATATAATTACAGACTTATAAATATCAAGAGGATTACCAAAATGCATTAACTGGATTTAGTACTGCTGCACAGTTGGACCCCAGCTGGGTTGAAGCAAGGACTAAAGAGACAGAATTGCTTAACTTTCTTTGTGATATTCAAAGGATGATAGACCTTAAAGTAAATTGCTTGCACTATTATTTTGATTTGTTATTTATATTGTTTAGAAATCATTTTTTTAAAAGAATTTTAAAATAGAAAGTGTTTATGTCTGTGTATAAAGTTATAAAATAGCAGTTTTAAAATTTTGAACAGGGTAAAATGAGAGCAAAGAAAATGGATTCACTGGTTAAAAGTTTGGTTGACAGGGAGGTGGCTCAATATCAGTCATGCCAGTATATAAATACTAGTGGTAAAACAGTTGCTTTGACTTACTGCAAACTGTCGGATCTTCAACCTAAGGTTAATGAAGGGAAGATTGTCCTGGGCAAAGTTGTGTGTTCAATCAATTCTAATGACCCTGTGCCTTTGTATGTATTATTCTTAATTTTGTATTTGAAACTTAAATAAAAAGTAGTTTAGATTTTTTAAAAATTACTTTGTTACTTAAAAGAATTTTTTTCTATGCAATTATTCTTATGTCAGGTGTGACATGGTTTTTTTTTTCCAGCTCATTTTGCATGATAGATGAAGAACAAACATGTATTTGTGTAATGGTATATAATCTGGCTCAAGGTGCTGGCATGAAAATTGGTGATTCTGTAGCAATACCTGAACCACAGCTGAAGAAAATTAAGTTATCTCATAAAGAAAAAGTAAGAACTATTTTTTTAGGTTCATTTATTTCTAGTCATCCTATTCTGCTGTGATTACTTTTCTTCTACCTGGTTTTTTTCTATCTCCACCCACTCACCCTCTGTAGTTGCATAGAGAATGAGGATGAACTAACTTAACTAACTTAAAGACTGGAATAATACTCCTTTGCTGAACCATAATGACACTCACATAGTTCATTTATATCTTCTCCTTTAACTCATTTGTTTTGCAGAATCCAAATTATTTATAATATACATAGGTCATAATATTAATGGAGTGGCCATTTATGGTTGTGTATATTTTTTGTAGTATTTCTCCATTGCTGATTTTGTACTTATTAGAATATCTTTTTGTAAAAGCCCAAACAACTGCGTCTGAATAGCTATGCCAGTGCATTAAAAAATTTACCCAAAAAATGTATTAATTTTCCCAACATAAAGAAAAATGTTGCTGTAAAAAGTTACTTTTTTTTATATAAGTACTGTTTAGGTTTCATTTTAAATTAATGGGGGAAAGATAACTCTTTGTGGAAGAAGTATTAAAAAAAAAACTAGGATAGAAATAGAATAAGAAAATTTGTTTATAATGTATTCATTCTAAATTTCTTTTGTTTTAAATCAAATAAGTAACATAATTTTGAAATTCTTTTTTTTAATTAAGATGTATTTATTTATATTATGTTAAATTATTGGCATTTACCCCATCAAGGATTTTCTTTTACTTTTTCAGGAAGTTTACTTTAACTGTCTTCATGTGGATACTCCGAGATCCATCGTAGTTAATGGCAGAAAGCTTGGTATCAACAAGGAAGCTTTGCCGGTTTTATCAGTTAGTGCTGTATCAGAATAAGCCAGAGAGGAATGAATAGAAATGTACATAGCCCTCCAATTCTGTTTTAAATTTCTTGGCATTGAATAAAATGTGAAGTTACGTTTAGTTTTCAGTTAGAAACTCATATTTTTATACCATGTGAAGGGTGTAGTTACCTTGTTCTGTAATTATGTATTCTACATTTTCCCCAGGGTCTTTTCTACAGTTATATTTTAAAGTTTTACCCTACTATTCACTATCTTCTCTGGATGTTCTGTGGGCATTACTGAGTAAAAGCTGCAAGTGATACATTTGTATAGGTAATAAATGAGCCATATTTTGGGTTTAAATTATTTTCATCTTAGGAAATAGATATAAGACAGTTTACCTCTTCAAAGCAGGTATATATAAAATATCTTAAAGTATAACATTTTGAACTCACTAAACCCTTGCTTAATAAAAAAAAACTATTAGCAACACTGTTATTGTTTTAATGTAAATTTTCATCTTGTCTTTCTATTTCTTGATAGTTTTCCACATATTTTGTGTCTCTGGTACCTGTATCTAAACTAGGTGCCATCAGCTTCTATTTTTTACATCCACTTACCCTCTATAGTTCTAAATTTATTCTTTACAGTTATTGGGCTAAATATACATTTCAGTATCATATAAATTGTTTCATGCTTATCTGCAAGGTTATAGTTTCAATGGTAATGGACTGATTCATGTGTAAACACTTGTTTTTAAAAGTGGTTTACTTTTTGACCCAACCACATTTTATGAAGAGTGATATGAAATTTTTTACTTCATATATGAATGTCAAAACACATTGAATACTCATATGTAGATTTTGTTATTAGATCTTACAGAATGTAGTAATTTTAATGTTTATATATTTCATTTAATGTGAATTTTATGCTTTGATATATTAAAGTAGCTCTCAGTTTTGTAACAACGTAAAAATAAAAATATTTTTAAAAAAAATCACTTTGTTGAACATCTACACACAAAAAACACAAGGAAAAAGTTGAACATCTAAAGTTACCTTGTGTTGGGTCATCATAATGAAGTTTGTAAAAGAATGTAGTCAAACTAAAGTGCCAGCATGTATTATATATTAAACAATGTTAAAATGCTCCATCAATGAGGTTTCATAAAATACAAAATGGAATTAACAAACATGTTCTTTTTTTCTTTCTTTTATTGCATACAATTTTAAATTTGTTAGGAAAAAAGTGTACATTTTAAATTGATGTTCATTACATAAAAATAAATATGGTAAATAAAACATTTAAAATATTGCATTTAGTAAACAGAAATGTTTATGTTCTTTTTCATTAGAGGAAGAGATGTAAAGTACAATAATTTTATAACAAAAATGTTTATTCAACGCAGGTAAAAATGGTCCTTTAATTTGGCTTACTGAAAAATGTTTTCTTTTAGGAATGTTAACCAGTATTAACACCATCCAGCAACACTTTCACCTGCTTGTATTAACGTTCATAAGTTTTTATATGCAGCCAAATGTTCAAAATTGTATATAAACCAAGCAACACAAACATGCATGTTAAATCATTAAAGTTTTAAATTGTTTTACCCCATTCAGCAGTGCCATTCAATGTAAAAATTACACTGTAATGGTATTTATAGTAAGTTGCAACACTTACATAAACTTTAAAGAAGTACACCAAAGCCCTCACAATAACAACTGAAATTTGTTTGGGAAAAAATGTGTAAAGTACAAAAATATTCTTTTTTAATAAAAATAATACTAGTGAATGTGTAGCTCTTGTTAAAAAGGTGAGTTTGTTTAAATAAAATATAGCTACACTTTGACTGATAGCTATAATTTGACTCCTAGCTAAACTTTGACACCTAGCTCCTTTAGCAAGTCCAAAGCTTCCTTTCTGGCCTGCCAATATCAAGAATAAAAATGTGTTATTTACTTGTAAATAACAAAACTAATTGGTCAACGTTAATTGCTTATAAAATCTATGTAACTGCCATTATGAAAAATTGTTGTCACAAAAGTGGAAGTATCAGTTTAAAAGAAACATCCTGATTCCTGAAAAGATGCAGGGTTTCAGTAACCAATGAAAAAGCTTAATTTATTAATTGGTCATTTGCAGGAAAAATATTAGAAAACCCTGTTTTTCATTGTTTGATCTTAATTCTAATTAATTACCATTGCAAAATTCTAAAACTGGAAAAAAATATTTTAAATGTTACTAATATGTTTACTCTGGGTGATCAGATACTGTTTAAGTAAATATGAAGTATTTTATAATAAAAAATTTGCTTAAAAAGGGCAGATAGGTTCAGAAAAATGATTTTAAAACAACTTTGTTTAGAAAAAAAGTACTTTTTATATTTTTCCATTACAGAAAGAGAAAGGGTTCACACATTAAAAGTTTTAAAATGCTGTAATGTTAATTTAAAAAATCCAGATATCTTCCCATTAAGAAAAATGAAATGATTAATATCCTCCTACCTTAGCATCATCAGTAGTTTTGTCAGTATGTTCTAATGCTTTCATCAAATGTGTTTTAGCAGTTTCCTTATCTTTTAGCCTCATATATGTCTTCCCCATCATTACTTTATTTTGATTATAGAAACCTGGCTCAGCTTAAATGATACAAAGTGTAAATTTCAACAACAAAAAAACCTGTATTATTATTTATTAATATTAAAAAGTTGTATTGAGAATACTTGTTTTTGAGCGACAAGATGTTTTTAAAATAGAAACAGGTGAACTCTACCTGTGGCTCATCATATAAGATGATAAAAGAACCATACATTATATCTATTATACTTAACAAGCTCAACTCACTAACACCCATATTGTTGTAAGACAGATGTGTAAGGAACAATTATTTATGTCTAGACTTTTTAGCATTATATATAATTGTATTCCATAGTGTTCCATTTAATCATATTTACTATGTCTATATTGGTACTAGTAGTAAAAAAGATGTAATGTTCATTTTTGTAAAAGCCATTAGTACAATTAGGTTTTCTTAATGTTTTTTTTATACGTTCAACTGCTGGTTCATTAGCCTTTGCTACTTTACAGTTTAAGCTAATACTTCATTTACATAACTGCTATAATATTTTAGACTGTAAACCTGCAACAGTTAATAAAATATTTTGTATAAAAATACTTAATTACCTTCTTCTGCTTTCTTGAAATAATCAAGGGCCTATTAAAAAAAAAAAAGGTCTTGTATATAAACAAGAATTTATCACAAAATAGTATACACAAAATATGTAAATGGTTTGATTTTACAAGCTCTTTAACTTTTATTCCTAATTCTATCTTAGTTCAAATTTTCACCCATTTCTTTCAGACATTTTGCAATTGAAAACACAATAGTCTGTTAATTATTAAAAACTAATAAACAGATTATACAAAGGTCAAAAGGTAGATAAGCAGTAGACAGTGAGAGTAAATAGGATACTTTTAAAAACTAAATATTACTCTTTATTGAAATCATAAATTCTATGTATCCACAATAAAGTAATGGGAATAATTTTAAGAACTTACTTCTTCGTACGAAGATGTTGGGGGTGAAGCAAATATAACAGAGGCTATTTTGCGCTGGTACCAAGCCATATCAGCGAATAAAAAACACCTGTCAATTAATGTGGAAAATAAAAATATAATCCTAGTTACATGTGTGTGTGTATATACATGTGTGAGTGTTTATTCATGGGTCTGCCAAAAACAGCAAACAATATTAATATTTCTCAAGTTCACCAAATGGTCAGAGGGTGTTATAACTGAGTCAATGAACTTTTCTAAAGAACATGCTTGTTGGATATTAAAACAAGATGTAGGCATGAGAAAGCTGAGTACATTAATTTTTCTCACTCAGGAACAAAAATGTTAGAACATTTGGTCTGCTCTGTTTGGATGGGTTGGAGATGGTGGGAGAAGTGCATACATCTAAAAGATTATGTAGAGAAATAAAAATTTATTTGAAGATAATAAACATTTAATTGTTATAAAAAATGTTTTTACTAATCTGCTTTCCAAAACATTAAAACATCTCGGATAAGAAATTGAAACAACATACATTTTTAAATTTTGTTTTTAAAATGTTTTTTCAACTTGTAGTTAAACAAATAACAACCAACCCTTCAATTTGTGTAAGAGAAATAATTTTTTCTACTAGATCTAAGAGTAAAATAATCAAACAAAAATCATTCATATTTTGACCTACTAAAACAGCTTGAAACCTAACTCGGGTGTCCAGTCAAAAAACCCCTGGACATAAAACCTTCAACATAACCCCCTGGACATAAACCACCGCAACATAAACCCCATGGACAAAACCTCCCCGCGATATAAACCCCTTGGACAAAAACCCCCCAATGGTGGTTTATATAAGGAAAATCCAAGGATGATGAGAACCAAAATCATTAATTAAAAACAAAACAAAAATTAGAAAAAACAGTATTTTTTTATTATAACTTTAATTAGAGAGATTGTGAGCGATGAATCGCAAATACTCTATAATGGTGGGCTCATTAAAACTTTTAACATCAGTTGAAATTCAAGCGCTACTATCAATATATATTTTTTTCCTGTTTTCGTAAACAGTGTCCTGAATTTATCTGTACAATAAATTAATAAATAAACCTCTTGTAGCGATTGTTCCTTTTTAATAAAGTCAATGAATTTCTAAATATTTGGGTGGCAACATCCCATATTTGACTGGAAACTTCTGTGCCAGCCTTGAACAATGTTTGTTTTTGGCATATGGTCTTTGCATGTGTGTGCATGTTCCACATATCAAGTGGAAACATAGGTTGTCTCTGACCTCGACGTTGTGGTCTGCCAATATAGTAGTCCTCGAAATAGTCTGAAATCGGCATTGCTTCTTGATATTTCAGATAATTGTTCAAAGGCATAACTAATGTGTTCAGTTGGCAAAAACCAAGGCAGATAGCATTCTGCCCTTGAGAGCAAATTCACTATCAAGTTGGTAACGTTGTTGAAGGCCAGAGTCCTGTATTTTGGCTAAGATGAAGAAAACTATCCTTCTACCTCACAGTCTGGAAATACCCTTTCAACACTTTTATCAAAGCCATTTCAAAGTCAATCATGATTTAAATCGGTTGCAGGTTTGTATTCAAGAACATTAGTTGTTGTAAGGGTGCTGTATATGTTTTCTGTGTTTTGTTTTGGAGTAAAGCATAAACACATGGAACAGTCCGTCCATTGACCAATGCATGGACTGTATAGTTGTGAAAACAATGCAGGATCTGTTTTGAATGTGTGCCATCCATAAACCAGTGCTGATTAACCTGCAATAACCTAAGGTTGTCCTTAGTTCCAAACAAAAACATCCTACCTTTTGACTTGGCACCAGAATCAAATTGAAGAAATTGTTGTCTATCTTGTGTCATTTTATATTGATCAGGAATAGTTATGTCATCAGTAACAATCCTTGGATCAGACAGGGGATGTTTTAAAGTTTGACATCTTATGTTATGTCGTATGGGCTGAACCGAGGGCAGCTTGGCTTTTGCATCTCCACTAATAGTAGTAATGGAGTGAGTGATGATCTGCTGGGGTGTTGCTTCAGTTTCTTCTGCCAGTTGTTTCATCTGCTGCACTACTTTACACATGTCTAGTTGAGATGTATTGGGTCCATGCGAATGTTCATTACAACTTCCAACAAACTGTTCACCATGAATTTTTATCTTAGCTTTGCATTCTGCCTTGTTCCTTCTTTTCGCACACTCAAATGACACAACACAGTTCGACAAATCTATTTGCTTGACCTAAACATAGCCTTAAAAAAAATCACCTTTAAATTGCCTTTATAAGATTGAACTAACTCCGTTCCTGAAATTATTATAAGATTTGTGGAGAAATAAATTTGATGTGTATATTTTTATAATGCTTCTGTGTGCCAATGTGGATATGAACCAAGCTTCCGCTGGTGATTCTTTCACATCTTTTGTATTGTTAAAAAAATGTGTTGCTTTGATCCGCACGGCTCCCACATGTGGATGACCTATATCTAAGGTGTTGTCGGTGACCTATCTTTGATCAAATACAACCAAGGTCAGTACTTGACTTTTGAATAGCATGCTTTTAAGGTAGAAACTCTTTTGTTAGTCATTAAAAATTACATTAATTTAATTTAATTTTGTATTATTTTTTGGTTCTCATCAATATGTATAAACCTCAGTCAGGGAGTAATTATACAGTGGGCTTATGTGGCGGGGGGGGGGGGTGTTATGTCGGGGGGTGGGGGGTTATGTCCAGAGGGTTTTTGACCGGGAGCCCTTAACTCACGGGTATTACTTGAAAAATATTTTTAACTTGTAGTTATCGGCTTAGCCTTGCTAAAGCCATAAGTATCCATGTCAAATTTAAAATGTTAACTAACATTTCCGTGAGTTTTAGAAAATAAAAATTAAAATGTTCAACAAAACTTAAAAATCATAACTCGGCTCCCAATGAAACCTCAATTCAAAAGATTCTCTCAAAACATAATTGGAACCTAAAACTAAAATAAACCCTTATATTTGTGGGGGGGGGGGGGGGGGGGGGGGGGGGCAGAGGGGAGGGGTTTGTTGTATTGGGTATATTACTATTAGTGCTTTGATTTTTTTTTAAATGTCTTTATTTACTCAACCCTTCCTATTTGTTATTTTGTAGGCAGTCGTCAGGCTTCAATTTTAAAAATGCACTATGAAAATTTTAATTAGGAAGGGATGGCTTTTATTTATTTCCTAGGCCGCTTTGTTACAACCAGCCCACCCATGCGTACATCCACCCTTTCAAACAATTAAACTGGAAACAAGTACAAAAATTAATTTAACTTAGAGAACTCAGAAACCAAAGTTTATTATTTAAACTGAACAAAAACTTGTGTTGAAATAATTAAAACCCAAGCCAAATTTAAAAACGGCAATTGTTTCCCTTGACCTTACAGCATTATCTAAACAAACAAAATCTGTACCCAATGTAACAGATTAAAGAAACAAAGCTATGAGCATCACTTAGTTAACAAAATAATGTAATCAACTTACAAAGACAGGTTAGTGAAGCAGTTTCTCTTTGATTTAAGACTTTTTTTCAACCATCTAATTTGTGTGAGGTATAAAATAAATTCTCACTGAGCTATTCAAAAGTTAACAACATATACATTGGACTATTAGATGCTTAAATACAGTATAGGTGCATTTGCAAGTTTTACTATGAAATAAAGCAAGTATTTAATATTAGTCATTATTTATAATTTTTTGACAGCTATTTGAAAACCATTTTTTACTTTCTCGTATATACAAAATATAGAGAAAGTTTTACAGTTCCCTGAGTCGGAAAAAACATAGTTTTTCAATCTTGTCCATATGTCTGTATGTGTGTGTCTGTGTGTGTGTGTGTGTGTGTGTGTGTGTGTGTCTGTTAACACGATAACTTGAGTACCGTTACAGCTAGGTTGATGAAATTTCATATGTAAGTATTATATCAAAATGGTAGATCCGTTTCAACTTTTGAGCGATTTCCGATAACCGGAACTTATTCTACTTTGAATTTTTCAAAAGCCAAAACTTGAGTACTATTTCAGATAGATAAATGAAATTTCACATGTAAGGAAAAGATCTAATTCTCTGCCTTCTGTCAAATTAGGAGTAATTTCCATTGATGGGAAGTAATAATTTTCGCTATTTCCGATTTCTAAAAAAAACGCATGTGAATTTATAAAGTACTAATAATATTCCGCACTATTATGCACATTTTATTTGGCGTTCACTCGGTGTGCAATTCTTTTTCTACCAGATTTTATTCTATTTTTAAAAGTTTAAGTATTTAAAATGGATTAAAAATCATGTCTATATCCCGAGTTGCCATCCCCTGTTGTTTCATATAAGAATATTTGAGAAAGTTTAAGGGAGATCACTCCCGATTTATTATTTCTAAAATGTGTTCATTAATTCTTGTGTGTGTGTAGTCAAAGCATGAGGGAAAAGTTATAATTCTTGAGGCAGTTGCGCCCCTTTAAGAGGAAAAATAGAGCCCTCAAGTGTGTCCATGTTCAACCCCTTAATATTCTGACAATCAGAAATGTTTTTCAGGTGCACTGGGCAACAGAACTATCTCCTAATCTAATATCAGTCTAGGTCAGTTTTCGGTCACTTTAAACACAATTATTGAGATGACTATAGATTTAGTGTTGGAATAATAGAGAACTGCAAACTTTGCTAAGAAAAAATCCACTAATCTTTTTTTTGCAGGTACCTGATCTAACATGTGTGATTTACAGCCCAACCATGCCTACTCATGTGACCAAAAGTAGGAACAGACACACAAAAAAAGAGGATGCTACTTTGCAAAGCCAAAAATTAAAATGAGCTTTATACACAGTAGATATAAGCTCATGTATAGAGTTTATTGGGCCTATAGTTATATAGCTAGTTGTGTTCATTTTAAAGACCCCTAATCTGGGCAATTAGGAAACTCCCCCCCCCCCTCACATTATCTACATATTGTAAGTAAACAAGGAAACCCAAAGGAATGCCAAGGGGAATATGGTTTTCTACTCTCTTTTTTTATACATTTTATTAGTTGTTTTTTTTTAATTTTACATTTCAAATTAGTTTTTTTTATTTAGCAGCACAAAGTCGGAATAATGGAACCAGACTTGGTTTTGTAAATTAGTAGAACAACTGCGCTTTAATATTATACACGAGCCGACCTGCGGCGTATAATACGCCGCTATTTAGTTGTTTTTTCTACTTTTCAGTAATTCATAATATGTGAATTCGACAGCACCAATGCTGCCACTGAAAATATTTGCTTTAAAACACTAAACCCCCATCCCCCCCCCCGTGAAAGCAGCCTCCTCTTAGTTACCTCCTCTAAGTTTAAAATAGTTTCAAACTGAATTATCTGCCCCTAATAGCCGTCACCAAACCCTGCTCTACGATTGTTTTGTAAACATTTAATTTTAGCGTGAACTACAGCTCACCTGACAATGTGAGGGGGGGGGGGGTGGTAGCGATAGAGAGGAAGAGAGGGGACTGCAAGGCGCGAGCTTGCAGCTTGTTTTCTAACGGATCCCAGAAGAGAATTATATATATATAGATAATTTATTTATTTTAAAAAAAACATCACATACCAATATCCTAGACAATATAAAGTAGTGGCATCATTAGGGTTTAAGTCAATAGCTTTCTGGGGAAAAATAAGTAAATATCATACAAAAGTTAAAAAAAAAAACATTATGTGACACTACTTATCAATGTATTATGTAGCATATATAGGCAGAGTAATCATTGTTTAACCAACCTGAAAATGTTCTTTGACCTTAAATGCATTTTCAATTCTTTTCTTAGTTCCTTCATACTCTGCTGTGTAGTCCAACAATATTCCATACCACTGAAGATAACACATTTTTACAGTTTCAAAAACCATTTTTGTTAGTATTACACACAACCTACCAACTTCACACACATAGATTAATTGAACTACTTACTTTATGACAAGCAAAATTTGTATCATCCAATTGAAGAGCTTTTTCAATATAACCCCAGGCTTCATAAATAAGCTTCTTTCTTTTATCTCCTTCCCCTCCCATTTTCCCTTTTTCTGTGGCAGCTCTTGCTAGCCGCCATAGCACATTAGCATCTTGTGAATCTTTGTGTGCTACCATCAAATCATACAAGGCTGGGAAATCCTTTTTCTCATAAAGAACTTCAGATTCTTCAATGAGTTTCTGATTTTCTAACAAAAGAGATGCATGATAAATGCATATTTTTCAAGTGAAACTTCAATGGTCGAATTCAGAAAAATCAAAATACAAAATTTTAACACAAGCTATTAGGTAATTGTTTCTATTATGAGGTTACACAATTTAAAATTTGTAAAAAATTATATTGAATTAATTAAAATACAAGATATATAATTTATCTTCTGAATGATAAATGTGCAGTTCATACATTTATTTTTAAATATTAATTAATAATTAATTATAATTACACTATTGTGTTAGAATATTTTGCTAGTTATTTTATTAAGTAACTCACCAAGGCTACTTGCTGAGGCTGCTGCCATGATACCAATGGGAATCAATAAAGAAAACTTAACTTTGCAGAGCTGCTTTACAAAATATAGTCTCTGGTGAATAAAAATAAAATAAACAACACTCATAGCTGGAAAAAAAAAAGAAACAATGTGAACATTAGGGATCATCCATGATCTTGTGACACTACTTTAGATGTAAAGTCACATAAGGTGACATCGCTGAGTTACATTGAGCTCTCCCCCCCCCCTCCCCCCCATGCATCAATAGAGATTAAATTATAATGAAAATTAACATTGTTTAGCATCTAAATTTTCCTTGCCCCATATTGTGCTTAACATGAAATGAAAGAAAAATGGAAAAAATGTCACCTCTCAATACTTTTTTAATGACATTGGAATTACCAAATTCTTTAAGAAGTCTGGAGCTTAAAAGCAGACAAATGTTTATTTATTCAAATGATACAAGCTGCTCCTCAAGTATATTAACAAGCAATGTAGCAGCATATCTTCTAAGCCGCTTATGACTAAAAAAAACTCACATAAAAACATTGTAATAAAACATTCTTCTCCACCCAAGTGATGAATATTATTTTTTAATTTTTAAATGTCTTCTATGTCTTTAAATTTCTTCTATAAGAGCCTGAATTACAGACTGACACATGTTGAGTAATATTAAATTTAGAAATTTTGAGAGGGTAGGCCTACATTAACTCCGCTAAAGTATAAATCTGTCTATTAATCTATAATAATAGTTTTGCTGTCTGTCACTGCCTGCCTGCCTACTTATCTAATCTAATCTAATCTAATCTAATCTAATCTAATCTAATCTAATCTAATCTAATCTATCGATCTATCGATTTATCGATCTGTCTGTCTGTCTATCCTTTGGGAACGCTATAGAGAAAACACAAGGAAAGGAAAAACTTTCACAGTCATACGGAAAACGAAACTTGAAGTCAAATGGAACATATAGTGGGACTATAGTGGGAAATAGTCTAAAGCCGGGAAAGAACACACAATAATATGATGTCATTGATTCTAGAGTGGGACGGAGTGGTCCAGCGGTAGAGAGCTGGACTGCTAACCCGTAAGTCTCGAGTTCGAATCCGGGTTCAAGTCAGTAGACTGTCCCTGAGTCCATCCAACTCTGATGGGTACCTTTCTTCTTCTTTCTTCTTCATTCTTAATTAAGTATATGATGGAGGATTTAAACAACAAGCCCCATATAGTTTTTCCTTGAGTGGGGTGTGTAGGCTATATAATGAACATTCTTGAAGGACGTGCTCTGTATTCTCTGGGTTTTGCCACAAGGGCATATTTCGCCACACCCAATTTTTAGCTTTTTATGCTTGTGCTGTTTTAGTCTGTAGTGGCCTGTTCTGAGTCTAAAGATTATGCATTGTTGGGTTCGTGTCAAATTGTAATATCCATCGTCTTTTCTGTAGTGAGGGTGTGTGTCAGACCACATTTGTGTTTATTTGTTTTTTATGATTCTTTTGATTTCTTTGATGGGTACCTAATTCACGTTAGGGAAAGTAAAGGCGGCTGTGCATAGTGTTGACTACACTATCTCTTCATATGCCGAGATCAAAGAAACAAGAAAACTCTACTTCATTTGCACTATAGACCGTCAGGTTTGAAAAGGGAACTTTACTTTTGCTTTTATTGATTCTAGAGTAAACATTGAATTAAAAAAGCCAATGGCTAAAAAATACACAATAGTAATGATGTCATCGATACTCTATAATATAAACACTGACATTACCACCTAATTAATTTGTCTAATCATAAAAGTGATTTGCGTGCAGTGTTTCTTTCATGCATATCTTTGATAACGTCTTCTCCCCCCCCCTCCCCCAAATTTTTTATTTATATAGAAAATATATACTTTTCTCAGTGTCTGCCTACCCCGCCCCGGAGAATTTTGTTTGCCCCTGCAAAAATTCAAGTGCCCCACCCCCTGAAAAAGTCTGAAAGAAACAGTGTCTGCATGAGTGAGGTTTATCGACCAATAGTAGTAGGCAACGGGTCTATAGTATAGAAGTAGGCTCTACCTTTATTCTGTATGATCTACAAATGAGACCAGTGTTTCTTTCAGACTTTTTCCTCCCCGGAGGAAGGGTACTTGAAATTTTCGGGGGTGGGGGTGGACTAAACTTTCTGGGAGGGGGCGTACACTAGTAAAAGTATATTTTTTTATAAATTGTATTTTGTTGAATGGGACGGTAGACGTACTTTGGGGTGGCTGTGCCTGAAAGAAACTCTAACTGCGACTCTTGTTAAAAGTTTTAGCGTGTATTTCGAAAATTGAAAAATTCGTTATTTTCTGGAGGAAAAGATACCGATCGACGCGTAATTTTTTACTGAAACTACTTTTTATACTCTGTGTGTGTCTAGCAAAAGTTTATTTAGCCTATTTCGATTTTAAAATTTTTGTGTTTATAAAAAATTTGGATTAACCTGCCACCATTATTTTTCCTCTTACATTAAAAAAAAAAGTGTCTCCGATATTGGTAGTACACAACTTGATGACGTCATACGCGTCAAATTATATTTTCGGACTTTTCGTCATTTTACTATAAATTGTTAATGTAGTATTTTATTATGAGTTAGACTTATCAAAATTATATTTACTATACACAGCTAGGCCTATTAATATTTGAATAAATTATTAGGCATAGGCCTACTGAAAACTTGAATTACCACCATGTAGTAGTAGCAAAATATTTTTTTTTTTATTATTAGATTTTAACATTTGTGTAAGGCCCTACATGACCAACAATTTCATACCAATACCATTATCTAAAATAGTGAAAATGTTATAATATAGTTTATATAGGCCCTCTACAAAGGTATTCAGCTGCTTCTTATAGTTAGGCCTATAGATTATCAATATTATTAACCTTGCTTGAACACATTATAGTAAGTTATAAAAATTCATCAGTTAAGCTAGTGATACTAATTAATGGAACCATTATCTCTCACTATGATTATTTATTCATTCTAAATATTTAATATGTAATTTGGTGTCTAATAAATATATTTATTTATTGACTGCTTACTTCCAATAACTGTTGTTGCACTGTGAATTGCGCAAGTCTAGAGAAAAAACTTCAGCATAAGCTTATTTTATCAGAACATGTATATGAAGGCTTACTCATTGCAAGTTGTTTTTTTCTAGACATGTATAGTATTCATGTGGTAAGTGCAAACATGGTGTTACTCTGACAGATCCACCAGTATAATTTCTTATACAAGACCTGGTTTCAAATTAAAACAAAAGATAAAAATAAAAAGAACCAAAATGGTTTGCTTTCCAAAAAATATTTATTTATTAGATTTAGACGCAATCATATAAATTTCAATTATCAATGAAAAGAACAAAGTAATAATGGGTTTAAGTTTAAGGTGTGAGTACAACAAAGTGATTTATATAACATGTTTTAGTTGATGCAAATTAAAAAATGATCAGGTTGAATGAAAGTCATCAGTCCAGGAAAGATACAAAAATCTGCAAAGAAAAAAAAAAGTTATTTGATTTGTTTACACTATACTGTGTATCAAATTAGAATACCATAAGTAAAATATAAAAAAAAAAGATTAAAAACATAATACCATGTCATTACATACCAACCTTTATTTTTTAACAAAAAATTTAGTGCACTTTTGAAAAAATAGAAATTATATACATATTGTAAAGACATAAATATTGCAATCATTGCATGTAACTGTAAACATAAAAATATATAACAAAGGAACAAAGCAAATTTAAAATGAAACATTAATTATTTTTTAAAGCTCAAATTTTTAATAATCATGCTGTCCAAGGATTAACAGCAGATTAGGATGTAAAGCAGAGATACTACTAATCTAGTCAGCTATTAGTGATTCAGCAGGTAGGCAAAAGTCCTCAGCTTCATCCTCATCCGGTGCCCAGTAGCATACAGTGTAGACAACAGACTTGTTCTTTTTAGCTAGTACTCTGTTAATAATCCTCACATAATAGCGATGCACTTTCTGATCATCTAGCTCCCACTTGTCAGTCAGCTGGACACCAACCAGGTCTTTACCACCCACAATTCTTGACAAAGAGGGTTTCAGCTTCTGTCAACACCACGAAATAGGGGATGGTTTACTGAGACATTCGATCCAGACAACACATCATAGATGGAATTTTCAGTATCTCTGCGTTCCATAGCTTCCAACTTTTTCTTCATCTGCTTTATTCGAGATTGAATGTCTGTGTCTATTTTGTGCTGTAACTGGTTTGTGTCGATGACCCTGTCAAACTCCTCAATCAGTTTGAGATTCTCTGCATGAACAATGTCATTCTTTACTGAGATCTTGACCCTTTCTCCTCTTAAAGCATCATCTATCTCCTTCAATACTCTGTCATTGTCAGCAAATCCATCTCCCATTTAACACTATCAATCTTGGTTCTCAATTCTCTTGCTGAAGATGTCCAGTTGTTCTTTGAAACCTAACCTGCAATTTAGCATATTTTATGTTTGAAATCATCAATAACTTACCCTTTCATGCTGTTTCTGCACCAGCCAATACCTGCTTTGACATCTGTTTTTTTTTCTTTTATGTAAAATACTTCCTCTTCCAACACTGGATCTGTGTCTGCTTTCTCTGCAATGATTTAGTATCTTTTCTTAGTTTACTTATTGTAGAAAAATATGAATTATAAAGGAAGTTCTGTGCAACTGTATTTTATAGCTGTAAGTTGATGAATCAAGTCATGACTTAGTATACTAAAATAAACAATTAGTGTTAGAAAAAAGTCTGTTACATTAGTAGTCTATTACAAATTACTTACTTAATCCTCATCACTCCCTGTGGACTATAGGGCAGCAACAAATCCCTGCCATTCCACTCTGTCCTGGGCGAGCCACTTGTGTTCATGCCAAGTCTTGCCAGCAGCTTGCACTTCTTCTTCCATCTCTCTCCTCCATGTTCCCAGTGGTCTTCCCCTCTTTCGTTTTCCAGTGCCATGTTGGGGGAGTCATCTTTTGCTCATGCGTAGGACATGGCCCAGCCATCTCCATCTCCTCGTTCGAACTTCTGAAAATGCATTTGGAAAATTTAGATATAGATATCTAAGCATAAGGTTTTTTAAAATAAATAGACTAGGCCTACTAGGTTTATTTCACACACAAAAAAAACCATTTGTTTTTAAAATTGTGAGTCTAGTAAAAAGTTACTATTGTTTAGAGTTTAGAGTAGAGGTAAGTTAGAACTAGATCTAGATTTAATTACTTAACACTAAATAGGTAGATCTATAATTAAAAGTAGTCTATAATTAATAATTAGGTAAATAATTATGATCACTTAAAGTACTGTCACTTATCAGAAAGACTAACCGTGATTCCGATGGCTGAATGATTTCTCACTCAGATTTCTATCAAAGCGCTGCAAGACCAGACTGAAAAAAAAAAGTAGATTAGAGTTGATTAGAGATTCTAGAATCTAGAGTCTATATCTAGAAAATTAGATTAATTTTTTAATAGAGATCTAGATCTTCTAAAATAATTTAGATTAGGCTTATACTTAATTGTACTATAGAATATGTATAGAATAAAGAATCTACATCATCTAGAATCTAGATCTAGAAATCTAGAGATTCTAGGTTTCATGATAAATTGATCTAGATCTAGTGATAGTGATCTAGCCTCTCCTAGTGATCTAGTCTAGAGTCTAGCTTGACGATCATCTGGATCTAATCTAGAATCTAATTCTAAGAATCTAGACTAGACTCTAGATCTAGATTAGAATGATAGAATCTCTAGTCGTAGATCTAGATCTGGATTTAGATTTCTAGATCTCTAGATCTAGATCTAGATTCTAGACTAGAGTCTAGATAATCTAGAATCTAGATCTAGAAATTCTAGGTCTAGTCTAGCTAAATCTAGATCTAGATCTACCTAATGACACTATTAAACCTTATTACTTTTTTTCGTAAAATAGTTTTTTTTAATAATGCTATTTTTAAAAAACTTATTAAATATACAATATTTTTGAAATCTTTTTAAAATAATGGCGGCTACAAAGCTATCGATTCAGACTTTGCAGGTACATTTAAACGACTTGTTGGTGGGAAATTAGCCGTTTTCAGACTTAATTTAAAGAAAATTTGCAAAACTCTGTCGAACTACCAAAATTTTAAAAAGAACTGGAATCTAATTCAAATAGAAAAAAAATGATGAAATTACCTCTATTTTTGACAGCAATATTCCGAAGAAAGAAAAACTAAATTAATAAATATCGTCCGCCAAAAAATTTTCCAATATGTCAAGTAAACCCGAAAGGCAGAGAGCGTCAACGAAATGCCGGTTGGAACAAGCCGTTAGTCTATTTTTAGACTCACGCGCGGCGGTGGCGGAAGCCTGGGACAAAAAGCGAAAAGGGAAGTCAGCGCCATTTCCAAAATGGTTGCCCTTAGAAATTACGATGCCGTAATACACGCTATTAAATAAATGTTATGTCTGAGATTATGGTGCAAGGTTTAATGGTAATGGTATGGCTACAACTAGATCTATATTTAACTTATTATCAATGTGCAGTAACTACGTGTAGGTAGATCAAGCTTAAAAATAAATTCCATTAAAATGCCGCTTCTGGATAAAAATCAGTTTTCAATGAAAAGAGACCTAGCACCTGTAATTGTAACCTGTTGTATATCGGTTCAACTGGCCATTATTAATCATTATTTGTCTCGTACTATACTACTAGAATTACTAGAGTCTAGATTCTAAGTAAAATTGGATCTAGATTCTAGAATCTAGATATCTAGATTTTCTAAATTTAAAATTAAATTAATAAATTAAATTTGAATCAATTTGGAATTAATTCTCGCTATTGAGTCAAGTCATGTCCATTCAAGACAATTCAAGTCAAGTAATTGACTGTAATTCTCAATCTAATTCCACTAGGCCTAAATTTCAAATAATAAATTAAAAAGTTTGTACCTTCTGAATTTGATGAGTATGTCTGGAAACCACCTGTTTCAGTATTTGTTGAGCGTTATTTTTAGACAGTAGTCGTCGGTAGGTATTTATTATTATAGGGTAGCGACTAAGCAAAGCCATCACCTATAGATCTAGTCTAGATCAGGGGATACCACCCAAAAAAATCCAAAGTCCAAGATTCGTGGGATATCTCAGATCTGTAAAACTACACATATTCTTGAGTCTAGATTTAGTACAGCCAAACCTAAAAGAGCTGATCAGTGATACCGTGATACACATTGATAGGGCATCTAGAATATATATATATATATATATAGCCTATATATATATAGCCTATATATATATATATATATATATATATATATATATATATATATATATATATATATATATATATCAATAGATACGCCGTTATTGATAAATATTAAATGACACATAAAAAAAGATTTTTATTTCCTTCATATGAATGTGTGATAAGATGCATATTCCTTTTTCATTTCGGTTAATTTATGACACACAGAATAGAAGTTTACTAAATTATAAGTAGATCTATATTATATCATCACTTATTTTGATTCCGTGTTGCCGTTCTTACTTTTATTTGGCCATAGATCAACTTTGCATTAAAAATTAAAGACATGTAAACAGCTTATGTGTGTCACAGTGTGTAGGATGTTTCTGCGATATTCTGGTTGGGTTGCGTGTAACTCCTCGTTGTGTTTTAAACATACTCTGTAGCAAACAAAACACCATGTAGGCCGACACAACACAATTTATCACTACATATAATTTGGCGCCCCCCCCCCCGCGTATATATATATATATAGGCAATATATATAATTATATATGGAGGGCGCCAAATTTAAAGTTTGCCACGGGAGCTCTACGCCTCTCCACTGGCGTATCCAGAGAAAGCACACTTAATTTAAGATTAAATTAATTTTATTAGATCTGAAAATCATTGTTCCATAAGAATAACACAAAAAAGTAGGCCTACATACTACCACAGGTTCGAAAACTCTGATGTAGGCCTACTTCTTTTAGATGTTTAAAGATTGGTCATTCTGTGTGGAGTTAAAATACAAAAGTTTAAAAAAAAAAAAAAATTTTAGGTTTAAAAAAACATTTTATATAGGGCCTACCCTAATCATCGCATTTTTATTTTTTTACTATTTGAAATACTGATATAATTTACCTTTGTTCATTAATTGTTATGTTAAGGTTATTTCCTCAAAATCAATTAAGTATTACTATGCGCCACAGAGGCCGCTAACTTTGATTTCAGCCTGCGTTTCTTTTCGGATTTGCTTTCCAAATACCATACAAGAAACAAAAAAGGCAGCAATTATCTCATTTTGGAGTTATTTGCTGTCCCCCGTCTATCGAGCCTCATCTGCCTAGGGGTTAGAACTCAGTGCTTTGCGGTATAGCAACAATGAGCTTTACCGACCGATTGATATTTGAAAGTTTGGTGTTCAAGTTATTTAAAATCTCGAGTTCTTGACCTAGCACTATCTCAAAGGTAGATGTACAGTTTTTAACACAATGAACTTAATGACAGACTCATACTTGAAGATATAAATCTGAATGTAGATCTAATCAGAAAAATAATGTGTCAACACAGTGTAACTGATTTTATGCAGACTATTCTGCATCCTATTATTTCTAGGCATTTAATTTAAATTAGCACTTCATTGCCATTTCAGAACTTTCTTCTACATTTTTACACCAAAGAATCCATAACTAATATGGAGCACAATGTTTAAACATTAAAAAAAAAAGAACTTAATCTTATTAAGAGGGAAGAACAAGGAACAAAAAAAAACTGAAAATCAACAATATAAAGTTTATTTGACAAGGTTTGATCATGACCTGCACACACCTGCAGGTATCTAGTAACTGAATATTTGCTTTGTTCATGTTGCAAATACAACAGCTGTAAGAAATATGGGTCACTAGCGGCTCTCATACCAAACTAGCTATTATCACAAAACATCTACTATAGCCCTTACTAAATCAGCTAATAAACTAAGTTACTTATTTTTTTTCAGGAAATGACAAAAACAATAAAACAACAAAATAAAACCATTTTTATATGAACAACAACCATTCATTTATTCTGAAGGGATATGTGTTGCAGTAACTCAAACCCTAATGTTATTAGGTGTGGGGGAAACCTATTACAAGAGTTTTGGAAGTAGGTTGTTTTACATCATCTGGAACTCAATAAAAATTGTCTACCCATAAGTTTAATAATAGACATTTCATCAGTAGGATTATCTATCAATTGTTATGGGTTGGGTTAAAGCTAACACTGATAAACCATGCATAAAATCGATCAAATTCCTATTACTACCTACTATAATTTAAACTTTTTGACATTTTCAACCAGATTTTATTTTAAAAATTCCATTGCATGTTTATTACTTCTACTAGAATCAATGAACAATTACCAGAGTTATACTAAGAGCAAATAATTTTTATATGGAGCCCATTGTTTCTAATTTAGATGATGGTAGACTACCAATAGCATTTGTATTACAGGTTCACGGTACTAAAATATGACTTGCAGCCCTTTAGGGTTGAAATTCTTGCATAGTAACCAATATTTCTAAATGCTTTAACATTTTCACTCTTGTATAAGATAAAGATATGTACATACTTTTATGTATGTGAATTTTTGAGAATTAACTTCCAACTTTAAGATTGTCAAATGACCACAAGAAAAGAAAAAACTAAATGAGTTGTATAAAAAATAGTTATCACAAGAGAATGATGCCTAAAAATTGTGCATTTATCATAACACATTGCCGTTAGTGTTTCTTCATGTATGTTAATATTGAACTACAAGTAAGAATTATTGTATGCAAGCTTATGTTATAGAAAGTTTAATTTCAATTTGCTAAAAAATAAAAAAAATTGGCACCACACAAACCGCAATACATGATCTTAAATCATAAATAAATGGTATACCTCTGCCATCGCAATCCAAATTTTAAACTCAAAATAACATTTAAATAAACTGCACATTCCTATCATATTCCTTGCTTAAAACAAGAAATTAATTGGACCTTATCTACAAATAATACTAGCATAGCTTTCCAAACCAGTTTAGGGTTACAGCAGTAAGTCTTTCTTTTGTTATGCCTCGTATATAACATGCTAATAACACACAAAAGCCATCAGGACCATTGCAAACACTTAAACTTAAATACATCTATTTTCTTTTTAAAAAATCCCGTTTACTAATGGTTTTGCTAAAAAAAATAATTCATGTACTAATTGAGTGAATATTAGCCCAAAATATCAGTAGTTCAAAATTTTTCATTAAAGTTAAATACAATAGTTATGGGACATAGTGGATGGTGCCTTAATTTTTTGCTTGTTACTAAATAGGATCACCATAAACATTCAGAAAGTGTATATTTATCTTCTTTAAAAAGAATAATAAAAGAAACAATTTGAATTATATAACAAAATGTAGAGCCAACTAAAATATGCTCCTTTTTTATCATGAAAAACCCAGCAGGAAGCAAATATTTAAACGAAATGAACACAATTTTGCGTTTGTTTAAATATACATGAACCAGTTGCACTTACTAGAACTAAGGCTGCTTCAGGCAACTGGTTCAATTAGACCTTAAATATTTTGTACATAAAATCATTGTCAATTTAGAAAAAAAAAAGACCATGTAACAAAAGTATACATTAGCATTCAGTCCTTTATACACAACAATTCCATCATTGCAGCACAAGATGGTCTCCAGCTTAGTAGTGCAAACTACTTGACAACCAGTGATATTGATAAATACATTTCAATTGCTGCCTTAAATCATTCAAAGTTGTCAGCAGAGCTTAAATTAAGCCAGAGAACTGTCAACTATCAACACTAATATCTCTGAATTTAACAGCTTGTCAAAACCATCTAATATTCATGTGTTGTGCAGATACTGTTCACACCTATAAATTATTTTAAGTCGGCTAAGATTTGACTTCAACCCTTTGCTGAAAAAGAAAAGTACATTTAGTCAATTTTTTTTTAGTCAGACATTTTTTTTACTGAACTCATACTGAAGCATGTAAATTTTAGTTGTAAATTAAATATTCATAGAAAGTTTGTTTGATGAAGAAATGATGTCAAGTGTATAGAGGATAAAAGCACTATATCCACTTTGTTCTTGAAATCGATGTACTTTTTCTACTTGTATTCTTAATAATACAAGCAACAAGAACACTCACGTACAATGTCAGAAAAGTAGAATGCAAATATTTTATGGCTATTAAAACAATGTTTTGCACTATTTTAATATAGGAATGAGATTTATACTCATTTTGTTTTTGCAAGATTACATTTTTTTCCTCTATACACTTGATGTTTGCAGCTTTTATAAATAGTTAAGAGCTAAATTAGATAGACAAAGTGACAAAAGAGGCTCTCATAAGGAGCACTGATGTTAAATAGGTGGAGAAAAGAGTGTAATGTGAAAAGGGTTGTAAAATACTCTCAAAACAAGGATTTTAAATAAAGGCAGTCCATAAATTAATACACAGGAGCATTGGCATATAGAAAAAAAAACAGAATTGTAGTTTTTGAGAGTATAAAGTTGACCAAAAGCAAAAGGAATAAGAAACAAATTGTTAACTATCTCTAATAAAAATTATTACTACATACAGGACCATCATTTCGCCGTCTGTCATCGTAGTCCCAATTCCTTCTACCTCTCCCTCCACTTCCTCTATTGTTACCTTTAAAGTAGTGAAGCAATTAGAAAATAAACACTAATGACTTTAAAAATTTGATGATGTTAAGATATTTTTGAAAATAACATTTTTATAGTCAATGTGCCATCTACATACATTAAATATGGTTGAGAAATTTTTAAAGATTTTTATGGGCAATAGTATCAACTCATCAACTGTTCTAACACTAGAAGGAGCTGCCGCTTTGTCAAAAAAAAAAAAAAACCAAGTTCAAACACCACTGCATTGCACTATTATGTTTCATGACATGAACCATGATTTATTAAACAAACTTTGAACATAGCATTTTATGATGTCACTCGTCGATTTTTCTCTCTAAAATATTGACTGAGCTTGATCAACAGAGTATTCTAATCAATTTTTATTACAATATTTTAAACAGTTTTCTAAACCGTGTAATTGTGAGAGTTTGACGTTATTTATGGAAGATCCCTTATATAATAAAAACAGCCAGTATTATAATTTTTTTCTTCCACAAACAAGAACGGTCAGAGTCAGATTGAGTTAAGTTTTTTTTTAATCTGTAGGCCTATTGTAATAGCCTATAGCAAACATATAGCAGGAACACTATTTGAAATTGACTGTGAGGTGATTTATCCCAAACAAGCAGTACCAAACATGTACTTAGGGTCATGCGAGGTCACAAGAGCCACCGTTAATACGAGGGGGGTGGGTTTGTCTGATCCCCATAGTCACCTTTTGCATAGATTTCAATATTATTTTGAGATTGCGAAATATAACAGAATCAGAGAGAAGCTGTAGACTTGGGCTGGTAGAAAAATTAGGCTATATCCATAGCTAGAATACCAGGCTTGGGAGATGCAAGTTGCAGTTGAAGAACGTCATTATTTTAGATTTTTTTCCATAAATATATTTAACGAGAAAAATGGCCCGTTGAGGAAGGATACAACGGGCGCTAGGCTGATAGTGCTGTCTCTTTTCTCTAAACTAAAACCACCCCCCCACCCCCAAAAAACATGTCTACCGTCCCATTCAACGAAATATAATTATATACTTTTTCCAGTGTCCGCCCCCTCCTCGAAAATTCTACCTCCGCCACCGAAAATTTCAAGTACCCCCACCCCTCTCCGGGGAGGAAAAAGTCTGAAAGAAACACTGGTGTCGCGCTTAGCCACTACCAGAAGAATTGCATTAAAGAAATTGCAAGAAAACCACTTTTTAGATTAGACACATTAATTAGGCGGTATTTTTTATTATTTTATTATAGAGTATCGATGAAGAAATTTCTTTTGAGTTGGGGGGGGGGGGGGCCTCAGACGTTCTTAAGCGGGGATGGGGCTTCGCCCCTACCCGAAGAATTGTATGAATGAAACTTCACTCAAACCACTTTCAAGATTAGACAAAATTGCCTTTTTATTCAATGTTTACTCGAGAATCAATGACGTCATATTACTGTGTGCACTCTCCGGCTTGAGATTATTTTCTACTCTATGCTAAATGTCACGTCATACTTCGTTCTTCGAATTACTATGCATGTTTTTAATTTGCTTGTGTTTTCTCTAGAGCGTTCTTGTCAGATAGATACATAGATACACAGACAGCGAAACTATTATTATAGATAGCAGATTTAGGACTAAAAAATGTGCATTTTGAAAAATTCGGAAATTTGCAGAAATTCTGAATTTTGACCTACAATTAACCTTAATCTAGCACCGTCAGACCTAGCAAAATTGTCAATTTGTAAAGCACTGCGTATATTATAGTGTATGTTTGACCCAAGTACTTTAATTCTTGATTTAAGTACGGATATCTGGAATGCGCATGTCAGCAATTTCAGTAGTTTTGTCTTTGCTGTTTGGATTGGGAAAATAAGTGCAACCTAGGACTTAAATATAGGCCATAGTTTTACATTGAGCGTTATCAAATTTTTCAAAAGGTCTGGTATTTGGTTTATTATGTTTCAAAACTTGTAATATAACATGACAACTCAGTTATTCTTTAAGTTTTTCATGAGTAGGCTAGTAAAAAAAAGTAACTATTTAAAAAAAAAAAGATGACTAACCTCCATAATATCCACCATCTCTATTACTGTAGGAACTACCCCCACCACCTCGTCCACGGCCACCTCTCCACCCCCCTCTCATATTTCCTCCTCTCCAGTTATGACGACCTCTATAATTACGACGAAAGTTTTCAGAAATACCAAATGTTTCACTATTCAATTTTCTCTCTTCTCTCCATGAGTGTCTTTGCCTAAATAAAATTTTAAAAAATAAAGACATGCATGTCAATAAATATACAATTTTATGAAATGATACAATCAGCTGTAAAGAAATATGTGGCTACCCAAGTAAATGCATACCCCTTATTCCTCTCAGTTGCTTCACAGCTGATATTGTCGAAGAAGGATTTCTTTTGGTCATAATACACTGGTTCCTCTTCTTCTTCTTCTCCTTCATCATCTTCAATTTCTGGCTCTTCCTCTCCTTTGTCACCATTTACAGATTTGTCACCTGAGTTAGATTTTAAGCTTGTTAAATTTCTGTAACATTGAGGTCTACTACAAATTGAAACAAAATAGTATAGAGCCAAGAAAGTACTAATCAAATTAATTTGCTTTTGAATTAACATACTTAATGAAAGATTTTTCAACTCCTTTTCAATATCATCTTTAGCAAATTGAGCATTTGAGGTCTCAAAGTCAAAGTCTGTATCAAATTTCAAGGGTTCAGAAGACCGGCCCCCACGCTGACCTTGACCCCTAGGAGCTCCTCGGGGACCACCCCGAGGTGGGCCACCTCTCATCTGACCTGAAAGGGCACCTTCAAAAAAAAAAAAAAAAAAAAAAAAAAAAATAAGGTTAAGACAAGTATTCTTTAACTGAAATAAAGTTGTGTCTAACATGTTGAAAATTATTATGATAAGAATGAATTACTATATGTGATGTAAGAGTAGAAAATATACCTCTATTATTGCTTCTACCCCTGGAATAAGAACCTGACTGTCCAACTTCCCCCCGATCACGATTGTTTTCCATACGCTCTCGATTATTTTCCATTCGATGAACTCCTGCGCTACCATTTCCACTACTTCCACCACCACCACGTCTTAAACCTTGACCACGATATTGCTGTGGGGGATGGTGTTGGTTTTTATTGTATTGCTGTTGGCCATCTGATGTTTTTTCTGGACTACTTGGTTGAACTTGAACACCTTGATCTGATGTTGGAGACTTCCTATTTAGTGGAGGGGTAGAGCTTTGTGACCCTTTAGAAAAAAAAGGAAGTTTTTCAGATAATTTTGGAAGAAATGTTACATTAAAAAGAATTATCTACATACAAGGGAAATCAATTATTAGTTTACTGCTCTTTTCTTTTATGCACTTGAAGACAATGGATGCCACCAGAGTAGGGAAATTTTCATGGCACATACCAAGGCATTAGATGAAAGGACAATGCGTTGCTCATGATCCCTCTCTGCCACAGGAATTACAATTTCATGTTTAAACTAAGAATTCAACTTTAATTATATATATACAAGGACAGGGGTCAGCAACCTGCGGCTCGCGAGCGCCTTTCACAAATCTTAATAGCTAAATAATATTTTTATTTGAAGGTGGGGTACGACTTTATCCTGCGTTCAGTAGGTTGGAATGTAAGCCTGGTGAGAACCAAAGGATAGAAGCGAACGATGCAGAGGCGTAACGAAGGGGGTGTGTGGACCACACCAGTGACACCAAGGCAAAAAGTAGCAAAATATGTAGAGAAAAATGATAATTCCACTTAAGTAAGTGATTAATTCGAGTGTTAAATAGTGTTTTAAGAGGTGCAAATCGAAAATTTGTCCCCGGGAAGGGTCGCTACGCCTCTGGTGGGTGACACCATTAAGTGCAGCACCGGGTGACACCAGACCTCGCTACGCCACTGGAACAATGCAATTTATTCAAACCGATATCCAAGCCAGTTTGTCGGTGCTTGTCGTATTGCGGCCTAACTGGCCTGAGCCGGTGATATCCGTAAAGAAAAAATAACAGCTTCTTAAGTAAATTAAGATAGTCCTAGAATAATATTATTTGATTACTAATTTTACTATTCTTCAAAACATGTCTATGTTATTATATGAATAAATATTATTTCATAGTTAAAGCTATTTATTTTAAATAACAAATCAACTTTATTTACAAAATCCTAATCAAATACCGAATATTGAACTAAAAATGTTGTGGCTCTTTAAAAACTGGGAAAGTTTGTAAATTGTAACTTTTGGCTCTTGCCTATCAAAGGGTTGCAGACCCCTGTTCTAGGCCTATAAAAACAATAAATAATTAGCTTTCTATTTATAGTTCCAACACTATGATCAATTATCTAATTCGAGTATTGTTGGTCGTTATCTAATTCGAGATTACCCAATAAAAAATTGAATTTTATAGTTAACTATTTCAGGCCTTAAACATGTCACATTAATTTTTGTTTCCTAAAATTGGAATAGGTTAAATTAGGATATAATCTTATGATTATGGACAAAATGGTAAATACTACAAAATATTTTCACCAATAGATATGAGAGATCCTAGCCAAGATGATAACCAGTTAGCTAATCACTCAGGTGGCATAAATATAGAACCTAAGCAGTCATTGTCAATTTTTTTTTCAGTTTAAATGTTCCCAACCCAGGGATGTGACCAGACCAGGGAAAAAAATTAGGAAATTTTCTTCGGACAAGAACTCAATATGTTTTATCTATTTTTTAATCGCAGTTAAAACAGTCTCACGCCATTACTGTTCTAATTAATCGTTTAATATAGCTAATATTATAAATAAAAGAAGTTTATGTTACTCTAAAATGACATTGAAAGTCTTGTCTAATTGCAATTTAATTTTTAACTTATAAACAACTCTTAAAAAAAAATTACAATTACAATGTAACAAAAGTGGCAATTAAGTTCAACATTTAGCTAATTTATCAAAGTGTACTAATCTAGTCTAGTTACACTTTTGTTTTCAATTTTAAATTATGCCTTATATTCTTTTAAAGATTGGCATGGTAAAAATGTCAGTCTTCAACTGTAAAATGCCTAGATCTAGATTCAGATTAATTGTTTTTTGAAAGTTTTGGGTTAATATGATGGAAAATGAAATTGACCAGTTTAGCTGAAATTAGAAAGGGTCTGATATGTGAACCAAAGTTAACCATTTCGATAGCCAAACCACATCGTTATTTTTGTTTTTGGAATGGCTGTTTGAGGTCATCCATAAATGACGTCACGGGTTGTTTTTTTTACGATTTTTACCTGCCCTCTCCTCTCAAAAGACAGACCCCCCCCCCCTAAAATTACGTCACACTCAGCCAACAACCGCTCCCCCCTCCTCAAAATTGAATTTGATTTTATTTATTTTTTAAACATCGATTTTTTTTTCTAAAACATTGACTGAGCTGGACCAACGTAGGGTATTTCAATTAATTTATATTACAATTTTTAAAAAGTTTTCTAAAAATTCAGTTTCTAACATTACTTTTTTAAAATAAAAAAATACGACGTCACACTATCTGACCCCCTCCCCCCTCATTACACGTCACAAAATGACGGATTCCCCCCCCCCCCCCCCGAGTGTGACGTTATTTATGGAAGACCCCTTATTAAAAACAGTCCATATCGTATTTTTTTCTTTGGAGTCACGTTGAGTTCATTTTTTTTTTAATCTGTAGGCCTATAGCATATGTATTGCAGGAACAGCTATTTGAAATTACTGTGACGTCATTTTTTTTTTTTTCTCCACAAGCAGTACCAAACACGTACTTGGGGGTCAAGGTGAGGTCACAAGAGCCACGGTTGCTACAAGGGGTGGGGTAGTCTAGTCCTCATAGTCACCTTTTGCAAGGATTTTAATATTAATTTTAGATAGCTAAATAAAATAAAATCAGAGAGAAACTGTAGTCTACTGTAGATTTGGGTGGGTTAAAATACCGAAAGATAAATTAGGCTATATCGATAGCTAGATTACCAGGCTTGGGAGATGTAAGTTTCATTTGAAGAAAGGCATTATTTTAGATTACTTTTCCCGTGTTTTTGATAAATATTCAACTGATATCAGCGGAAAATTTGGACCAAAAAATTGCGTTCTGAAAAATACTGAAATTCGCAGAAATTCTGAATCTTGACCTAGATCTATGTTTCATCTTAATCTAGCACCGCCAGACCTAGCGCAATCGTCTAATTAAAAAGAAATGTGCATATTTGACCTAAGTACTCTAATTCTCGATTTAAATACGAATATATGGAATGCGCAAGTCGGCCGTTTCCGTAGATGTCATTTTTGTTTTTTTTTCCTAATTTTTAAAACTTCGGCAAAAATCGAAGATCGGCGGAAAAATTCGGCAAAAATGAAATCAGCGGAGGAAAATTGCAGCTGAAACGGAAAAATCGGATTTCCGCTAAAATTCGGAAAAGTCACATCCCTGCCAACCAGAAGGTGGCTCTAAATCATTGGTAATTTTGAAGCTTGGTTTATTTATTTATTTATTAAAGCAATTTTTAAAAAATTTATATTTAAAGGACTATACATATAAAATACTTTAAAATAGTAGACCTATCTTCATCCCATTATGTAATATTACATTTCTAGAGCCTAACACAAAACAACTGTTTATGTTAATACAATATCAATATATTGAGTTAAGCTGATAGTCACACTTTGAGACTTACTCTGTAGATCAACAGAAAAGAAATCCTTTAAAAAAACGTAGAAATGTTCACTTAAGGCCAGACATCATGTTTCAACTACTAATTTTTCTTACGCTTTGCTCCAACTCATTTTAAGTTAATTACCTTGTAGAATTTATATGCCTTTTTAAGGCATGATTTTCAAAGACAGCATACCACCATCCTTACATATTACAAAGAAAATTTTACAAGCAGGCAACCCTGTGTAGTCTTTTAAGAATTAGTAAAGAAATGTAAAAAAAACCCACTCAGCTGTTTTAAATTTACAATACACAAAAAAAAAAAAAAAAAAAAAAAAAACAAATACAAAGCATATAAACTATTATGAAGCCTAAAAATTAAGTGGTTGCTTATGATCAATTTGTTAATATGTATTTGCAAGTAAAAACATGAAATTAAGAGGGTATTATCCAAAATAAAGTTTAAATTTTGAAAATGAAGCTTAAGGCAACTTTGGGAGATTGTTCTAAAGAAAGACTCATGCATGGAAATTATGCAAAACCAATCAAAAGTATTAACTTCTAAATAATACTCAAGGTGCACAAAAAGTTTATCACACTTCACCAGCAAATGATCTTGTGCCAATGGCAGGTACACCTCTATTCATCTGCTCTCCAGACTGGTCTACTCCAGGTGATGAGTCTCTTGTGGAGCCTACACAATACAAGTTTAACAACAACCACCATAGCCAAAACTTTATAAATTAGCTTGTGAAATGTTATTGAACTAGAGTACTGTTTACCAGAAAAACGACAAAGACAAAAGGGGAAAAATTCACACTATTGCTTAAAAATAAGCACACACAAAAAAATGAAATGCATAAATCATGCAAAAATGAAACAAAATATTAGTCAAGCAAAAGGTAATTCAAGCACATATTACGTAAAAAAAAACAACTTACCAGGATGATGTGTTTGCGACTGTGGTACGCTAAACCCTGGTGCATGCTGCCCCTGACTAAAATACATAGGCTGACCAAAAGGCTGATACATCTGTCCTGGCGGAAAGCTGGTTGATGCACTAGGGAAGGCAGCCCCAGCAGGACCAGGAGGGGGTTGAGATGACTAAAAAAAAAAAAAAAAAATTTATGATGATTAGACAACATACAGGTTTTCCCAGTTTGGAAACTGTCCGGCAAAATGTGATATTCAAACAGAAAAATCTTACCAGGAATAAAATTAGTCTTATAATAATTTTTGCTGTATAACCATATTACTATAAGCTTTTCCCCCAGGAACAATCTCCGATGGATGCGAGTTTCAATATCTAATTAAGCAAATTCACAAAAAATATGCACTAAAAAAAAAAAAAAAAATCAGCACGTATCTAAACTTTTAACAGAACATTTTTAAAAAAAACTTAATCAGATGCATTAACCATACCATTTATTTTAAGGCATTAAATAAATTGCTCATAGGCAAAGAATTATAGAAATATTTTACATGATAATTTTAATAACTATTATGACTGGTACTTTGACTGGTTATGTTATCTTAAAAAAAAGAGTAGATATTAAGAAAGTTTAAAGAAAATATTTTATTTAAGTGAATTCTATATCAATAACCACAGTTAATTCACATAAGCAATGAAAATTAACAACATGGACCCAAGACTTCTGCCCACCTTAATAAAGGAGGAAAGGAGTTTTTACATAAATCAGCTGTAAACAAGATGTAGACCTACCCAAAACAGGCCTATTGCTGAAACTTAAACCAGCTGAATAAACTGATTGAGCATTTACTGAAGGCATAATCCTACAACAGTAACGTGTCAAAAGTGTAAAATATCAGGCAACACAGTACAAGAAGACATCCTTTGATATTCCACTCTTTCATCATAACTTTGTTCAATGAAAGAATATATATTAGCCAATGGTAACTTTAAAGCAATAGCTAGACTAAGCATACCACTTTCCCATTGTGTGAACAATTTACTAACATAATGACACCCCCCCTGCACAAAGTGTGGCATTTATAAAGTTGTGTAAAGCATTTAAACCACTGCTATAGATGTACCTCAACTGTGTCGTCAATTTTAGTTTTTAATAAAAGATTTGTTATTTTTATGAATACATTTTAGATATTAAAAGAAAGAAAAAGAAACAGCAATTGCATTATGGGGGCTAAATAATATTAATGGGGGGGGGGGGGGGGGGGGGAGAGAAATTGCTTTGAGATACTAGCAAGGTTGTGGAATGAATTAAATTTCTTGCTGTATGACTGTATGCAGGTATTTTAAAGTTAATTTTTCAAAGTGACTAAGTTGAAAAATGCTTTTTCTTTTGTGTGGAAAGTAGTTGTGCCCAGACTGCAAAGATCAATGTATACCCATTTCAAAGTAAAGATTACTAGGGAATATAAATAAACTCTAAGCCATAATAATTTAAAATGTTTCATCAATACCTTAACAATAGCAGGGTCAAGAGGAACTCCTTCTGTGGGCTGTGGCTTTGGAGGCTCACAAACATGCAGATCTTTAATGTCATGGCCACGAAATATTATGTATTCAAAAATTTCACTCCTAGCTGGTAAAGGTCTATCTGTAGGACGATCTTCTGTTCCAAAAGATCTAACTGAAGAATTAAATTATTGGTTACAAATTATACCAATAAACTCTCAGTGATCCATAACAAAAACAGACTTGTATCTCTTTAAGTAATATAACAATTCCCTGACAGTCAAAAGATTATAAAGATGTCAAGCTTCTCTGACCTTTATTCTAGTGTTTGAAGGGATAATGTTCGTTGTTAAAAAAAGATTCTTCTATAAAAACCAGAGTTAATTAAAAACTCAATAGTTGCAAGTTTTCTGACACAACATGGACAATCATTAATTTATTATCTTTTGCCGATTAAGTGGAGACGCTGGGGCGAAAAATCGTTTTCCAAGTAGTCACTTCATTTTTATTTTTGCAGTAAGTGTTAGCTATATTTGCCTTTTATTTTTTTAGGCCTACATATTCTTTTAGTTAGACACAAAAAATTAAGATGGTATGGCCCTAAATGTTGTACATCTAGATCTAGTAGGCCTACTGAAATATTAGACTGTATGACATTGTCTTTGAACATCTTTTCGGTCATACTTAATAGGCCAGCTCATTGCTTAGATGGCTGGATTGACCTCTGACCCTGAAAAGTCACGCATCGTTTTCTGACGTTTTTTACGTTTATTTTAGGGGTCCTATCCAGGACAAATTAAAAAACTGTTAATCTCGCAAATTCTTATCATTATTTTAACACAAGATGCTAATAAAATGGATAATATGCATTAGAATGCCAGAAAAAAAATCGCGAGAATTGTGGTTGTAAATAATGAGAGGATTTCTAGTGGAGCATTATCCCTATAAACTGAACAGCGGCTAAAAATGAGCGTATAACGGCCAAAACAGCCTGTATAACAGTAGATTAATATATAATTGAGATATTTACCATGCATATTTACAGTATTATTGATTCTCTTTTCAAAAAATCCAATTACCCCGTAAGTAACCATGCGACAATTTCTCTCTGCTATTGTTAGTAACGTTGCGTCATTGTTACGCTAGTTGCCAGACAGAAACAACTAGTTTTTGTTTTTCTGCGGAATGAACTGTTAAGTCTAGTATTTTAATTATAATTCAATTGTAGCATGTGTGGAAAAAGTAAAATTATGGACATTATTATTGTATTAGTAATTTTATTAGTATATTGATTTTTTTCTTCTCTGTGGGCCGACAGTAGCTGCATTGAATTTAATTCGTGACCGTTGGTTAACCTCGTCAACGCTGCGTGGCCTATTCGTTTATAGAATTAGTGATGCTTGTTCAGTAGCCTTTTTCAGAGCTAGGCCTAATTACGGGCGATTTTTACACTTTAATTGATCGGCCCATGTATGAACCTCAGCTGCCACACTGTTGACTCAATATAATGTGAATTGAGTGTAAAATGTATTTGTATTTATAAACTATCATAACTATTACTATCATATTATTTTAAGCATATTTATTATGGTCAATTGATTTATGCAGGTGTTCATTACTTCATAAAATGGTATGAATAACATGTAGAGTAGAATTTAATAAATAATAAAATAACTAGATCTAGTTTTATTATCAACCAGTTGCTTTTTGTTATTTTCCGGTGAGTAAATAACCTAAGCTAACGCTATTACCATGGCGGGAATTAAAAGCTCGTGTACACAAGTCCATGACGTCATGTTATGCCGGTCGAGGGAAAAGAACTAGGTTTTCACGTTCATTTTCCATTCTAGATTTCAAATTCTCTCTTTTCTCGTCAACCGAGTAAGCTAGATATTTAAATGTGGTGTCAAATGTTCTCTTAAGGGGTAAGGAACTTAATGGTGTATTTGAAATAACAGAATATTTTATTTTTAAAAATCCATAATTTAACCTAATACTTAGGCCTATTGCCTCTCAGATTATATTATTATATCCAGCAAAGGTAAAAAACAAGCAGTAGGCCTATGTCTATGCTTAACTAAAAAAAACGAATGCAATGGTTTCATACAAAACATGCGGATGATATTTCGAGTCGTCCCTTTGAATCCCGGTCAGAACGTCCCCCCGTCGTGGCCTCAACCAACCGGCGGGCTTGTTGCATTGAGTTAAATATAAACTCAAAACAATAAAAACAATCTCCTTTTATGTCGGTCAGGCCACATACCAGGCACGCACAGTGTTGTGTGTCGTGCCTTAACCAAAATAAACTATCTCCCTTCATTATCATTAGATATATTTAATTAGTTAATTAATTTGCTAATTTATAAAATTATGTATGATGCTATAGCAGTAGGTAGGTTACGGTAAGTATATTTTTTTAACTAAGTATTAGTACTATTAAAAAAACAGTTTCGTTGTTTCAATACCACCCTCTCCCCTTCTTGAACTCAAAGTTAAACTTTTAACCCTGTTTGTAAAGACAAGCGGTATGCTGTAAGGCGGTGGGTGGGTAGGGTATATACTCATTGAAAAAAAAAAATCCACCGTGGTGCGTGTTATTGGCCTTGGGCCTTTGGTGATGTTGTTGGCGCTGTGAGGGGGAGAGTTATACTCAAGTTATAGCTATACTCGTAATAAAAAATGCAACGTGGTATTGGCCTATGATGACGTTGTCGGCGCAAGCGGGGAGGGGGGGGGGAAGACACTTTTTTTTAAAGAACTAGGCGTTTAAAGGCTGTGATGCTTGATGGGTCTATCATACGATTGCTTGGCGATGGGAATCTCGTCAAGCTCAGTTTACATATCAGTGAACTATAGGGATGCTGTCATGCACAAAGTAACAGCTACCGAATGTAGCACTTAAAACATCGAGTGCATCCCGCTCATTATAAGTCTTTGAAATACAAGTTATGGATTGTCCAAAAACTTGAAGGACTGTCAGAATATATGCATTGTATTATAACATTAATCATTACAACATAAATAAAATTTGTATCCAAATATTTTTAGGCTAACGGGATCTGCATTTTAAATAAACAAGACCTATTAGGCTACTTTTGTATGGTAGCACAACTACATTTTAAGATTTCATGAGTAACCTAGTCGTGCATTAAAGGGCTGTACTCAATAACAATGAAAAAAAAATGAAATGCCGGCTTCAAACTTCAAGCTATGAATTCCCCGTATTCTTCTACTAGAAATATAGCTCCGTTGTTTAAATGACCTCACCCTCCTCTCTCGCCTAGTTCAATTTAAAGCTACACTTTCAACCCCGTTAGGATGCGTGAACTACTGATGACCTAACTATTGAAAAAAAAACTGTTCTGGTGTTAAATTGCCCTCCCCTACTCGCAGCACTTAACTTTGGGGCCATACACATCAGGAAGGTCTAGGTCGGTGTTGTATCTCGTGCAAATTTACTCACAACCCGACTACACACTATGGTGGTATACAGGACTAAAGCTGCGACACTCGCATAGAGTTGGATTTATTCGTTAGATCATTGTGCTTCAAATTCTGTTTCAATATTTGGATTAGATGGCTATAATGTTGGAATTCAGTTAGTTTGTTATATTATATTGATATAAATGTCGTGTACCATCAGAAACTAAATTGGTTGACAAGATACATGTGTAGGCTAAAGAATTACCTCTAGATCGAGCCAAAGATGGCTGGTTGGTTAAGGTTGACAAACAAATTTTATGGTGATGCTTTTCTAAAGGATTTTATTTTGTGCTTTCTTTAAGATTATTTTGTGTGATGTGAATATTCAAAAGTAATTTGTAAGTAGTATACTTTTCACATTCAACCATTTTAACAGTTTGCGATTGATCTGCGGCCGGGCTGATTAATTTACATTTAGCGAAACTACACATACACGGCGCCCTCAGGCCGTTGTTTCAGCATGCCCTACTAGTCAATTATAGACAACTTTAGAATCAATACATGTAGCCAACACACCGATTTTTATTTAATAATCTTCAAAAGCCATTCCTCTAGGGTCGTTATTTTCACGAAATGGTCGTTTTCCATTTTGTTGTCAAGAAACTGGTATTTAGTTCACAAGAACGTATGAAAACCACTCATGCGTGACCGAAATCGTCAATTGGGTGCCTTCACATGGTTTGACACGTGCTGACCTAGGCCGTTGTTTACATCCAAAAATCACCCAAAATGGCCTTTTTTTCGAAAAAATTGTTTGAAAAAATAGCTCATCCAATTTTAAAAAGTGTCATTTTCGGGTCCATTTTAAAAAACTTAAAAAAATCCGAACTACACATAGAAAAAATGGCTTTTTCTGCCCTTTTTAGCTCCAAAAACGCGACACGTGACGTCAGCTGCCAACCAAAACGCGGAGAAAGCGCGCGTTTGATTGGTTGGCGGCTGACACTATGAAATCCTCTAGGGACGATTCGAATGGTATACCAAACATGCAAATAACAGCCATCACTTAACTTGCGAAAGTGGTGTTTTGTGCAAAGTAGGCAAGATCTAGCTAGATTAGATCTTACACTGTCTGTAGATGTAAGTTTGCAACACATTTTTCCTAAATACTAAACGTTCTAGTGTAGGAGTGCAACGTAGGTAAACTTCTTAAGATTACGGCAGTTTTTTAGTAAAATAAAGAGGGAGAGTCTGGATCTTAAAATCATTAAAAATGAATCTCGGAACTCCAGAATCTAGGATTCTAAATCTATTGATTGTGTAGTGTAAAGATTTGTGGATTCTAGAGTTATCTAATCTACATTTTACATCTAATCGTTTGTGTCGTGTTAGATATTTAATATTACGAGAAACAGTATTTATGATATAGCTTAGATCTAGGACATTAAGAGTCACCATAAATAAACTTTCAAACCTTTTGCTAAAGCTACTGTTGCTTCTACCGGGTCGATTGTATATAGAGTTCCTTCATATCGGATCTCTGCTTTGGATATTAGACTGATTTTGCTTCCCAGATAAGGGACTCCAGTGGGGGCTGGGACTCCTGTAGGTCCCGGTACTCCTTGGCCTTGGCTCATTCTAAATGTATCCTTTTACCGAAACTCAACAGAGATGTCGGTGGATTTAAAATCGTAGCCTATTCAAATCTCTTTTATTAAAAGATGGCGATCATTTTGGTTAGAAATTGACCGGAAGTGAAGATGGCGCGGATGTTGAAATCCCATAGTTCATATTTTGGACATGCGCAATGTCATTTGAAATTTGTTAAGCCACTGAAATGGCGGATCAAGGATCTATGGATGAGTTTCTATCGAAAGAAATAGATCAAAACAAAGTATCAGCGTTAGTAGGGTCTCTGGAATCACAGTTAGCGTCTTCTACAAACAAAGAATCTCACAAGACTGTTCCAGGGGCTACATATAACAATAATCATATTTCTGGGAATGCATCTTTAGTGAATGCATCCAATCCTAACACAGCAAGTGTGACTGTGAGGCCACAACAAACTGTTGTGAGCATGCAGGGCCTTGGCTTACAGTCCCAGGCAATAATTTCTAATAAAAATTTATCCCAGAATGCTGCAATAATTAACTCAAATATTAGTAATCCACAAATAATTGGCATTTCTTCCATCATAAATGCCAACTCCCAAAACAGAACAAATTCGAACTCAAGCACAACATTGCTTCCACTTACAAATTCTTTTTCTTCAATTTCAAACACATCTCTTTCCTCAGCAAATAAGTTATTAAATAGTACTCCATCTATACGTATTGTTACAAATAATAATACCAAACCTCAAAATTCTGTTTTGCATAATTCTCCTGTTCAGGTGTCAAAGCCACAATTTATAAACAGTGCAATAGCTCAAAGTGTTACGACTGTCCGGCCGACCCAGCCTATTACGAGTACAAGAGTAAATATTACTGCTTCTGGTGCCAGTACTGCTATGCATAACTTAGCTACTATTGCTGCTGAACAAAAACCATTAACAGTTTTACCTAACGGAAGTACACATTTGCAAAGTCTGCAACATAAAGATGGATCTGTGATACCTCAACAAATTATTGTGAAAAGTGATTCAAATCATTCAGTGGTGAAAAGAGAGTTGAACTTAAGTCCTCTGATAAAAAGTGATATTTCAATGTCAAATTCTGTGATACAAGGTTTGCCGCAAAACATGCGGCAGCCTACACCTATTCTAGCTGGACCTCAACAAATAATGAAAGGGATACCTACAGGTAATAATCCAGCGCTCGTCACATTAAGGACTCACACGCCTAATTCTCAGCAGCATGTGGTTGTAAGAGCCAGTGTGGCAACAACTTTAGCAAACTCTTCTCCTTCAGTGCAAGTAGTAAATGCATCAGCAGCTGGCACACCTACAATCAGACCAGCAGTTACACAACAAATACGACCAGGACAAGTACGTATTACAAATCCAGTAAGAATTGGCACTCAGCCCAATATAGCACCAAGGCAGCAGAATGCTCAGGCGGTAAGTTATTTTTCTTGCTTAAAAATAGTAAATTTCTTAGGATAGCATAACTGCTGGGATGATAAAAAGTAATGCACATTTTTTATCTTAAGTAAAAAATTTGATAGGCCCTGTTATAGCCCCAATTTATTTTTTCATATTCATTTATATTAGGCCTATAGCATAAAACTGACTACTTTGCCATGTCAGTATTTGATTTTTTGATATGAAATAATTGTTTTTAAATAGGCTACTTATTACTTTTTTGCCTATATAAATAAATGAATTGTTATGCTGCTTGAAATCTATTGGTTGATAATAGTGACAATACATTTCTCTCTAAGGCCTAATGGTAATATGGTCGATTCTAGCCAGAAGAAGATGCCCATGTGAATGTTTGTTGTTTAGGCCTACGTGTTGTCTTGATAGGACAGGGATTTACACAATAAAAACTTAAATAGTAGAATAAAATATGTAATTGAAGTAGGTCTTCACTTTTTAAATAAAAATATTTTATTGGCGTACTTTAATTACAGACTAGATATCTTTACTAAATATACTATATAGGCCTGTAACTACACCATCGTCATCTTTTCCTCCGCTTTAGTCAGTCACCGTCAATTTTTCTGGCAGTTCCCCATGACAGTCCTGCCTCTGCCAGCTGCATCCCCGCCATGTGCCTTGTCTCCCTTGGGCTTCCCTGCTTTCTTTTTCCTTGAGGCGTCCAGTTTAGCGCCATTCTTGCGATGTCATCTGGATTCATTCTCAGGACGTGCCCCATCCATTGGCATCTTCTTTTTTCGATTATTTTGGAAACTGCTTCCATTTCCATCTCTCCTAATAGTCTAACTATACCACACTTTACGAGAATCTATTCAACCCTCAACTCCTAACATTGATATCTCTAGTAGAAGTAATATATTATCTCATGAGCATTTTAAGAAGAAGAAATTAAATAATTGCAGAGAGTGAGGAGTTGAATGGTTCTATTTGAAAAATACTACTTGAAATAAGATAAATAACCTATTATATTTACTTTAACTTAGGTCTTTACTTCCATGTGTCTGTCTGTGGCATGTGTTGTAACTCAATTTAAATCCACAATTTTATTCAAACTTTTCAAATAATTTTTGATCTCATGACAGCTTATGAATATCTAAATTCCATACATTACATTAAATTAAAATTAATTTATAGATGGCTACATTAATGGTCTCTCATGAGATCTCTCACCCATTGATTATTTTTACTAAGGGCTAAATAGAGGTTTGTTTTATTTTTTTATTTACAATGCATTAAAAAGCTCATTATTATAGTTTTTTTATACCTGTTTTCTTCCCTTTTTCTTCTAGATGTTTATATTTATTTAAATAATAAGTTAACCCAATGTTGGCAGCTTTATATTCTTAAAAAAATTGTGATTGTTAATTGTGAAAAGTTTATTTATTTTGGAAGTAGCTCTGTTGTAAATACAAGAATGATCTATTTTTAATTGGTTATTTGTTGGTCATTTAATAATAACATCTACTTTATTCACGTAGAACACCCTAACCATTCCTCATGGCGCCCTTTTAATGCGAAATGAAAGCGGACAGTTGGTTCTCGTATCAGCTTCTCAGACTGTTCTTCAGCAAACGCCTAGCAGTAACAGTGTAATAACAACAATGGCACCAAGTGGCTATCGGATACCAAATGTTAGGGTAATTATTAATTTATTTATATTAGAAGCTTTAAAAGTTTGAGTGTAGGCACTAAGTTTTGGATAAAAATAACTGGTTTGAATTTCTTAAAGCCTCTGACATCACAAGCACCAGTACGGACAGCAAGTGGTGGGCAGACTATTGTTACCATTCAGCCTCAAGCTACACCACAGCAGCAGTCTATTCAAGTTCGTGGGCCAACGATAGCTACCGTTGTACCAACATCTACTTTACAGCGTCCAGCTGGTCAAACATCAAACATTATTGGTCAACCTACAACTACTGTTGGTCAGACTAATATAACCACTTTTGCTGCTACTGGGGAGATGAGTAAGTTTTATACAATTTTAGAGCTAACCATTGTTAAACAAAATTTATTTTCTATTAGCAAGAGCTGACTGAATGTTGATTACAATTTTTTTATTGCATTATGTTGTAAATCTTTGCAAACCTAAATCTGTTTAGTATCTCTTTTTCAAATCGCTGTTTCGTATGATCTATGCTTGGTGAAATGTTATTTGTTCAATAACTGCAGATCAAGCTATGCTTGAGAATGTGAAAAAGTGCAAGAATTTTTTGTCTACGTTAATCAAGCTGGCCTACAGTCAACCACCAGAAACTGTGAAAAACGTTAAAGCACTTATTCAGGGCCTTATAGTAAGTATTAAATTAGATAATTGCAAGCGAGTTAGTGAAATTTAAATACAGCTTTAAAATGAGCTGCTCACCTCGTTTCAGTTGTATAGACTCAGCATGCTGAAAAATAAAGGGAAATTACTCAATTTGTATTAAACAGTGTTTTTACCTTGAAATGTGTCTTCTAATTTTTATTACCCTTTTTAACTGAAGTATATTTACATTCTCATTAATTACTCAGTAGGTTTCTAATGCTATACTTATTATAAATATGCTGATATATATATATATAAATTATCAAAAATTTTGGCTTTGAAAGTATGTTATGTAGATTTTCAGACTTCTAGATTAGTTCCCAAGGATAACAAAATAATTTTGAAGAAATAAGACCTAGTGCTTTTTTTATGCCTGTTGTTTGACAGGCTTTACAGCTACTTTTAATTAGATATAAACTTGCATCCTTCATCTTATCATTTAAGGATGGTAAAGTTGAACCAGAAATGTTTACAGAACGTTTGCAGCATGAACTTCAGTCATCTCCTCAGCCATATCTTGTCCCATTTTTAAAGGTAAGAATTTTTTATAATCAGTTTTGCAAATTTTTAATTAACATTCTCTTTTTAATCAAACTACATAAACATCTTCCATGTCAACTACAATTATTATTTTATTTTTTTGTGCACTTCACTGCATTACTTCTTGTTACCTCATAGTTATACAGAGAGATGAAAGCTATAAAATAATTTAACATGCTTGAAATACTCAACCTGCTAACTTTTTTTTATTTGATAGCCAATACAATCCAGTATTTCTCAAAAAGTTATATGAAGAATTTATTAGTAAATTTAGTCTTCATAGATCTAGTAAAAATTCCAACAACAAAATTATTTGTTAATTGTAAGAGTAAAAAGTGTATAAAAAGAAGAAATACGACCACTGAAACACAATTTATAATATTTAGTAGTTTTACAGAAGTTTAATAATTATGTATTAAAAAATTACACTAAAATAATACTAGTTGCAAAGCAAAAAAATATTGTATTTGCATAATACATTACAAGTAATCTGAAAAACTCAGAAAACAAAAGGAAATAACAGCAATTTAAAAAAAAAATGAAATAAATTCAGTTTGATAGAAATATATTACCTCATTACTAATACTGTTATACTCGCATGATTCTTTAATATTATTACAATTGTGTGTGCCAATAGAACGCAGCTTTATTTACTAATATTTTGACATAGACTCTTATGTAGAATTTAGAATTTTTCATGTAAAATGTAGATTTCTGTCAGCATTTTTTATTCATTTTTACTTTTAAAAACTTTTAATGATCATAATGGCTTTGTTTTAACATGCATGAATATTTGTTTTAATGAAATCTATTTTTGAGTTTGATTTTTTAAAAAATATATTTTGTTTTTATTTAGAGCTGTGCTCTGACTCCTCTTGTGGTAACTTAACAACATTTGTTGTTGTACCTTCAGTATTTGATAAGGGAATATGTAATAATACCTTGCTCTCTGCAGTCAAAAAGTTCATCAAGATACAGACTTAAATGTTTAAAATACAAGTAAAAGCAACACAATCTCTTCAGATTTTTATTTTTCATTGCTATAGTAATTTTATTCTTAAAAAAAAATAACATTGAGTTATACATTTGAGTCTGTGTCATTTAAAATATTGCTGCAAGTATTCTATTCTCAGTATTCATTGTATTCACATGCTTTCATTTGTCATTCTTTGGCAAAATCAAAGTTGTCCATAATTATTATTGCTAAATAATCACTGCTTTAACTTCTTAAAATTGTTGTCAAATATCTTTTTTTAAACTTAGATTTTATACAATTCTTAAACAGATTATGCTAATAAATTATATTAATAAAAGTACCTTCAAATCTTCATTTATAAAATTAATGCAGTTTTCAATTCTAAAATAGATTTGATGCACTGATTTTATTAAATGTTGTTATAAACCTCCGTCAAACGCCAGTGTTCTAAAAATCAGTCTCCATATAAGGTTTTTTTTAAATAAAATTGTTTATTGTTGGTTAGTTTATGTTATTTTTTAATTTTTTTTTTGGAAATTGGTGCATATTTTAAAAAGTATGTTGTAATGAAATTAAAATGTCAGCAGTTTAAAGCATTTTATATAATTATGTATAAAATATAATAAAACATACTTTTAGGATAGATGTGTTAATATTATATTTAAAAATGTAATGCTGAGGGGTCAGTTAATGCATCCACAAAGGTTTACCTCCCAAACAACAAGGCAGAGGGGTCAGTTAATGCATCCACAAATGTTTAACTTTCATCTCCAAGGAAAGTACATTTTTAATAAAGGGGTTCAAATTGGTCTTGACTGATATCTACTTATAATCCGTTTATTTTAGAATTGCTAAAATTAAATCAATCACAACAGGGCACAACACAATATGAAATTTGAAAATTTATTAAATGCAGAAACCTAATCAGTACACTTACAAATTCTCAAATTAAATAAAGTGATAATATGAACAATGCCACTTAAATACTTTAACATTATTGAGGAGCAACTGGATATTTTCCATTCTTTCTTACATAAAGATATGTTATGGCTTGTTAAAATAATTTCTTTACAATTTTTAATCAAACACTTTTTGAACGGCAATAAATATTAGTTGAAATAACTTGAAGATCAAATAACTTTGTGATTTTTCCTTTGTTCTGTTTTTATGGAAATTGCGTAATTTGAAACAGATTTTAAAAAAAATAATGAAATAATGAATGGATGCAAATATTTACAAAACAGCAACTTTTTTGAGATCTAAAATTTACATATTAAAAAAAAATTATTAAAATGTTTAATTTTTTTTAGAAAAGATGATTTTGTAGTTGTAAATGTAAAATTTTACTTTTAATTTCTCTATAGGAAAATTGTTGATTAAGTAATTTATTGTAAAGTATAATAAACATGATTTAACATTGTTAGTAAATTAGCAACCTTTTAAAAAAACCACAGTTCATTGATATAGGGTACAATGGAAATGGAGAGGCATGATAGGTATTTGACAGTTTATCTATAGCACTAATGTAGCTATTGTAAAGCTTAGGTGGCAGCAAGACCACAGATCTTTAGAAGTATTGATGTGTTGTTTCTTTTAATGAAAAAGTAGAAATGTAGATATTTTTTCAGCAATAGTTATACATTTAAATTGAATTAACATAAAGATTCTGATTAAGAAATATTGTATATTTGAAAGCTAAGTGGAACTACTAGTTTCTCTGTGTATATGGTTGTGTGTGTCTATTGTCCTTATTTATAATTTTGCTATTGTGTTGTCATGTTATTTTAATTTGAGGTAGTTATTTATTTTTTACAATTCATACACAATGAAACAAACCTTTTCATTTTATTTAATATCCTGAATTTGTGAAGTTTTCATCAAGTTTCTTTTTAAATGTTAAATTGATAATGTTATTGTACTTTCTACAGAAAAGCCTTCCACTTCTACGGCAGTCAATGTTAAAGGGTAGAATGGTTATTGATGGTGTTAAGCCACCGCCTGCAGAAGTAGCTGGACAGTCCCAATCTATCACAGTTTCACAGTCACCTGCTACAACCATTGTAAGTCAGCAAGTTATTACAGCAAGTGGCACTTTAACACAGAGACCTGTTGTGGCACCCAGGCCTACCATGGCTCCATTACAGCAACAACAGGTTGGACTTTGGTTGCTTAACTATTGCTGTTGTCATATTTTTTTAAATTGATTATGTGACATTGATTTTAATTCTGACCACTTAAAAGTTTTTACTGTAATAAAAAGAATATTATTTCTTATATTAAAATAATTGTTCTATAATTAGAATATTACTTTCAATAATAGATCCGCTCATCACTTGGTCCTGCCAGCAGTAAAGTAGCTCCTATTCGACAAACAATGCCTCAAGTAGCCATAGCTCCTGGTGGAAACAAAGTTGTACTTCAAGCATCTCAGATTCGTCAGCAAATGCCTAATCAAGTTTTAAATCAAGTTCGTCCTAAAATGACAGTTGCACGTCCATCTTCTCAATTTATCCGAGCCACCAATAAACCCATCACAACAGCTGTAGTCAAAGCTGAACCATCTAGCCCTGCTGCTGGACACAGGGAAAAAAGAAAATTTGAATCTCTAAAGTTTGTAAAAAAAGTTTCACTTTTTATTTTGCTCCTTTTTATTTCAGATTTCGATTCTAGTTATTGTAAACTATATTCAGAATAAATGCAAGTGAAGATATTAAATGGTTCTGACACATTATTATGAAATTAAATGGGGGTGGGGATAACAATTGTTCAAATTTAACACAATTAGCACTATATTTCACAAATGCTACAAGTTTAAATCTTACAAAAATTGATAATTCTCTTTCTCAGAGATGGTGATGATGATATCAATGATGTTGCGACCATGGGAGGTGTCAACTTATCAGAAGAGTCAAAAAACATACTAGCCACTACCAATGCTGATTTTATAGGAGCTCAGATGAGATCTTGTAAAGATGAAATATTTCTTGCAGCTTCACCTCTACATAAAAAAATCAGCACCATTGGTAAATCAATTTTATTTCAAAGTTTTTGTTACTTAAATAAATTGCATTTTTTTTTAAAGATAATTGATTCATACTTTTATAGTATCTAGTTTAAAAGTGTTTTCTTAAAATGTATAGTCTTGTCAGAAGAGTTAGAAATGTTATAATTTTTTACATTCCAATGTTGAAACAGTTATCCATAGTCTCTAATTATCTATGTTAATCCATAGCTCCCCTGGCATTAAAAACATTTTTACTTCCCATCCTGTCATGTGAAATAACAATGTATTTGTTTTAAAATATGCATGTGTATTAAAAATTTAACCCTTTGAGCCCTGGCCTCCCTGACCTAATTTCTCCCATTTCCTGAGCTCCCAGTCCCAAACCAATTTTCACTTATCTGCTTCTAACTTTGCCTATAATTTTTTAACTGTTTGATATTTCGATCTTTTGCTTCATCTTTTGCACCAGCTTTATGTACTGAAGTAGATGGCTGTCCGCCGCTAATTATATGTAATAAGACTATGATGCTAGATCATCTGGCCGGACATTTTTCGGACATATATGCCTAATTTTGAAGCCGGTTTTCCGGCTTTTCGGGCTCAAAAGGTTAAAACAAAAACACGAAAGTTCATAGTTTATAATATTTGAGTCTAAAAAGCTTAATAATTTACTAATGATAAAAAAATAATAATGGATTTTAAAAAAATAAATTCAATTAAAGAATTATTTTAAATGATAACAAATGTCACCATAGTCACTAGATCTCATATTTTTATCACTATATTTCTTAACCATGTGAAAAATGAATATACTTAAACATACTTATTGGGCCAGTGGTTCTTCACAGTTTTTACCATTTTGGAGGTACCGAACCCCACCATCTTCATGTGCACATTCACCAAACCCTTCTTGATCAGAGAAATAAAATATGATTTTTTGAAAATTTAAAACATATAAGGAACTGCATCAACATCACTGTGTACAAAGACTAAAACCATAAAAATATTTTCACACAAAACAATGAATAGTTACTGCATATCAATTTCTGCTGTTGCCTATCTGGCACCAGTTCAGAAATGTGCTGCTACACCTTGAATTCAGCTAGCATTGTAACCTTTTATTTTTCCATCTTCAACTTAAGGAATTGTCCTCTTAGTTTTTCTGGTGCTAGACTAGAATTTCTTAACTTGCCCGTTGCAAACCTTGACGCCTATTAAATTTTGTTATTATACATGTGACTTTGTGCATGCACATCCCGCTACTTTTTTTTTTTTTTTTTTTTTTTTTTTGCTGGACAAAGTTAGTATAAAGGGATTAAAATATTAAGAAAGAAATCACTGGACATACTTTCACAACAGTCATAAGTTGACGACTGGGTCTACAATATAGAAATACAAAGTAGGTTCATCACAACATGTGTATACACAATCACGGGGTGCCTGTATATGAGGTATTGACACGATTCATGACATTTTTGTTATAACATCATGGGTTCTACGATATAGAAATATCACAATACTGATAATCCTATCTTGCTGTCATATATGAACTGTCATCAGCTGCGGATGCTATTTCTGTCATCCTCACTGACAAAATCCAATCCTCCTAACCCTGAGACTGATTTACTTAATCCTTGGGATTCAAACCACTGCTGTTTGGAACAGTACCGGAAAATCACTAGTGCTTAGGGCAGTAAAGAGTTGATGAAATAAGTTTTTAATTAGAAAATGCATAAAGCAAAGTTTTGTGCTTTAAGTGATAATACATTAATATTTTAAAAATGTGTTGTAATTTCTTACAGCTAAAAAGTATGGAATAGAAGATATAAGCCCAGCTGTGGTTAATATAGTTTCTCATGCTACTCAGGAAAGGCTTAGAGATATGGTCTCAAAATTATCAACCATAGCTGAACACAGGGTTGAGATTTACAAGGTGAGCAGAGTTGAACTGTGGATTAATTACATATAACACTCTAGTGATTTACATTTGCTTATTTTTCACTAGGTATGGTAAGTTTTAATCATGATTGATACTAACAATGCTTTTACAAGAAAACTTGGCCCATCATTGATCTTGTAAAATATCTGTTGTTTCCTCAGATGGACAGTCGGTATGAGGTGGAGTCAGAAACAAAGTTAAAGCTCAAATTCCTGGAGGAGTTGGATAAATTAGAGAAAAAAAGGCATGAAGAGCAAGAAAGAGAAAAGTTGTTAAGGGCAATCAAGGTAAAGTTTTAAAAAATACAATGTTAATTATATAGCTTTTCTAAAGCTTCAAATGATAAAGTGACTTTTTTTTTTACTTGACATTTATTATCAGTTAAAAGCAAACCTTTTTTACTATAGTATTATATTGATTATTTATTTCTCTAGAGTCGTTCTAAGAATGAAGATCCTGAGCAGCTTAAACTTAAACAGAAAGCCAAAGAGGTAAAACAAATTTTTAAGTTTTAGTTAATGCAACCATTTTTAAAATATAAAATACTACCTATTAATATTGACTATTTAAATGTTCTGGTAAAATTGATTTTGACTTGCACAATTCAATATGACAATTTCTATAGCACCTGAATTATTTCATCTTTCTTATAATTTAAGCTAGGATATTAATTTTTCAAATATTAAGACTTCATTTACAAATTTCTTTTTAAACAGCTGCAACAAGCAGAAGCAGAGGAACTTAGGCAGAGAGAAGCAAATCTTACAGCTTTGGCAGCTATAGGTCCTCGAAAGAAACGACGGTTGGACTTTGCAGATGCAACAAAATCTGGGGTATGCAAACTATTTTTTAATCTTTCTTTTAGCAGTCGTTTTTTATAACTAATTATGACATAATCATTTAAAACATTTCTTCTGAATTAAAATGTCTTAATCTTTTTTTTTTCAGTCAAGTACAAATAACAATTCATTCAATTCCAATTCATCGCTTGCAAGTGTAAGTTTAGGTTTATTTCTTGTATTACCAGTAAAGTTTAGAAAATAACTATTTTGCAATTTTTAAAAATAAATCTTGTTACTTGCAGGTTATTCGGCCAAGAACTAAGAGAGTTAACCTCAGAGATGTACAATTTTTGTTGGAAAGTGAGCGATCTACAAGGAAATCAGAACTACTTTACAAAACATTCTTAAAATGATAAGGTTTAAAATAACTATACGTTAAGGAGTGTAAAAATCTGTAGATTCTTTGTGGGTAGCCTTCTGGAAAGAAATACATCAAAATGGTGATACTTATGAATAGCAATCAAGTGGATGGTTCATGTCTTCTTGACAAATGGTATTAACCAGCAGCTCAATGCTTTGGCTTCCACTGTGGGCATTGATAAAGTGTCTGTCATCATGCTGAAGAATCACCTATAATCTTGATCATAATGATCAATCTAAACTAAAACGATATGTAAACTAGCATCTTCAGCCAAGAAGTATGGCAATCTGGTTTTAGGACTAAATACAGGTTCCTTTTTTATAACATTGCACCATCATTCAGTGATTAAGTTTGAGAGGAACTATAGGTTACATTGATGCTTGTTCTTTAAGCTCAAATGGCATCAATCAATTCTTCACTAAAATGACACACCTGGTGCTTTAAGCAGGAACAGATCACTTTCAACAAAGTGAATAAAATTGAAAGTCATGACGTGACACACTTCTAAAACCCTTATATGGAAGTATTGAAATGTGGAGGATGAACTGCACATAACTGGTGTTATTAATTGAAAATACGTCAGCCATAACAACCAATTGGGTCTGATACCAAATAAACCTAGACAGTTTGGTATTACAGAAAGGAATGTGACATCAGCATGTTTATTCTATTTTCTGAACGGAGGGAGCTTGATGCTTTCTAAGTAATGTGGCCTTTATCAAACTTTTGACTGAATAGAAAGTTGTTGTAACTTCAAAACATCTCAAGTTAAAGTAAGTCCATGGTTAAACTAGTACATGGGTACTATTCAACAGCTGTGATGATCTCCAGCTTAATTATGTTTGCTGTAAGTAGTGTTCTTGCCTTGATACTGAGTACTTGTATTGCCTATGTATTGTATTATGTATGAAACACATTTTAAATGTGAAAGGGTTTAGTTTTTATATTAAAAATTGTTTGGACATAATCATGACTGCTTAAATATGTTGGTACAATATTCTCACTGCTTAACAAAAGTACTCATTTAAACTGAGTTCTTGTGATGAGGCTGACAAGTATACAACTGATGATGCTTCAGCATCACAAATGCACTATCCAGCCTCATTTTAAAAAACATTTTTCTTTGTAAAATCACCTTGCACACAGTTGTGCCTGTTCTGTTAGTGGTGTCACCGACTATGTACAGTTGTCCAATTTCTTGGAAATGTTGGCTTTAAACATTCCAATATCTCCTAAATTTAAATATTGCATAAGGAAAAGGTTTCAGCTGCTCCTCTAACATTGTATTTGATTTTGTTTAGTGCTGGTTAACTTAGAGGGATAAATATTTAACTAAACAAACTAATCTTTTATTTTACAAGCAAGTTCTGTGTATTTTAGGATGTTACTAAAAACAAAACAAGAACTTGGCTACTTACACTTCTCCAAATTCTTTTTATCTCAGTAAAATTTTTGAAATCTTCACGAGTTTTGCAAGCCTTTATAAATGCTTATGGAAACCATAATTACAAAGTTTTATTCTGCTTAGTAAACATAAAAATTTAATGTGTTAATCATTTATTATTAAGCTCAATAAAAAATTATATTTATGCAGGTTTCAAGTTGACTAAAGTATTAAATATGTTTAATAAAAATGGTTTTATTAGTGATACAATTTTAATTTTGGAGAGAAATATGATACATTTCTAATATTTAAAACATACAAAAATTTCTGCACCATTATCATTACCTAAAATTTTGTAATAAATTGAAATAAATAAAAATTAAATGCAACATACCACACTACCGGTGATGGATTGTCATAAGGTTTACATTCTGTTACTTGAGAGGGAGGGGTCCATTCTTTAAAATCTTTGAAGTTAGAGACCTTGTCTTTAAGTACTTGATATGCAAATCAGAAGCCAAATATGAAACTGATAGTGCTATGCCAACCTTATTTAACTTCAAAAATAAATACTATGCACACAGACAATCAGTATTTGGCAAGTACTTTTGAAATGTATAAAGTTGTAAATGGTTTGTTTTCAAATCAGTCCATATGTATAGATTTCTCATTTTATTTCCAACTCCTTTGGTTTTTCTTAAGTTAAAAATTGGCGGGGAAAAACATAAGCAAATATGTATAAAGGCAGCTTTTTTCAGTGAATAATTTAGGAGTGTAAATTGAATAAACTACAATTTTTTTTTTCAAGTGTTATTTTCTGTACTGACACCAGCAATTAACAGCTGTGGTAACACTAATCATTATAGTGCTAAGGTGTTTATTTATTTTTGAAATAGAAATGTGCCTTTCAATATTTAAATTATTTCATCTGTATTTACAAACATCATTGATTTGTGTTGATGAGAAAAGAAATGCATTGGTTATTATTTTCATGAGATATTACTTTGACACTTGATTTCTTCAGCAGATTTACAAAAAATTATTTAAATAAGCTGCAGGATCTGAAAATTAAACAAATGCTCTTTCCTTTGTCCAAACTTATATCCATAGGCAACTTAATTTTCTAATAGAATTTCTACTTTTAGAACAAGTGTTATTGAGGGAAACCTGGGCTAGTAATTGCATTTTAGAGTAATTTGTTTTTTTGCTTTCTGTTAAATATTTTTGTATAATACATATTTTTTCTCTTAAATCCGAGGAATACCATTTTATGTGGTAATTTCTATTTCACTAAGTTGTAAAAGCTTTTTTTTTTCACCTTTTTTTAAAAATCAGAATATGTTTTTATAATTTTGATAAATTAAATCAAGCAAATTAAATGACAAAGTCTAGAATTTATGTAGTAGTAAATATTGTATAAATAGCAGCTTTGCATAAGGGAAGGGGATAATGAATGCTTGGAAGCACATATTCTTCAGCTGCTAACAGCATGATCTTTTTTTTTAGTGTAGCTGTTGTTGAATATTGTTCAAATGCTAACACCAATTCAGCTTATTTTTTCCAAGAAGTCAAACTTTGTTTTCTAAAATGACAAGTAACAAATATAAAAAATGTCTTCACTTGTTTAAAAAGAATTTATTGAAATAGTGTGCTTATAAATGGATTAAAAGTTTGTTGTTTCAATATCACTTTGCTATTATTATCTACTTTACCTCATTCAACACATCTCAAGCATTCAGACTTTTGAGTTTTACATTTACAAAAGGAAGCTCTTATTCATCATTTTTCCAAGGTAATAATAGTGTACACTGGGTGACAGCTATTTATGTCGATGTATGTATGATTTTTTAAAAATGTGTCACTACTTGCTCATTAAATCTTAATGTAATTTTTTTGTTTGACTGTAGCATTGTTATGTGTTTCTGTAACTCATTTATGGCTAACTACTTTTAGTGGCTCTTTTTTCTGCTGTATACTGAATTATCAGCTATATTGATATCATAACAATATTTATGGAGCATAGATTCCTTTTGTTATTTTAACTACAGATATTGTATTTTTAGAATTTTATTTAAATTAATTTGTTAAAAGACTGTGGTATGTATCCCATAATTATGAATGAGAAACATGGCCATAACATGAAATATTCAAATAACTTTATGAAATACTGTCTGTTTTATAGACAAATACATCTTGTTATTATAGCTTCCATGGATGAACAGAACATACTTCATTATTTTACATTTTTACTAAAGAGGTTGTATATTAGAACAGTTCTCGTAGATTAAAATCAGAAGTCACTTTTTTTCTATCTTGTTCTTTTTCTAAAGAAATGAAATAATTTGTTATTTAAATTAGCACTCAGTAACTGTATTGCATTACTTTCATAGTTATAGTTGTTCCAATAATAGTGAGTTGACATTATCATAAATATTCAAATAAGTTACCGTTGTTAAATCATAGGCTACACATATTGAGACCGCATTTATTACTCTTATTTTTTTTCTTCTGTATAATTGAATTTTTAAAAATTAGTTTAATATCAGTTTAATGGCACACATTATTTAATATTTCCTTGATAAAAAAAAATTATACAGGGCTGCCTAAATATACACTTTTTTCAGAATTAAGTTTTGACCCATTCGCTAGTTACCTATTATGCATGTGTTGAAATAGTTACAATTGCCTTCCATGAAATGAGAAAAATCATTAGCTACATTGATAAGTCCTGGCCCAGTGTCTTTCATTTAGCTTAAATCTCAGCTCCATCTGCAGTCTCTCATATATAAACATCTCTCTTTACAGGCAGTCACAATATAATTATGCCAATATAAGTTTTATAAGTTGGGGACAATTTTTAAATATAGTAAATACAATTAGGCAATTTCATTAAAATATTGTAGCACAAGTTACAAAGCCATTATCTTCATTAAGCTGAAAAATTGTTGATAATTTATAATTTTTATACTAATTTGTGTGATAAGTGTAGTTCTTTAAAAAGTTGTTTACAGAAGGTCATTAATGTGGAAAAGTGCTTTTATTACTTAAATAATTGATTTAAGATAGGCAGCCCTGTAGATAATAAAAACTTAACTCTTACCAAATACCTTCATATTAACAATTTTTACTGGACAGAAAACAGAATTAAAACAAAGTTTTACCCTTAGGTATATTATGTTTTACTTATATGATTTATTTACAGATTGCTCTCTGTATTATATAAAAATCATTATTTTGCCATAAAACAGTATGACCTAAATTTATCATAATTTCTTCACTCTTTAAGCTTCAAATTATTCTTTTTATTTTATGTTGTTAATGACTTCTTAGGAAGTTTTGAAACTCAGGTTAATCCAAATAGCCAATGCACACAAATTTCCTGCAGAGAATAAAAGTAAACAGGATGATAGTTATAATCATATTTATCGTATGACTCATTATGTAAGAGTTACATCATGTCTCAGTTTTCTTAGTTGTATTTACTCAATTTTCAGAAGTCACTGATGTGGCCTTTAAAACAAAGGTTATGTGTGGGATATTTGTGTGGAAGCTGAGGTGATGTCACAGAAGAAACAGGGGAAATAAGCTGTAAAGGGAAACAATCTTATAAATATATTTACTCATCCCAACAACCTGTGTAATGCTTGTGATAGCACATGTATGGCTAAGTTTTTGTATACCATTTTGTTTTAATACTTGATCTTGTACATGTCGACAAGTAGACTTTTTACTTAGTGTGTGTTGTTGTTGAGGTAATTTATTGATGAGTCTTTGATATAACTCATGCAATACAAGTTATGTAATTAGAATTTTATGTATGCTTTCAACAACACTAGGATTAATTATGATGTTATCAACTTTATAGTGTACATTTCTTTGTAAATAGATTTCATTCAATGACCATGTTTTCAGATTATAGCACATATTAAAATATCATTCTTTATGAACTTGTTGGTTTTGTCTTGCTATAGCGTCTTTGGTACTGTCTATACATGCTGCTAAAACTCTCTACAGACCTTACATTGTATTGGCTATGTTAACTTAAGTATAGTTGCTTTTCTTCAGCTAACCACCTTTTCAAATACCAAAATACTGAGAGAAACAATCTGTTGTTTTTTTATAGAGATAATAATGTAGCATACTCAGGGTGGTGACAAGTTTGCGTGTATATCACATTGTTTTCACATAATGATTTCATGACGTTAGTCCTGACTTAGGCTGTACATTTAGTTAAACAATTTGACAATTCAGGATTGATCTATGCTTTTTTTCCAGGCTTGGTAAAAATGTCTTTAAATTATAACTAGATCCATACTTTTTTTGTGGGCATACATCTGAAATTTGGTGCTGAATGCTATGAATATCAACTAGTTTTTTTTTTTTTTTTAAAGAAATTTATTTTTCTCATCATATAATGTACACAAATCACAATTAATTTTAGTCAATCACTTCATATTAATAGGCGATAAACATTTCAAGCAAAAGGTGAAGGGTCAGGGAACAATGCTATTTATACTGAATTGTAAGGAAAGTCATCCCTAGCAAATAGTCACATTTCAGCTCAACAATGTTGGACTGCAAATTGAATGCCAATTCACAAACTAAACAGCTTTTTTTAAATATATAAAGCAAGCTAACTGTCCTAAATATTTATGAAAATACTTCAAATTGTACAAAAAATAACCTAAAACATGTACTCAAAATAATAATTATTGCACTTGAATATAAACTTAGAGCCAAGTTGTTTCAATCATAAACTGAAAGAAAACTAAGTTCATATAGATTTAATACAGACTAATGTCAATGTAGCTAAGTGCTGTATGTCAAGATAATTGTACTGGATTTGCTGCATGTCAAAACAGTTATTCCAGCAGTACATTAGGACCATTGTACCAGCTGTATTGTACATCAAAACAGTTATACCAGTTGTCCTGTATGTCAAGACAATTATACAAGTTGTGTAACAAGTCAAGACAGTTATACCAGCTGTGCCGTACATCAAGATAGTTATAGCAGTACAAAAAAAAAAAAACAGGAAAGATGTGATACACAAAAGCAAAGGGGTACAAGTTATAAGAAAAAAATAAACACATACTTCTTTTAAAAAGGGGAAATAATTTTTAAGAAAAAGTGTAGCCCATATTTCATAAATCCACTCATTTGCCTGAATGTTCAAGTGAGCTACATATTAATCTCTTTATTTGATAAAGAATTATCCTGTACACATTTGAACGCATTTCTCATGCTCTGGTACGGTTACTGGACAAAAGGATTACAACAGAGGTCAAGAATGTCAGGCATCCCATCATACATTTCTTTGAAACCATCACATATTAAAACAACGAACAAACTAGTCAAGAATCGCCTGCAACTGTTATTAATTAACCAGCGCACACACTTTAAAATGCTACCAGAAACTTTAAAATGGTACCAGTCACTTGAGTTGGAGTTTTTTTCAAAAAGTAAGTCTTTACAAGACCAAAATATACACTTTAAAGTAATAATATACATTTTATTGATAAGGTTAACGTTAAAAGCATGTACATCATTTGTAGGCCTTCATAGATTTCAATCATTGAGATACAAGAGCTTTCGTTTTTGGTCACAGTTCTAAAACAAAATCAGTGCTTCAGTGTGTTGATTTGCAGCTTCTTGTGAACAAATACTCACTGAATTGTTGCCCCTCAACACCCCCTCCTGTTGATGCGGCAATAACGAAGGAATGATTCAACAGTCTCTGAACAACCTGTATAGAATTTAATTTACAAAAACCATTCAGAGGGAACCGGATGACATACAAATTGTCCAGATGCCATCCAGAATTTCTGGTATCCATCAACGCTGTGGTCAGCTCCGGAAAAATTTCCTCAATCAAAGGTCTTTCTGCACTCAGACAAATCCGCTCACCGAGGTCTGGGCTAATGCTGACCGCTATACAGTCAATGAACTCGGAATTAGTGGTTGTAACCCTTTCTGTTTTGATCTCCTTCACCACTTTACTTATGTCCTTAGCTTTTTTTATGTTTTCCAAATCCTTCAGCATCCCAGCAAGTTCGTAATACCTAAGGTAATAAATTTACAAAATAAAAAATGACTTAAAATATTAGGAATATATATATATATATATATATATATATATATATATATATATATATATATATATATATATATATATATATATATATATATATATATATATTTCCAAAAGCAAGCTACACTTTATAAAGTATACTTATTACAAATACAAATACACACACACACACACACATATATATATATATATATATATATATATATATATATATATATATATATATATATATATATATATATATATATATGTGTGTGTGTGTGTGTATGTGTGTATATATATATATATATATATATATATATATATATATATATATATATATATATATATATATACATGTTTGTGTGTGTGTAATAGGAATGCAGGCATTACCTGGCTTCCTCATAAAGCTGCTCAAACTCATCAAATTCTGTGGGAACAACTAGTCGCTGCGTCCTTAGATAGTTGAGTATGTATCTGAACAGCTTCCCATCCCTGTCAATGAAGTAATGTTGTTTGAGGGCATCAAGAACTATGGGGATGCTTCCATTAAACATTCTTGCCAGTTTGGACTCAGGAAACCTGGAGAATAGTGCAGATAACATCTTTCATAGGCAACTAGATATTTTATTATAATTATATAAGCTTATAGGGTGACGACATATAGGCAGAAAAGACACCCCCCCCCCCTCCCCACCACCACCACCCCGAAACACGTCTTCCCCCCAGAGGCGTAGCGACCCCTCCCGGCGCCCGGGGCGAACTTTCAGTCTGGCGCCCCCATATATATATATATATATATATATATATATATATATATATATATATATATATATATATATATATATATATATATATATATATATATGTGTGTGTGTGTGTGTGTGTGTGTGTGTGTGTGTGTGTGTGTGTGTGTGTGTGTGTGCGTGTGCAACAGTCCATGACATTCAGATTAGAATTTTAGCGGCGATAAAATGCGTATATATTAACATTCTAAGTTGATGTGGAATCAAATGCATTGTCAAAACAATTCAATCAGGATCCATAGCTAATATGATATCTATTTTACTGTATGGCTCGGAGCTAGGTTAAAGACAGTGGAGAATGAAAAGGTGGTGGTAAGGGCATAATATGAGAAAGACAAAAAATAACATCACTATGCAGGTGCTTGTGTGAAGTCCAAGGGAAAAGAGGAAGAGGAAAAGACTAAATAAGTCCTGAAGGAAATCGTTTGAAATAGAGATGAGGGAGGCTGGATTATTAGGGTTCGATCTTCATAAAAATCAAGTGAGTTGACGAAGTGTTGCCTACGTTTGTGTTCCTTATGAAGCCAAAACGAATAAAAAGAAGAAAATCAAAAGAGCTTAGAACAGTGGGTTCCATCGAACCCAAGAGGTTAGGTAATTCAATCTCAGGGCTTCCGCGGAGGTCAAGACACACCCGACTCATATGATTCACGATCGGATTTTGTCAATGTGGACGATACAACTATTAAGAAGGGTTCGGTGATTGCGCATATAAAACGGGTGGGGTTCGGTACTCCAAAAAGTTAAGAACCACTGCTTTAGAGTGTACTTTGTAGAAGGTGCAACCCGATTTGGTCTACTTTTGGTCGTGTCTTTAGAACAATTTCGATAATACCTATATTACAATTTTAAATTATCACTTAGGTTAACCAAAGTGTTATGAAAACAAGGTAATTAAAAAGTCTAGTGACAATTTTAGCGCAATTTCCTTATGTTATCTAAAAATAGCTCTGTCGTAGCGTAAATCAAGAGCAGGGTTAGTAAAACCATTGGTTAGTTATTAAAACGTTTTTTTTTCAGTATTTTACATGTTTTATTTACAATAGAGTTACATGACTAAAAACCATTGCGCGCCTAGCTACCGAATGTGATGGCGCAGCTATTGAACGTGATGACGCGTGTGGTGTGGTTGGATAAACATGCCTACTAATTCGGTCCAAATTTTAATTAATTCAAAAAAAATTTTGTGACCGAACGAAAGGATATTTTTTTCTTCGGCAATATTGTTCTAAATTATGGCAGGAATCGATTGGTAAATGTTTCAAGTCGCTAAGTGGTCTGGTTGCCGAGATATGGGCAAAAAACTGCATTTTTTTCGAGGTTTTTTGGCTTTTCCGGGAAATCCATGAAAGAAACCCGGAATTTTTATGGCCTATGTTCATCCTCGTAACTTGCTTAACATAATTGCTTTTGGAACTAGTCCTCGATATTGCTTCGTTGAGGAGGAGATACGACTTAAAGCTGCGGACACACATCCATCCATCCATTCATCCATCCATCAATTCCCAGAAACGTCACTAACTCTTTTTTAGCGCAATTTCCATTCTGGAGAATTGCGTTTATTAACTCGTCTTTTCTGGGAATTGATGGATGGATGAATGGATGGATGGATGTGTGTCCGCAGCTTTAAGTCGTATCTCCTCCTCAACGAAGCAATATCGAGGACTAGTTTCAAAAGCAATTATGTTAAGCAAGTTACCAGGATGAACATAGGCCATAAAAATTCCGGGTTTCTTTCATGGATTTCCCAGAAAAGCCAAAAAACCTCGAAAAAATTCAGTTTTTGGCCCATATCTCGGCAACCAGACCACTTAGCGACTTGAAACATGTACCAATCGATTCCTGCCATAATTTAGAACAATATTGCCGAAGAAAGTTTTCAAAAATATCCTTTCGTTCGGTCACAAAAAAATTTTTGAATTAATTAAAATTTGGACCGAATTAGTAGGCATTTTATGCAACCACACCACACGCGTCATCACGTTCAATAGCTGCGCCATCACGTTCAATGGCTGCGACGTCACGTTCAGTAGCTGGGCGCGCAATGGTTTTTAGTCATGTTACTCTATTGTAAATAAAACATGTAAAATACTGAAAAAAAAAATAATAAAAAACGTTTTAATAACTAACCAATGGTTTTACTAACCCTGCTCTTGATTTACGCTACGACAGAGCTATTTTTAGATAACACAAGGAAATTGCGCTAAAATTGTCACTAGACTTTTTTTAATTACTTGTTTTATGTTACACAATACGCTTTAGTACAATGGGTTTCTTTTTTGAGTCATTCCGGTGTGAATTTTTACGATTTTAGTCTTGGAAAAAGCGCCCCCCCCCCCCCCATCTAGGAAGCTGGAAAGCGGTTTTTCCGGTCACTGTTTCTTAAGGTTATACGTTTTACAGTTACTTAATCAAGGTAGAAAACAGTTAAATCAGTATGTAAAGGCTCACAGCCATTAAATTTCTTTAATTTGACTGTTTATAATTCAAAACTGCACCTTAAAATGAGCTTTTAAAATTATTTTCTACCCCTTTTGGCGCCCCCCGAGGGTCGGCGCCCGGGGCGGCCGCCCTCCCCGCCCTCCCCTAGCTACGCCTCTGCTTCCCCCTCCCCCGAATGAAATATAATTTATTTACAAATATAGGCCTATAGGCTACTTCAACCAGTGTCCGCCCTCTACCTCGAAAATATAAGTCCGCCCCGCCCCCTTCGAACGTTTCTAGTGCCCCTCGGAGAACAATGTTTGAAAGAAACACATCAAATAGGTGCATATGTAGTTATTCAAGGCACCAACAAAAAATTATTAAATAACGAGACTTGTAATAACTTATATAATGAAATGGGGGGGGGGGGGGGTGAAAGTTAAGAGGTCTAGTTTGTTTATATAGAAAAGTTTGAAGCAAAAATTACATGCAGAGAAATCCTTTAAAAAAAAAAGAACGAAATTAGGCTACACATTTTATGTACGGAGATGTGCTGTTCGATTAAAGATGATTTTTGTTTCAATTATTTAATAGTCCTACGCGAAATTGTCCCCGAGGATATGTATTTTCTGTAAATCCACGAGGCGTATTTAATTAGATCTATTTTGAAATTTCGCAGATAGCAACAAATTATCCGTAGCCGGCACGACTTGCAGACGATTAATAATTACAGAAATCTAAGGAGTAAACTTGGTGGTTTAAGGACAAACAACTAGATTTAAAGATCTGTTCAATATAATGTAGGTTGGTATATTGATATTTTAAAATCATTCGCATCGACCAAGATAAATTGCGCACCAGACGGTATCGAACGACTTCTATTCGTCATTCTCATTTACCGAAGCTGTGCCCGAGGACATCTTCTCCGAGCTTCAAATTACGGCGTTCTTTTTCCTGCGCAAACCCTTTCTAGCTTCCCCTCACGCATGAGAGGACCCTGTGTTGTATCCGGTGGGGAGAAAAAGTGCCCCGGGCATCTGCGTGACACGTCCAACAAAAATAGCTTATAGAATAAAGGCTGTTGTTTTTATGTGGAAATTATTTTTTTTAATTAAAAAGTTTTGAAAATGTGCTATTATTTATAAGCAGAAAAAAGCAGAAATGTGTTAACTTGGAAAATAGAAAGCACGAGAGGCGTTTGAGGCTCGATCTTTCTGCACTTTTTATCGAAAATATTCAGATTTAGGACAATGTTCAGATTTAGGACAATGTTCAGATTTAGGACAATGTTCAGATTTAGGACAACGTTCAGATTTAGGACAATGTTCAGATTTAGGACAATGTTCAGATTTAGGACAATGTTCAGATTTAGGACAATGTTCAGATTTAGGACAATGTTCAGATTTAGGACAACGTTCAGATTTAGGACAATGTTCAGATTTAGGACAATGTTCAGATTTAGGACAATGTTCAGATTTAGCACAATGTTTAGATTTAATGCAAAGAAACCAGCTTATGTTTCACTGACAAATTTCACATTGCGAAAAGGTCCCGACAATTTATGTACAAGTCTTTCATATAATTGGTTAATTCAGGACCTCTTTCAGTTCTACAGCACAGACTTTTGCAACAGAAAAATTGCATTTTTGGTGTGTGCATATAATTGTGTCATGCCCTATAGGGGCAGTGATCAGGAACGACATGAGGGCGATTAGACCCGGGGGGGGGGAGGGATTTTAGTTGTCAGCTTATAGTTATATGCAGTAGCGTAGCGGGGGGGGGGGGGCATATGTCCCCGGGTGCCGACCTTAGGGGGCGCCAAAATGGGTTGGCAAAATAAATTGAAAGGTTGAGGGGGTGCAAATCGAAAAGTCTCTCCCCGGGCGCTGGGAAGGGTCGCTACGCCTCTGGTTATATGGAAGTCGCTGTTTTAGGCCTCTATGGGCATCCCTAATGATAAAGGCTGGACGGGTGTAAGACAGTCTTAGCCTGCGGCACAAGGATATTAACCCCGCCCCACGAATTATCGCATACCCCATCCCTTCCCGTCCCAGGGGCATATCTGTGACGTCAATGTATAAACCAAAACACACCAAAAAAAAATATGTTTACAACAAAATATCAATTTGAGCACGTCTTGGCTCTCACTTAGCCCTGCCTCCCCTTCAGGTCAGCTTATCTCAGCTATAACTAAACCTTGCATCCCGCATAGATCAGGTAAGGTTCACATTGGATATATATATATATATATATATATATATATATATATATATATATATATATATATATATATATATATATATATATATGTTTATATATATAGGCCTATATGTCTTTACACATAAATATACATTGGCCGTCGTAGGCGTTTCCCCTTTGTCTGGAGTATTAGCCTATATGTGTAAGTTAAAAGGCAACTGTATTTTACCGACGACATTTTCTTTAATCCCCTTCTCTTTACTAGATTTAAAAACAGAACATTGAATATTGCGAAATGAAATATGAAAAATATATTTAAAATTATTTCAGCCCTGATTATTTTAGGGTTCTGTAGAACAGAAAAGAAGAAGCCCCCGGGGCATAAGGGCATAAACTACAAAATCAATATCGGCACGGCTCATACGCGGTAAAGGTACAACATACAGCGGGGAGGCAACCAGGGGTGGGAGGGGGAAAACGCCGCAAAACTTATCCAAGTATCGCAGAGAAAAATAATCGCCAGGAAAATAGAACGAGCAGCAGTCTGGTGTTTCGCCCGGGGACATATCGATATAAAATTTCATAAGGGAGAACAATGCTTAACTTTTCATTGTCTCCCCTTTCAAACTACTCGTTATTTTTTCTCGAATTAAGTATTTGATTTTACTTGCAATTTTATACTAACAAAAAAAATGAAATTACAACAATAATTATTCAACGGACGATTAGTCTAAATACCACCCCCATATATATATATATATATATATATATATATATATATATATATATATATATATATATATATATATATATATATATATATATATATATGTATATAATGTTTAATGCAGTGTTGCAGTTAGGGTAAAATTCCTCACATACTCGAAGATGAAAATATTGAAAAGTTACCAAGCTCACGAAACCCAGCTCACGTTACAAGATACCCAGCTCACGTGACAAGATACTCAACTCACGTGACAAGATACCCAGCTCACGTGACAAGATACTCAACTCACGTGACAAGATACCCAGCTCACGTGACAAGATACTCAACTCACATGACAAGATACCCAGCTCACGTGACAAGATACTCAACTCACGTGACAAGATACCCAGCTCACGTGACAAGATACTCAACTCACGTGACAAGATACCCATAACCCCGCTCACCAACCTACCTCACCTACCCGTACCCGTTAAATTTCAACCAAACAGCAGACGCCATTACCCAATAGCCATCGATTACATGTCCATGCCTCTAGTGTAAAAACATAAGCAGAAACGTCGTCTTTATTCTCAGTTTTATCATCTAAACTTGAACAAATCTTTTTTTTTAAGTTTTAGTTTAAAAACAAAACAAGGGAAGAAGCGAGTTATATATTATTCGCCCTCGTAGCCCGCGGCCAGTGACGAAATTAAAGCAAAATGAACCGCACTGATAATGTCTCTCGTTAACCATCCAGCTTACAGCCCCGGGCGCCAAACTCAAACCCGTCTTAGATTTCTCTTTCTTCCTCATCATCTCTCCTTTATAATTTTATGAACGTTTTTTTTAGCTTTTGAATTTTAAATATATCTCTGACGTATCATGCCCCCCCCCCCACTACTTACTGGTCAAAAATAGGGAGAAGAGATGACCCTCGTCCCCACACTCCCATTCCCCCGCCCCTCTTCTCTGCATTTAGTCCCTTTATGCCCTAAGGGCAGGGGATTTTAGCATCACAAACAAGCATCAGAGCTGGGAACTTTCTGGGGGTCTTTGATGGCTACAAAGAGACGTATTGTAAGGCCCGGGGTAGACAGCAGCAAGCAGAAGAGATGCACTCTGGGTACAGGAAGTGGAAATAACGTCTGGGTAGGTCTATGTGGGGCACAGGAAGTGGAAATAACGTCTGGGTACGGTCTATATGGGCCACAGGAAGTGGAAATAACGTCTGGGTACGGTCTATATGGGCCAGAAGCGTAGCGAGGGGGGGGGGGGACTTATGTCCTCGGGCGCCGACCTTAGGGGGCGCCAAGATGGGTTGAAAAAATAAATTGAAAGGTTGAGGGGGTGCAAATTGAAAGTTTGAGGGGGGTGCAAATCGAAATCTTGAGGGGGGGGGGGTGCAAATCGAAAAGTTTGTGCCCGGGCGCAGGGAAGGGTCGCTACGCCTCTGGGATACATGTCCCCCCCCCCCGCCCCCTCCTCCTCGCTACGCTACTGCTCCCACCTCCACCAAACAAAATAATCCTAACACAAATTAACACGCTCTCATCAAGGAGCGGGGGCGGTTACACTACCCCAGAGGTCGGGCGGTTACACTACCCCAGGAGAGGGGCGGTTACACTACCCCAGGAGTGGGGCGGTTACACTACCCCGGAGGTGGGGCGGTTACACTACCCCAGGAGAGGGGCGGTTACACTACCCCGGAGGTGGGGCGGTTACACTACCCCAAAGGTGGAGCGGTTACACTACCCCAGGAGAGGGGCGGTTACACTACCCCAGGAGAGGGGCGGTTACACTACCCCAGTGGTGGGGCGGTTACACTACCACATGAGAGGGGCGGTTACACTACCCCAGGAGTGGGGCGGTTACACTACCCCAGGAGAGGGGCGGTTACACTATCGCAGGAGCGGGGCGGTTACACTATCCCAGGAGAGGGGCGGTTACACTGCCGCAGGGGTGCCAGGTGCCATCAATTGCAGTAGCCCATCTTGTCCCCATTGTATTGCGTTATTTGAAACTAATGTAAGCGCCACAGTGCTCGCGGGGGAGCCCGGAGCGCTCAGGGTCACACGACCGCCCAGGCGCCGGAGAACGCCCCAGCCGCAGTTTGGCCGTTCATTAAAGTAGTACCTCTGACCCCTGCGCGAATAACCCTTAATAAGAGGACCCCAGGTGCTACGTTGCCGCGGGGAACTCTGGGCTGGCGCTCAACCCCACACCACCGCCAGAACCCCTCCCTGGAGTGTACTCAACAACATCCCGATGTTTTATAGCGATCGCATTAACGGTGTAATACCGCATAATATATATATATATATATATATATATATATATATATATATATATATATATATATATATATATATATATATGTGTGTGTCTGTTCTTATCCAACTGTGATAATACTGACCTTGTAAGGGTCTCCAGTGACGAGGTGTAGATACTGCCACCAACATCAATATGGACAGGTGCTGTGTAGCGGGTCGGGGTGGCCGGGCATGGCACGCCCGCTATCTTGGCCACGGGAATGTGGCCATTAGGGGTGGCCGAACTTGGCCTGCTGACCGGAGATTGTGACATATAGCCGTCACCGAGAGGGTTGAGCTCCCTGGGTATAATGGTTGCTTGTGGTTGCTGGACCCACCAGGACGGGCTGGAACTGGAACACGTCGAATTCCGTCGGTCTCGGAATCGACAGAACTTGTTTCTCCGTGAACTTGTTTCTTCGAAACTGGTTTGAATTGTCTTGGAAACGTTCACTATTCTGAATGTCAGTTAACTGTGGCGCATGTCTTATGTTTGTCATAAAATGTTTGATGTTCTTTATTCTCTTGACTTATTAACTCGGGTCATTTTTCCTGGGAACTTGCTTCTACGTACAGCTAAAATGTAGTTAAACAGAATGTGTACATTTAAAAAAAAAATAATTTAAAGTATTCCATAACATACAATCTAACTGATTAAAAACTAATCACAAACTCAAACAGAACATGGCCGTGGCCCCAGGCTATGAGTGAAAATTGGCCCGAACTTAACATGGCCGTGGCCCCAGGCTATGAGTGAAAATAGGCCCGAACAGAACATGGCCGTGGCCCCAGGCTATGAGTGAAATTTGGCCCGAACAGAACATGGCCGTGGCCCCAGGCTATAAGAGACCACAAAGGAACCTGACCATTGAGTCAGGTGTGAGCTTCAGTTCAGTGAGAACAAAAATACCACCATACTCCACCCCTCCCGGCAGTACCACTTGGTTTTGAGAAAGTCTAAAAGTGCTACTGGTTTCAAACGAGAAAAGCTAAATGAAAAAATAATTCATTTCACTAATTTACCTTCCAAGTTTTTAATGTACTTTACCGGGAAACAGTCTCACAAACTCCCCCATTGATTTTCGCTTGTCCGCGTGCGTGCTAAATTATTGTATCGCAGACCTCGATGTGGTTGTAAACGTCAATACAAAATTATATTCATTTACATTTTTTTAAAATATTGAAATCGAAATGACTCTTGCCTTCACTGAAATCATCCTAAGCATTTCCTAGAAATAATACATCCTACACAGTACAACTGGGTACCTAACTCACGTTAAGGAAAGTAAAGGCGGCTGGGCATAGTGCTGACCACACTATCTCTTCATATGCCGAGGTCACAGAAACAAGTGAACTCTACTTTACTTGACCTATAGACCGCCAGGTATGAAAGGGAACTTAAGAAGAAGACACAGTACAACATATGAGACATATTAATTCGTAATAAGTCTTGACACACTTACCACTATCTATTTATATGTATTATGTATAATTAATTGCAGCTATCCATTTTCATTCCTAGCGTATTACCTGCCTGTACTAGCGCCATACATCAAAGTGTCGGATGGTTTGAAATACCAACTCACCTGTGACAGAACAATTTCTGGCTCACTCAGCCGACCAACACGCCCACCACTGAATTAAGTCTGGCTAGTCTTGCATCACAAGATTAACATCACACTCAAAACTTGATAAACCTCAAAATTGGGAACTACACACGTTTTGTACGTTTGAGAAAAGTCTCAGTTTAAAATGTTTACACCGATATATTCCAAAAGTCCAATATTGTACAGCTGTTTGTTATATGGCTGTGTGTTTGTCGCTCTAATAATCCACACCTTCATACGTCAGCTGTGGTTTTGCTAAAGATGTTGCATACAACCGAACACAAACTGAAGCCGGTGGTTTCAACTCCCGTCTGTCGCGAGACTATTGAAAAGAAAAGCTACGCTTCCCAAGCCCGCGTTATAAAGTAAACGAATTGCGCCCCGGGCAAATGGAGGTCCAATTTATTCTAACGGCTTTTGCCCCGGGCACCTACTAGGGCTGCCTGGTTGAATGGTAAATTAAAGGGAGGGAATTTTTTAAAGGAAGAATATTATACACCGAGTATTGCGATCACGAAGAGGGAGAGAAAGAAAAGTAGTCAATATAAGTAAACTAGCATTTCAGCAATCTTAATTAAAATTTCCGTTGAACATGCAACTAAAACAATGACGGCTTCATAGAGATAGATCAAAATTTATGTGTATGGAAGAAAAATGTCAAGCCGTGATGATGTTTACACCGTGAGCTTTACTCTGAGGCTTTCATCGAAATGTTTATTTTTACATGTGTGCTGGTGAATTATCGACGCTTACCACTGCCGGTAAATTGCAATAGATTTCAACCGAATGAATGGCAATATTTTATCAAACCTAAAGCAAAATAAATAATTTATATCATTAGATCTAAAGCTAGACAACACTTTGAGATTTCGCTTCGTTTGATGATTGGTTTAAAATTAAATAATTCTCAAACAATATGTTCTATTAAAAAAAACACGATTTTTTTATTTTATAAATTATAGACAAACGTTATATTGAATTAGCCCTGATTATTAATAAAGTCTACAGATGGAGAAACGGCTTTAAATGCTGTTAAGTTTACACGGCGGTGAATAATTTGTGAAATACATATTATGCAATATGCTTCGCATTAAAAGCTGTTTTCTATAACACGTTATATATGTAGAATTGAACTCTAACACTAGATATACCTATAAAGTCGAGTTGTAACACTCTCCAACATAACTTTCACTCTCCGTTCCCGCGAAGGTTGCGACTCTGGTAGAAATGTCGTGGATGCCCAGCCAACATACCATGGGTAGCCTCAGGGGCCTCCCAAGGACAAAACCAGATCAAGAAACAGCAAGAGAATAGAAGCAACGACTGGCTGGTTCGACCCCCCCCCTTCCCCTCCCTGGCCCAGCCGTCCAATCGGGCTTAACGCTAGGCCCGAGGGTATGTTCTTGTATTTGAACAAATTAGAGGACTCAGTCCAGGGACATTTTTTCCCTAGCGACAGCCTGAAATTCGAAGGCGGTGCCCCGAGGCGGTACCAGCAATTATGACCTAAACACGTGAACAAAAGATGTTCTAAGATGTGGATTAAGACGTATGTTCTGTTTGTCAAGTCTAACTATAGGCATATGGCGTGTGGGGTATGCCTAATCTATCCAAAGCATTTGTCAACAGATGAATATATATATATATATATATATATATATATATATATATATATATATATATATATATATATATATATATATATATATATATATTATACTTATACATAGGCATGATATGTATACCTAAATAGGCGCCCCACAGGAAATTAGCCAGAATAGTCACTCTGTAACCCATGACAGTTATATTATCAATGATGTCGTTATACGTAAATGTTTAATTTGCCCGGAGCGGACACTCCCCTGCGTCTATTATTTTCGGACGGGTTTAACAAAAACGTGGTTGTCGATTGTGTGGTTTTGTTCAATTCGCGAGGGCATGGCTTCTAGCTAAGTAGCCTTGTTGAACCAACGAGTAGGAGGACTGAGAAGACACGATTCTATTTATTATTGTTAGAGTTATCGGCAACTTCACAAAGGTTTTCGACTTTAAAGCAGAAAAAAAAAGCATCATCGTTACAAATTAGGCAATGAATTTTACCTGGAAATAATTTCTGCGCCTGAACACTTTTCGCAGTTGTAGAAATTACCTAAAAAAAATATATTAGAAAAGAAAACCTAACAAAAACTATCAGAATGTGCTACACCCCCACTCCTCTTTCTCAGTTATAGTAAAGGGCGGGCCATGAATAAAACGATAATTCTTTCAAATTAAAAAAAAAATATCAGTAAAGCTTTTGTCTTCATCATTCAAACTAAGCAGCTTTCTGAACGAATAAAAATACACCCTGACATTTTTCCCCTGATTAAACTTTCAGTCCCAGGGACAAAGAGACCATGATTTGCATTACTTGGTTTGAAACATGCCCCCGGGCTCTTACTTTCAATGTATTTCTCGATGGCCGAACGTAAATATTCTGGCATGCCTTCCGGGCAAGCTCTTTACTCATGCGCAGAGCCCGCGGCCTGCATACTGAAACGAGACTGAACTCAGCTAGAAGTTTACACGCTGCTGCGGGGGACAGAAGTAATGGCGGGCACGGCAGATAAGGTTCCCATCCTCGGGGAGTAACGTGTTTTAAGATCCTTCTTTGCCCGGGGCGGGAGCAGGCTACATCAGTTATTATGCGCTACGTTTCAGGCTTTCCTAAATAGACTGGGCCAAAGAATGTCGACTATACCAAACAAGATATTTTTGGATTACTTTTTATTGAGTTCCTAACTAGATCTATTGAGCTAATAAATAAGATATAGATCTAGAAATCCAGTGGTTTTGTGATCATAGAAAATGCAGATACATTTAACGCAAACAATTATATGGATTTAAGAATATCGATTTTTTTGTAAACTTTTGGATAATCTGCCATGAGTTACTTCAATTGTATGCTGTTGTACAATCAGTTTCTTCCAGGCATCTCGGGGGGGGGGGGGGGCGGCGGCTCTGCACAAACGAAATTTATATAGAAAACATACTTTTACCAATAGTTCCCCCCACCCCAAAATGAAAGTCTGGAAGAAACACTGCGTACAAATAAAAAGTTAAATGTTCTTTTAAATAAGGCATTGGACAGGTCATTCTAAGTTCGACATAGATGTTTCAAGAAGTAGAGGCACCAAACTGACTTGACTAATGAGGAAGAGTATACCCAAACAACTAAAATAGTCCTTATCAAGACTTCTACTTTATGTTTAGCAGGCGATTTGCTTTTTGGAATCTTAGTGGAAAAGAATGCAACCCCCCCCCTATACAAACTATGACTGAGGGATCTTATACGATCTTTTTGTATGGAAAGAAGTTTCAGCAAAGCTTTACAATATAAATGTATACATGTTTATAGGCCACTTAGTTCAGTCTTATGCAAAGGTAAGAATTTTATTAATACAGCGTAATTTAATTAGGCTGTGATTTAACACAAACATAAATGTTCTGTTGTAATGGTTAAGTTGTTAATGCAGATGGAAATAACAATAAAAACGAATGATTGATTTTAAAACATGGTATTTTAAAAAATTTAATAGAACAGAAATTTCAACTTCCTCATAGCAACTCTTGCATTCAACACAAACCCAACCTGGCATGACATTCTCATTTGTTTTAAAAATGAATACACCAACAAAAACAACTCATAGGCTGCCTAATGTAGTAACATCTCAAAGTTTCTCTCCACCTACTGAACATGTGTGCCTGTCAAAGATAACATTCTTTGCCACAAAGGATTCAGCCTGACAGATCTTAAAACATTTGATACTTAGCACAATAAAAGTCAGCAAACTTACAGTAAACTTGCCTCACACAAATAACTGACAACATAAAATGTAGCAATAATAAAAATATGAATAGATGATGACATGATTTCCATGTACAGATGAAGAATGAATGATGATGAGAACTGATGAGAACTTGTATTTTACATTGGAGGTCCACCCATCCTTGGTGGCTGGCCAGGCATTCCACCTGTAAATTATATAAAGAAATGTGTCTAAATTATCAGTTACAACAGGCATATTACAATTATTATTTACAACCAACAAATAAATGCAACAGTTATTTAATAAAACGAAGTCAAATTTCCCCAGATTTAATCATGTACATCTAAAACCCACCCGGCATATGACAGTTATTTAAAAGCAACATTCTCCATCTCATGCTAGACAATAATCATTATCCATTTGGCAGCAAGAGTGCCTATGGCAAAGTGATTATACCTTCATCAGCACAACTTATATTGATCAAACTCCTGCTTTTAAAATCAGGTAACATAAGTGATGTCAGGTCCTCCAACATGGGAGGTAAACACTAAACATGTAAGCTGTACAAAACAACTAGTAGCCAACACAATTAAAAAGTATTCTACAATGTAAATATAACAATACACATCACACAACAAAATGCAGTTACGTCAACATCTCTTCAGCTCTGCAAAAGATAAATGTATGACATAAATAACATCCAATTTAATTTCTCATCTTATTATTTCAACGTGAATTTCCCCTTGGGCATTTCAATCATTGCATTCATTACTGAATTTTTTTCTGCTTCATAAGCCTGGGGCTAACACAAATTTTTCTAGATTCAAGCCTTAGAAGCCAGTTTTCATCCTCTGTACTCTCTATAACTGCCTGGAGAGTTCCATTCATACAGACTGTCTCTCATGAACCCAGAGGGGCGACATGGTAATAAAGAAAACCTTACAAAAACTAAGTATTTATTATGAAAGAGAAGAAGAATTAAACAAAATCACTTGGCTCTAAAAAAGTAGTCTTTCATGAACATTTATAATTCTAATATTAAATCCCAGTTAATTTAAAAAGAAGTGCAATCTTATTTGCAATAATCTCATTGAATAAAAAAAGGATTAAAAATAACAAACTATATGCTTTTTTTATAACTCCAAGGATGCCAACCCACAAGATATTTCTCAAACACATCAACCCAAATTTAACTCCAACTGTCATGTCTTAATTTTTTTTTATATCAATTTCTTTAAGCACTGAGATTATTTTATGATCAACAACCCCAGCCCAAAGTATTTCCCAAATCTCACTAGGCTTCTATAAAATAAATTCTAGTTTTTTTGTCTGTAACAAATGATAAGACATACATTCATTAAGTTGCAGTTATCAACCACAAAAAATGTTTTAGTTAACATCTACTTCACAAATAAATAGTACTTGCTATGTAACATGTCAGTCCAATTCAGGTTCTAATGTTACCTAAATTAAAATTTGAACTTATTTGTTTACAAGCTTGTATATTGTAACTAATATTGAAATTCCAGAAGGAAATATTACAATACCATTAAACTCTAGGTAAGCCAGAATTACCAAGAAGTGACTGATCCATTTTTAAATTGAAATTGACTTGTACTGCAGTGTTCAGTCAAATGCTTAGTTTTGTGTTAAAATTTTGTAACTTAGTTTAACACCACAAATTAGGTTAAGGAAGGGATTTGGCAGACTGAAGAAAAGTATAAGGGTTAAATCACTTCAGCATCACTTATTCCACTTATGTAAGACCAACTGTGAGTTGTCATTTATAAGGAACGAGCCGGCCCGCGGCATAACATACGCCGCTATTTAGTTGTTTCTAATTTTCAATAATTCATAATTTGTGAATTCGACAGTACCAACGCTGACACTGAAAATATTTCTTTAAAACACTATAAGTAGCTCGTTAAGGACCATAAACCCCCCCCCCCCCTACGTTTAAAATCGTTGGCTCTGCTTGTAAACATTTAGAGTGAACACAGCTCACTAAAACCATGTAGGGGTGGGGAGGTAGGGAGAGCGTTTGCAGCTTGTTTTCTAACGGCTCGAAGAAGAGAATTATATGTATAGATGACCTTTATGTATTCAAATATTTTAATGGCTAGTTATTGAGGGGGTCAATAGTTAAATTGATTTCAAAGCTCCACAAAGTAGTATCTTAGAAGAATGAATGTGTTTCAAGAATGAAGAGAAAACATTCATGGTCAACCGGCCATAGTTAAAACTCTACAGAATCCTAGTCAGGTACAGACAAGCTTCTGGCAGGATGTTGTGAAACACCTGTTTGCAGGGAGACCCATGGAATGGCAAAAAATGCCACTTTCTTGACAATGAAAAATGAGATATGGAAGGGAAACAACAACTCTTTAATCTTGTCAAAAGTGAAAGGTCTGAAGATCTACATTGTGCTGTGATTATTTTTTACCCAATAGAAATTAAATGTTACCAACAAACTATATTAAAAAAGTATTTTTGGCAAAAAAAAAAAAAAAAACAAACAACAAAAAATGTGTACCTCTCATGACAGGCACTGGTCCTGGGGCTCTAGGCATAGCTTGTGGTCTCATATTTCCTTGAGCACCCATCATCATAGGAGGACGAGCACCTAGATGTTGATAAAAACAACTTTAAAGGTACATGTATCAAACTGGTGTCTAGTGTGAAAACCTAATGAAACAGTAGGTACTCCAAACTGCGGAAAATCAAGGTTTCTGCTCATTTTCTTTACTTTTTCACTACTTTCCATCACAAAGTTCCCCCATAAAAATTAAGCGTATACTAATAAAAATGGTATGGTTAGAACGCTTAACTTAAGCTCTACAATAATGTGTTGTTTGTTTTTATATTGGTAAAGGAAGAATACATGTTTTTGTAGCTTGAAAAACATCACCGCAACGATTTTTATCGGCAAAATGACAGACCCGTTTTTACCCCTATCGCATTCTGACGCTTTGCGCTTCGGCGCCATGTGACGTATGAATTCTAAACATAGCTTATCGTACGCAGGATTGAATGACCTTTAGTCTCGTATAAAATGTTAACAAATTATTTTAGTAAAAATGGTTTAATTCTCACATTTTCTACGAAAAATTGAATTTTCACCAAAATCCACTAAAAATACAAATTTTCTACTAGCATGGTTAGAAAGATCGTCCATTTTTCTATTTAAATGCGAAACTATCTTTACAATATCAAAGATGGCGCGAATGGCAAAGCGCGATAACGAAACCATGTGTAACTCCCGTTCGCCGACGCGATCACGAAATTTTTTACAAAGAAAATAAAAGCCCGGCCCGGATCAGACCCCTGACGTGTCTGAATAGAAATCTATTTTTTCTTACGCATTATATCACAATAAAAACAGTTCAATATTAAAAAGAATACAATAAAATATTAAAATATTTAAGTATTTATAATTTAAAACTAAACTTTATCTGTAAAATTTGAATATATTTAGTAAAAGGTCACGCTGACCTAGTTTTTCGACCGGCAACATTTCGAGAGAAAACTACAGAGAATTGCGATAAAAACACTAATAAGAACTGATTATCCGATTTAAAATGTCCAAACTATCTGCTAAATATATAATTCGATTAGTCTTTACAGTTATGGGTATACTTTATCACCCGGTGTTTCTTTTTTCTTCATTTACGGGTCGTAATTTGCTAAAAATAAGTCTAAAATAGGTTGTCTATTTTTAATCTCGGCCCGATTTTAATCCTGAAATTGTGCATTTTTATTAACGTTTTTCAGCGATCTAACACTAAATTATTTCACTGAGAATGTTTCTTTTTAAATGTAGATTAACTGTAGTTACAAATAAATAACTTTTTCTATATATCTGTTAAGTTTTAGTAATTCTTTGTCAATTTAAAAAAACTGACTTAAAGCCGTGTTGAGGTATAAAATGCTCACCCCCACCTTATTTTCTCAAATCTGGACATTTAACTGCATGATTTATAGCACTCAATTTAATTTACATAATTAGGTAACATTTTCCCGTTTAAATCGATATAAAGGTGATTATTGTGCATGCAATAGAAGAATTTTAGTGGTTTTGTGAAAGTTGGTGATTTTTTAGTTTTTTTTCGCCCTGTCAAAATTTTGGTAAATATGGTGTAGTACGATTTTTAAGACAAAAAACGTTTAACTTTAACTTGTTATACTAGTTTGAAAAAAATTGAGACTACAATCTACCTACTCTTTTATTGGAATTAAGTTAGAGAATGGGTATAGCTGCTATAGATTTTGAGATAATCGGTGCCAAAGTCGGGTCCTCATGAGGCCGAAAAAGGTAAAAAAAAAAACGCGTGTTTCTTAAGCGCATAACTTTTTTTCTAATTGTCCTACAGACATAAAGTTGGTATCCATGTTCTTAGAATTATTAGTACTATGCAGAAAAACCAAAGCCATTATTGTGTGACTGATTTGAAAAATCCATTTGGAGTACCTAGAAACAGAAAAGCTATAAAACAGAAAAGCTCAAATGTTTAAAAGACATACCCATTGGTGGAGGGCCACCCATTCGTGGTTGGGGTGTCATCATTTGTGGGGAAGGACCACCAACACCTCGAGCAGGGCCCTGAAGTCCTGGTGCTCCACTTATTCCACCCGCTCCACCCATGCCACGCCCAGCAGCTCTCCCAACACCTGGTCCAGTACTTGCACCAGCTAAAGGTACCCTAGCTACACCTTCCTGTAGAGTAAAGAAAAAGATATTAGAGTTGATTTCTAGTACCTGAGTCCAATAATGGCACTTTAATAGAATCTTCTTAAAAAAAAAGGGTGTTAGGTTACTGGTAGTTAACTAAAGATTAAATACACATAGGGCTTAATTAATAATGCTAACCATATCCCTAACCCCAACCCTAGTCCTACCATATGCCTAACCCTAATTTCTAACCATACAACTAGATTAGATGACAATACTACTAACAATCTCAACACACCTATTTTTGGAAGTCTAATTATTAGACATAAGTATCCTCTACCATTCTATATTAATTTGGATTAAACCCCAATGTATAAGTTCCATAACACTAAAGAAACTATAAAATTCTGATAAACAAATTGTGGTATTTCACCTCAGCAGCAGGGGGTCCCTCTACTGTCATTGATACTAAGTGTTCTCCACGTAAAAGAACCAAACCCAGTACTCTCTTTTCTTCACGTTCATTTGATTTCACATTCTTGGGCTTTATCTTTCTAAATTCATCACAGTCACCCAATATAAGGTTCATATGCTTGTCAAATGCTTTGAATGTACCAATAAATATACGCCCATCTTGCAGTTGGCAGCGCATTCTGTAATTGATGTGCTGCAACATCTTGGAGCTCTTTCCGGTAGACTAAGAATAAACAACATTTTTGTTACAAGAGAATGTTCTAAGAGGACATAGAGTTGCTTCAAAACTGTTATTTTTAGAAAGAAAATACACATTACAGTAATAAGATGTAGGCATAGTAGTAAAAAAGTAGGCCTAATGGACTATTTGCATGGAAATGTATCAGAATCTAATGTGTTTTTTAAACATGAAACAAAGAAATAACTAAAAAGCATCTTAACATCTCAAGGACTAGGTCACTAGATTAAAAAAGATCTAGATCTAGAATCTAGATTTAGATCATAGATGTTAAAACAAAAGTAAAGCTTATGGATGAGTGTACATGGAAAAGTATTGAAGACTGGAAAAGCTTAAGAATAGATTAGAAGTCTGGTAATCTATCGTTTTGGGTACGTAAAATCGCCCGCGACTAGTAATGTGAAAAACAGGTGACTCCTTAAATTTTAATAATTATTTCACATTTTGAGGAGGATTTATGTTTTGAAAAATACAAAAATGTTTCCTTCTTTCATTTATGTACCTGTTTTTAAACAATTGAATTAAAACTTTTCAGTAATAAATGAAGACTAGCGATATTTCCAACAGATGCAACCATGCTCATTTACTATAGCAGCCATCTTGTTTAAGTTTTTTTTATAGCGGATATAGCGCGAGACAGGCGGAAGTCACTCTATTTTACAAATGGCTGCTGTTTATATAGCAAATCTTGCTCGCAAACACTGCTGTTTAAAGTTAATTTCTGGCATATATTGATATATTTAGCCATTGATTTAGGTTTATTATTCATTTATCTATAATATTTGACACAAATATATCACAATATACTTCTACTAAAGCCTTGACAATGAGGTAACTTTTTCGTACATTAATAGCCGCGGGGGTAATCTATCGTTTTGGGTACGTAAAATCGCCCGCGGCTATTAATGTGCGAAAACGTTATCTCATTGTCAAGGCTGTAATAGAAGTATATTGTGATATGTTTGTGTCAAATATTATAGATAAATGAATAATAAACCTAAATCAATGGCTAAATATATCAATATAGGCCAGAAATTAACTTTAAACAGCGGTGTCTGCAAGCAAGATTTGCTATATAAACAGCAGCCATTTGTAAAATAGAGTGACTTCCGCCTGAATCTCGCGCTATATGTCTATAAAAATAAAACTTTAACAAGATGGCTGCTATAGTAAATGAGCGTGGTTGCATCTGTTGGAAACATCGCTGGTGTTCATTTATTACTGAAAAGTTTTAATTCAAATGTTTAAAAACAGGTACATAAATGAAACAAGGAAACATTTTTGTATTTTTCAAAACATAAATCCTCCTCAAAATGTGAAATAATTATTAAAATGTAAGGAGTCACCTGTTTTTCACATTACTAGAGGAGTTTACACTTTTCGGACACACACCAAAAATTACGTAGGACCGAACACTTCGTCGGTTTTTGGCTCATAGAAACTTTAATTAGCATGTCTCACGCGAAACCACGGCGCCTGCACGTAAACTGTTCATTTATGAACACTTCCGTGTCAAGTACTTCCGTTTCCTTTCTCAAGAATTATTTTTAGAAATTTTTTAACGTTGCATGGTACGCACATTTCTATTTTTACACCAGCCGGATGAAGTGACCTAGGGTTGGACTTAGGGGCAAAACTTGAACCAATCACTGCTTAGCTAAAAGGTTACACTATAAATAGCTTATATATATGTATGGAACATCGTAAATGTCAAGGTTAATGGGTTTTTTCGTGCTTGAACAATAAAAAAGGGGTGTTCGCTAACTTATTTGGCCTTACATGGGATCGGACAGCAACACAAAAATATTATTAAATAAGAATTTAGAGCATAAAAGGGGCTGGTTATTGAAGGGAAAGGGTCAAAATAAGGTCAAGAAGGCAGTGGAATGCAAAAGAGGAGGGGGAATCATGTGACCTGGCTGGCTTAGCAGCGTACTGCGCGAGCCGCAATGGCTGAATGGGATGAACTTTGGGAGTGTGGGAAAAAGGTTTTATACTATTAAAATTACCTCACAAACAATCAATAACACAATATAAATGCATATAATATATGTTTTTATTCATTAAATTGACTTTAAATTATTCTAAATGAACAAAAAGTGCTATGTCCGATGACGGGTAAAGGTGTCCGAACACATGTAAAACTGTATTACATGTGTTCGAACACACGTTAAGACCCCCCAGTCACTATAACAAGAATAGCTTAAGTTCTATGCGTATGAATACAAAATGACACACACATTATTAAAGTAGAATGGTTGCGGATAGATATGATACTTTTTTTTGTTTTCTATGTTAAGCGGTTACTGAATGAGACCGCATGGAATTTTTACGTTGCGTTTTTTCGCTATGTGTGTCCGAAAAGTGTAAGCTCCTCTAGTCGCGGCCGATTTTACGTACCTAAAACGATAGATTACCGCCGCGGGCGATTTTACGTACCCAAAACGATAGATTACCAGAAGTCTAGATATTTAGATCTAGAGTTTAGATCTAGAAATTTAGATTTAGATCTAGATCTAGATACTAAATTTTAGTTACTTGGCATTTGAAATTGTTTGGGCAGAGTAGTCGGTGCTTGGCAATCCACCTTCTATTTTAAAATATAGGCTAGTCAAAATGATTTATTTTACTGTTACTCTCGCATAAGAGTACTGTTCAGATATAGATCTACTTGATGTATTGATAAATAAATGGTTATTGTGATATAAAACTGAAAGAAGAATCCACTTTCGATTTCAAATTGGGTCTTATAATTTACTATTTCTATATCTAGATATATGTAAACAAACGGCAGCCGGTTTGAAATATTTTATTCTTATTTAAGCGTACGCTAAATATCATAAATAGTTTTGTTCTTTAACGAGAGCATGTATGATTTTAAATAAATATAGCAGATCAAAGCATACCATCTTGAATAGTGGATGTCTAACGATTCAAAAACATCAGATTTTTTAATAAATTTATTATCCTGACGTAGTGGAATCGCGCTTAGCGTCAACGCAATCTACTTCCGGTTCAGTTACGATTTGCGTTTCCATAAGAAGGGAAATAACATAAAAAAAAATTATAAATGAAACAAACTTACTGAATATTCTCCCATACAGCACATCATTAATTTTTCCAAACTAGAAATTGGTATCCTTTTTTTAGTGCAAAGGTTAATTTATTAATTGTTTTAACTAAGAATATGTATATGGTGAAATAATATTTTAGTTCAAATACAATGCATTTTAAAATATCGTAAAGCAATAAGTTACAATAATACTACCATTTCTTACCTTAGGGGTCATCCATAAATGACGTGACGATTTTTGAACGATTTTTACCTCCCCCCTACCCTCCGTCACACATTGTCACAAAAAGCCAGGACCCCCCCCCCCCTAAATGACGTCGCACCTCAGCCTACACCCCCCCCCCTCAAAATTGCAGTTGAATTTTTTTTAAACATCGATATTTTTTTCCAAAATCTTGTCTGAACTCTGTCAAAATGGAGTATTTGAATCAATTCCTATTACAATTTATTAAAACAGTTTTCTAAAGCGTGAAATAACGTCTAAACTTCGTTTTCTAACATTGCTTTTTTAGAATGCAAAAGTGTGACGTCGCACCATCTGACCCCCCCCCTCCCCCTCATCACACACCGTCACAAAATTACGGACCCCCTCCCCCTACGTCCCCCTGTGACGTCATTTATGGACCACCCCTTATTTTAAGTATATTCTTAGTAATTTTCGGTCTACTAAACCTAGACTCACCCAAAATATTCAAATTTTTCAGAAAACTCTCCACAAATTACTAGTTTATTTTTTTTCCAACCTTTAATTTACAAAATTTAAATTATAACGTGTTATAAAAATAAACTATTGAGTGAAAGTGTGACTAAATCCTAGATCTAAACAGAAGAAATAAGTATTCTGTTACTTTGGCAAAAGTGTGTCAGTCCTCACAAGCAGACAGTGTTTCTTCCAGACTTTTTTCTCCGGGGGGGCACTGGAAATCTTCGGGGGGGCGGTAAACTTTCTTCGGGGGGGCGGACACTGTTAAAAGTATATATTTTCTATATAAATTATATAATTTTCATTTCGTTCGGGGGGGCGGTAAAAAATTTTCGGGGGGGGGCTTCGCCCCCCCGAAGAGATGCCTGGAAGAAACTCTGCAAGCAGATGATGCAAACTGCAACGCTAGAGCCAACACGTCTTAGTTAAAGAAAACAAAAACCCCGACTTTATTAGCCGTGATCGATGCATATGTAACACTATGGACGATACTTCGTACTTCGAACCCCGTCACATGACCAATGGTACTCCACTTGCAATCAAGCATCATTTTCCACAGTAATACTTTAAACCTCAGACTAACTTTACTAACTATTGATTATTTGAGGGAGGGCAAGGACTGAGGAGGGGAAAATTGAGCGGTAAAATTAGGAGGTGACACCAAGGCAAAAAATAGTAAAATATATAGAGAAAAACTTGAGGGGGGGGGGGGGGGTTGCTAATCGAAAGTTTGAGGGGAAGGGGGCAAATCGAAAATTTGAAAGTTTGTCCACGTGAAGGGTCACTATGCCTCTGGGGGGGGGGGGGGTGACGCCATTAAGTGCCGCACCGGGTGACACCCGACCTCGCTACGCCGCTGCTGCAAAGCAATAATTTGTTATAAAGCTATACTATAAATCTGACAAAGAAATTCAGCTTTTACAGTACACTTGGCTTCTTAAGAGGAGGTAATTTTTTCTTTTCTGTCCCCCCCCCCCCCCCCCCCCCACCCCATATTCTCCCTAACATTCAGATGTAAATATCGTTCTCTGAATCTCTGAAGGGATAAGTCGAAGATTTGTGTTAACGCGGTATTTTAATCCCACTGCCAGATGTGTTAATCAATATCAGATTAAAATCGTGTATCAAAAGGAGCTGAGGTAACACGTGTTGTAGTGTAGGAACCATAGGTCACGCAGCTCGGCAGTCACGTGATATCACACACCAGTGCTCATAATCCCATGCAACACTTCACGAACGAGCATGTCTGTCAGGTTGCGTTTCGTTTGTTCAGGTTTTAACTCTTTAAATGTTGCCAGATACTTGATTTCAAAGACATCTGTGCCACATTACTAGGAGTATTGTTGATACCTGTTATTTGTCCAATCATTTTGTTTCTTTATTTATAAGGAACTTGGATTTTTAGCTGTGTGAAAATCACGTTTTATGCAACAATTCTCTTGGATCTGGGAGGCAGGATATGTCGACTCGTTACATACGAGATTTTTAAATGGAAAATACTTTGCTTTATGCAAATCGTGGATGCAGGTAAATCAAATATAGAAATATATGCATTAGGTCTCAATTCTGCTTTTTAAATAAAAAAAAAAAAAATTAAATTAATGCTATAAATAAACTTTAGTTTTAAAAAATATGTTTAAAAAAATTAAGAAGGCGTTTTGATAGTTGTATTTTTGTTCCTAGATATTTTTTACTGTACACAATGAGTGGGCCTAAATAAAAATTCCTCTTCACAGAAGCCTTTTAGTGCCTACTGCTTGATATGTGTTAAGAATTTAATTTTTGGTGCATAGTCTATGTATTTTTGCAGTCTCACTATTACTTTTTGAAATAAAATATCGCGTGTAACCTTCCAGTCTTCCAGTGGCAAGCTGTTATAACGTCTAGAACAATTGTGCCAAACGCTGTTTCCTCAAGTCAGTTTGATAATGCTCTAGACCATTTTAAGGATAGAGTCGCCTATTTCGGAGTTAAATAAAATAAAATTCAAAACAATCCCGCAACACAAAAACAACAACAGCAAACGCATTACTGAAACTACGAACTGTCATGTTATGTATCACAAATATCACATTTTTAACAACTCATGGCAAGTAGACCTATAGCCTACTTCTTGGCTTTCTCTGCGCCTAGCTTAGCGCCAGGCATGTGCAAGGCGCTTTTTTGTCACAAGGTCCGTCAACTTTGGCGCCTGTACATCTGCTGTTTGTCTTATTCCTGCTGGATATAGACCATCAACCACCAACATATCGATCTTAGCTCACAAGTGTAGCTCTGGCTTGAGTTGTCAGGCTTAATTCAGCTATACATCTTTCATACGGGAGGTCTATTAACTTAAGGTTTTTAAGATCAACCTAGAAACGTAGGGAAATTGTCTACCTAAAATGTACCATGTAGAATACGATTTTGCTTATCTTTGATTTGTCAATACTAGCAGAAAGGGAAACTGCAGGCCCCTTGCCTGTCAGCTGATCTAGAACATTTTCCAAAGGCCTTTTGTACAAATGCAATTATTTTTAGATTGATTGTGTTAAAAACTCCATGCAAAAATATGAGAGAGGGTGGGGGAAGCTGAATAAATATATAGAAAAACTAATACATTCTCACAAAACTTCAAGAACGTTAGTATGAGTCAAGGGTTCCCAGAAAGATGCGCAACGGAAAAAAGCGCAACGGAAAAAAAGCGCAACGGAAAAATGCGCAAAAATACTGCGCAATGGAAAAAAGCGCACACAGAAAAAAAAGCACAAACAGAAATTTGCGCACACAGAAAAATTCGCAAAGAGAAATTTTAGCACACAGACATATATGGACTAGATGACACATTTATACATGCCCGGGCATGGTTCGATTTTGCGCGATGGGCCATCCTGTGCGCGCTATGGGTTTGTGTGTTGCTTTGCGTTGTGTTTGTGTTTGTATTTTCTTTTGTGTTTCTGTGTTTCGTTTGTGTTGGTGTTTTTTTGCTTTTGTGTTTGCATTGTGTTTGTGTTTTCTTTTGTGCTGGTTTGTTGTGTTTGTGTTTGCCTTGTTTTTGGGTTTGTGTTTCCTTTTGTTTCTGTGTTTGCGTTACGCTCGTGTTTTCTTTTGAGTTTGTGTTGTGCTTGTTTTTGCGTTGTGTTTGTGTTTTCTTTTGTGTTTGTGTTTGTGTTAAGTTTTGTTCTGTTCTGTTCTGTTCCATAGTTGGTACATTAATACTAATAGTTTCGCTGTCTGTGTATCTATCTGTGTATCTATCTATGTATCTGACAAGAACGCTCTAGAGAAAACACAAGGAAATTAAAAACATGCACAGTAATTCGAAAAACGAAGTATGACGTCGTATAGTAGAAAATAATCTCAAGCCGGAGAGTGCACACAGTAATATGACGTCATTGATTCTCGAGTAAACATTGAATAAAAAGGCAATTTTGTCTAATCTAAGTGGTTTGCGTGAAGAGTTTCTTTCATACAATTCTTCGGGTAGGGGCGAAGCCCCACCCCCGCGTAAGAACGTCTGACCCCCCCCCCTCCCTAACTCAAAAGAAATTTCTTCATCGATACTCTATAATAAAATTACCGCCTAATTAATGTGTCTAATCTAAAAAGTGGTTTTCTTGCAATTTCTTTAATGCAATTCTTCGGGTAGTGGCTAAGCGCGACACCAGTGTTTCTTTCAGACTTTTTCCTCCCCGCAGAGGGGTGGGGGTACTTGAAATTTTCGGGGGCGGGGGTAGAATTTTCGGGGAGGGGGCGGACACTGGAAAAAGTATATAATTATATTTCGTTGAATGGGACGGTAGACATGTTTTTTGGGGGGTGGGGGGGGGGGGGGTGGTGTGTGTGTGTGTGGGGTGGGGTGGGGGTGGGGTGGTTTTAGTTTAGAGAAAAGAGACAGTACTATCAGCCTAGCGCCCGTTGTACCCTTCCTCAACGGGCCATTTTTCTCGTTTTAAAAGATTCCCCGTGGCGGAGCACGGGTATGCAGCTAGTTTAGTATAAGGATCAATTTACTATTGGCAATTATTCAGAATGTTCCACTTAATTATGTAATTTATAAGTGCGCTTTTATACCAAGTCCGCTTTAAAAAAACTTACTTTATGGTGTGTTGTTTTAGCATTTATATTAAAAGTAAATTTAACTCTGATTGCAGACAATTTCGTTTTGTAAAATCGAATAGTAATAAGCTATTGTATCAAATAATAAAATAATTTTTAATCTGATTGAATTTCACAATTACAATTAAATGTGTAGGAGTGTAGGCCTATTAATATCTATATTAAGAGAGTGTTCCCCCACTGTAGTTCTTTTCTCTTAATTAATAATCCATTGTGTCAAATTGTTTTTTTTTACAAGGATTACCACACAGATTGTGAAGCATTTGTTGTTTTTCTCGACTCGCCGCTTCCCCTAGCCCGAAAACCTGTATGCGCCTGAAGAGGAGGTAAAAGAGTTTTAAAAAAACGTAACATCGTCTTTGTGCCCGGCCCAGCTGGTGGGCCTAGCGTTAGTCTAACAAAAATAAATAAGAGTTAGCCAGGAACTGATTGGAGCCATGCTAACCTTCACTCCACCGACGCCTCTTTCTTTAAATTATGAATTTCATTTGTTTATTTTGATGGCATGGATAATACGTTTTAAGTTGTTTCTTTTATTTATTAAAAAGGCTTAGGCACTACACTTAAAGACCGCAAAGACACGCAATGTGAAATATCAAACTATGTTTGTAAAATATAGTGCCACTACTGTAAGAAAAAAAATTGCGTCAGCCGGGAATCGAACCCGGATCGACTGCTTGGAAGGCAACCATGCTAACCTTTACACCACCGACGCCCACATGCTCATACTGTCACTAAAACAAAAAAATTCATTTACTATCATCAAACTAATTGAAACCGGTGCAATGCCATTCACAGGCTTGTTACATTACTTGTTTCTATCTAAGTGTAGAAAAAGTAGATCTAAATCTAGTAGTAAAAAAGTTACACAAAAGTACGTCAAAATGAGGTTATGAGGATAAAATGTTTGAATGGTAGAATTTAGATGCATGATTATTTTTGTACTAAAATTATACTGACCCAGTGCGTTCTGTTAGGCTACTAGCTCTAACTAAACTATTCTAAAATTTCTATTCAGGTAACAGTAAATGAGTTGTCGATAAACATTTGAGAATATACAAAAATAGAAATTACATAATGAGGCAAAAAACTATGCGTCAGCCGGGAATCGAACCCGGATCGGCTGCTTGGAAGGCAACCATGCTAACCTTTACACCACCGACGCCTCTTGATTTGTTGTGCCTAAATAAGGTTACAAAATGTAATTAGTTTATCAATTTTTGGATTACTAAACAGTTTGAGAAATTTGCTTTCTCGTCATTAAAGGAAACCTTATATTATATTTTAAGATCTAGATTCATTCTTTTTTTTCATTTTTAACATAAATTTTATTAATAAGAAATAAAAGAACCTTAACCAAAATCAAGTTAAAAACAAATAGTTGTGTTGTCATTTCCGGAATATTTCAAAATGGCATCTAACTCCAACAACATTTATGATCATGGTAGATCTGCATTTACTTTATTTAACGTGCAACTTATCCTTTAGTGTTTTATTTGAAATAATACTTACCATTTTAATACACGTGTTTTAATACTTACTTAGGTATGGTTTTTTGGTTGTTAATTGAAAACGAATTTCAGTTATTCCGGATTTATCTCGGTATCCAAGAACGCCACCGTTTTTTTCTTGCATTCACATTGAATGAATTATTTATTTTTACAGTAGTTGTAAATAAACTAAATAGCCCAAGTCCTAATGCAAAGGGTAAAACTCCATTTCAACGTATTTTATTCCCTGCTTCACCTAATGTTTTTGTGTGTTTCGGTTGTATTTATAAAAAAATGGGGAATTTTTATACCAGTGATAGAGTATAGTAGTAGGAATGTTGGGATATTTTTCCTAATTACCATAGAATGATAAAATGTACACAGATTAATCCTATAATATACCCCATTGATAAAAATACCAAATTTATCCTTCTAGGCCTAATAGTTTTTTTTATATGAATTTTTAAAGTTATGTATTAAACCTGTTATATATCACTGTAACATCGGATTTAATTGTGTGATTGGCTTTAGGCTTGCATACCACTGCTGCTATTCGAGATATAATTATAAAACTTTGCACATTAGTGCTAGAGAGTGTGGGCAATAGAAATATGAAAGTAAAATCAAAATTTGATGAAGGATAATTAGAACTAATCAAGTCAAATTAAAGTGAGGGGTGCTGTTCTATATAGGTCAATATGCAGACTGAAAGTCTATGTTTTTTTTTTTAATATTAAAACTGAAACTTTGCTAGAGGGTGGGGGAAATAAAAATATAGAAAAAAATTATATTAAGTATGACTGCATATAATTAAAAAGTCCTATGAAAGGGTGTTGCACCCTTTTATAGTAATTATAGTGACTGCAACGGACGTATGTCCAGAATGTTACTATAATAGATAGGATACATTTTGGTTATTGATACTGAAGCATGTAATAAGAAGAATGCTGAAAAATAAAACTAGGGATGGTGTGTTAAAGCACTCAACTACTAACATGCAAGTCTTAAGCTCAGATCTCAGACGAGTCTGTCTGTGCAGCGTGCAGCATCCACCAAGCTCAGATGAGTACCTGACCCAAGGGAAAGTAAAGATAGCTTGGCAGAGAGCTAACCACACCATCACTTCATGTGCATGGGTCAAGAAACAGATAAACTCTACTTCAGCTGCTTTATGGATGATGGATTGACAGGTCCAAAAGGGAAACTACTTTAATATACTAGGGCCTTTATAAGACCCTATTGATATTTTGGTACAACTAAATTACTAATCAATAGAAAAACCTTAAATTCTTGTAAAAGTTTATTAAGCTAAGTGTTAATTTGTACCAAATCAGAAGTTACAGCTTCCCTGTCTATCTGCTTATATGAATATATATATTGGCAACATGCAGTGATTTAAATCTGTATTGTTTGTTGTTATTTGTTTTTTGTTACTTTTTATTATTAAATGTAAAAATTGTATCCTAAATTATTATGAATAATAATTATCATGCCTTTTTCATGTCATTCCAAATTCACTGACTTATTAATTAGTACCCCCCCCCCCCCCCATGTCAATTGCTGCACCTTTTGTTAATTATTTACTAATGTCATAAGCATAATTATTACAAATAATTAAATAAGTTTATCACCAAGCTTCTTTACTTATCATAACCAATAATAGGCCCAGACTTACTTTATCAATTGATACATATAGATCTAGTATATAGCATTAGTTATACTAAGAAATAGGCCTATAACTTATTTATAGTATAAAGTATAATAGTATATTAAAGGCTATTAGTATTAGCCTTAAATGATTTTAAATCTAAGTAGGTATGTGTGAAATGCTTAACACTATTTAATGTAAGCCTAAGCTTCTTGCCTGTCGGTTTTAATAGATAACTTGATCAACGTATTTTATCTAGTTTTAACAGTGCCACCCACAATTTAAATTCTTTCCAACTTCGAAAACTACGTCATTGGCATTAGTGCGCGTATTTTATCGATAATAGGTAATGCGGTGCTAAACCGACGCCATGGCGTTGTCAAGGCCGAAGCGCTAGCTCGGGGATTTGACATGTATGATAACTCGTAAGCAGAAGTAGTAAGTGCCATAAAACCGTTATTATAATAATATTTGTTTATTTAATGGACACTTACAACTAATGGCAAGACACTTATAAAAGGTTTAATACGTAAACTTATTTAAAATGTGACAGCACCGTACGGGACATGTTCACGAGATAAACTCATTAGAATCGTGCGATCGATTTCGGCTTAAAGATTGTCATAATGGCGGTAATTTTCTAATTGAAACATATAATACGACTACACTAGAATATCTATATCGAATATTTCTAAAAACTCGATTCCAACAGTGAGATTCGGCATTCTTCGGAAAAGGGCGAGTTTTTATAAAGACTGCATCGAAAAGTCCGGATGTTGAATACTGAATCGAAACAGCGGAAGTCGGAATGCCTAGTATAGTAGTATAGGTATATAATTAGTATATATATAGTAGGTTGAATTATGGACTTTTTAAAATAAAATATTCTATTATTTTAAATACACCATTAACTTCCTTACCCCTTAAGAGAACATTTGACACCACATTTAAATATCTAGCTTACTCGGTTGACAAGAAAAGAGAGAATTTAAAAATTATCTTAAAATGGAAAATGAACGAGGAAACAGCATTCTTACTCCTCGACCGGCATAACATTACGTCGTGGACTTGTGTCCACGAGCTTTTCATTCCCGCCATGGTAATTGCGTCAGCTTAGGTAAACTAGATCTAGTTATTTTATTATTTATTAAGTTCTACTCTACATGTTATTCATTACATGTTATTCATACCATTTTATGAAATAATGAACACCTGCATAAATCAAATGACCATAATAAATATTTTTATTTCAAATTCTAATTTTCTAATTTTAAATAATAAATATGCTTAAAATGATATGATAGTAATAGTTATGATAGTTTATAAATTAACAGTGTGGCAGCTGAGGTTCATACATGGTATTAGTGTATTTTTTTTTTACATTACATTTTTTTCATCTTGAAAGCATGACGTATGTGGTTTTTTTTAAAAATAAAATCTCCAAACATCGTCACTTGCGTGATTGCTTGTTTACGTTTACTATCCCATGGATGAAAAATCCCACCAGGGTCACGGGGTCACCGTGACTTCAGCAGGCCTATAGTACACGTCATAGAATGAACACGCGTACACGAGATGGTCGGTGTCTTCACTTCTCTCTCTCTTCCCCCCCCCCCCCCCTTCTTCAAGCAAATTGAAAAACAGACCTACTTCCCTACTTGTGGACATTTTTTAAAAAGTTCGGTCATTTTTTTTTTAAAGTTCCATATCAGGCATGCTAGATTATTTTTTTTAACTAGATCTGTCTACGTCTAGCTTAAAAAAATAAATAAATAACGCTTAAAATGCCCGTAAACAGATTATTTAGCGCCAAAAAAAAAAAGGCCGCTGAACGAGCATTTTTTTTTTAAATACGCAGCAATGAAAAAGGCTAACGGCCGATCAATTAAGTCTAAAAATCGCCCGTAATTAGGCCTAGCTCTGAAAAAGGCCACTGAACGAGCATCACTAATTATATAAACGAATAGGCCACGCAGCGTTGACGAGGTTAACCACCGGTCACGAATGCAGCAACTGTCGGCCCACAGTGAAGAAAAAAAAATCAATATACTAACAAAATTACTAATACAATAATAATGTCCATAATTTTACTTTTTCCGCACATGCTACAATTGAATTATAATAAAAATACTAGACTTAACAGTTCATTCCGCAAAAAACAAAAACTAGTTGTTTCTGTCCGGCAACTAGCGTAACAATGACGCAACGTTACCAAAAATAGCAGAGAGAAATTTTCTCATGGTTACTTACGGGGTAATTGGATTTTTGGTAAAGATCATCCATAATACTGTAAATATACATGCTAAATATCTCAATTATATATTAATCTACTGTTATACAGGCCGTTTTCCCGGTTATACGGTCGTTTTTGGCCGCGGTTCAGTTTATACGGAGAGTGCTCCACTAGAAATCCTCTCATTATTTACAACTACAATTCTAGCGATTTTTTTCTGGCATTCTAAGGCATATTATCCATATTATTAGCATCTTGTGTTAAAATAATGATAAGAATTTGCGAGATTAACAGTTTTTTCATTTGTCGTGGATAGGACCCCTAAAATAAACGTAAAAACCGTCAGAAAACGACGCGTGACGTTTCAGGGTCAGAGGTCAATCCAGCCATCTAAGCAATGAGGCGGCCTAGTATATAGAGTATAGAGTATACTCAGTATAGAGATAGATTCTTCTTTAAAAAAGGGGTGTTAAGTAACTGGTAGCTAACTAAAATACACACATTGCTGGCTAATGTCAATGCTTACCCTGTCCTTAACCCCAACCCTAGTCCTACCATACGCCTAACCCTAATTTCTAAACATAAAATAGTCGAGATTACAATACTACTAACAACCCAACACACCTATTTTATGGAAGAGTCTATTATCGGACATCTGTATCTAAAATCATCCATAATAAAATACGCTCAACCTGAGGTGAACGTGAAGCGGTGAATAAAATAAGCTAAAATAGAGTTTTACCAATGCAAAGTAGTGTAGAGCACTAGACTGATAACCTTGAGAGGAAAAGCGCGAGTAAGGATCTTAGGCTCTAGTCTATAGGATGCTCCCAAGTTTATTTCATCTGCCCCATGTTTTTTGGGTAAAGATTGTGATGAGTAGCTTTAGATACTAATTTGAATTAAATCAGAAGTTAAATTTTATAGGCCTATTAGCTTGTAATTGTTAAACATTGCCCACACAGAGAAGTACAGGTTAGGGTTAAGAGTTAAATACTTTTGTCTTCTGTACTGCTGTACCAAATAAATTGCTTGTCATTTCTTTGAATCCAGGAAGCACTGGTATCGAATAGTCTGTTTTTTTTCTGGGCAAGATACTATTATTTTTTATAATTTGAGTTAAATTTTCTAATTCCTTTTTGGGTATTCATTTATTTTCATTTTCTTTACTCCTCAAAATCACAAAAGCTATCATGCTTCTAATTACAATCATTAAATTTTATAAAAGATTCAAAAACATTTCAATTTTATTCCAGGTGATGGTGAAGGTGAAATAGACATGGAACTTTCACATGGCTTAGATATTGAAGATGAAGACCTTGCTACTGGATTGTAAGTTTCCACAATATGTCACATCAAATATAGGCCTATAATAATTTAAGTTACTTAGTTTGTTTTAACTTTATATTTAGTGTCTTATTTTTATGCATTTTTATAATATAATGATATGTCTTCTATCCAAATCAGAGATATTAATTTGCTAAGATAAAATGTCTAGCAGTTGATTTTGCCCAAAGAGTACTATAGCTTTGACTCTAAGATATAAGTAGTTATAAAACATTTTAACTTTAAAAATGAATAGATCTAGATACATATTTTAAAAAGTTAATTAAATTTGAAAAAAAGGACATACATTTTTGTACACCATACGCTATCTTAAACTTTGATTTTCTTCAGATCAACAAGTGATGCTGGTTTTGACACTATCATTGGTCACATAGAAGATATTGTAATGGGTATGGCAATCTTTCACTTTTATTTTACTGAAATATACAGGGTAAATAGAAAACATTTCCCAACATTTTCTAGATAATATAATGCTTTCTTTTTGTTAGTCTAGTTTTGAAGTGTATTGAGATTTGATGTAAAGAATGTTAACAGCCTTTGCCTGCACTAGGAATTCTCAACCCCTATTATTAAGTTGCCTTAGATTTAGGAATAATGGCATATGAAATATGGTCTAAAATAATATGGTACAATAATTTACAGTGATAAACATGTTGTATTATAGTGTGATAGAACCGAAAGGATCACTACCAAAGATGAATAATGACATATTTAAAAGAAAAAAAGGTTACCTATTTAATGATCTATAAATTGGATATAATTGTTTAACAATGTTGTAAAATATATATTGCTTGATATACAAATTATTCTTTTTTTTTCAGAAGAAAAGTTTCAAACAATTCAAAACAGTTTTTTAGATAAATATTATAAAGAGTTTGAAGATACAGAAGAAAATAAATTCTGCTATACTGATATCCATAAAGAATATGTAAGTCAAATTTATTAACTTAAATCATTGTTGTGTATTTTAACATACAATTTTAGTACCTTTTAGTACATTGGAACTATTTATCATAATATTTCTCTAATATTATTTTAAGAATTCTAGATGAATGTATTAACAATAAAATTAGCATGAGTATAAGTACATTGTGGTATTTTAACAAATAATACATTGAAAAGTTAGTAAGAAACTTTGATTTAAAATCTAGTCAAGCTGAATCAATGCTATGATTCTCACACACTGTCTTTGTAATATTTTGTTAACAAACTAATTAACAAAGTAGTTGGTGTTCTAATGATCCAGCAATAGAAATATGTGTAAAATTACAGCATCATTCAATTTAAGTATGATCAGTTTATTACATAAATAAAAACATCTAATGAATCATTTTCTTTGTGTAATATGATCAATTTTTGTTAGATGTCAGCAAAGTGTTTCAAATTTACTTTCTTCTGACAGATATCTATAATAGAATCTTATTTAGAAACAGAACTGAAGAAGAGGATGCCAGAATTTTCCATGTTAGACTTCACTCAACAATTGCAGTGAGTTGGAAACTCATTCAACTGTTTGACTTATTTTAGATTTGTTTGACACATTTTTTTACTGCTAATTTAGCATATAGAAGTCATTCTTATAAAATTGCAATAGCTTAACTTTTTACTTTCTCGTATATACGAAGTATAGAGAAAGTATTGTAATCGTGCACAAAAATCACTTGAAATTTTAACAATTTTCACCGTATTACACCTCAGTCCTTCATCACATCCGAAGTATAGAGGACTTATTTTAATCGGGCAAAAATTATCAATCCAGATGTATCAAAATTAAGAGGTTTTGTGTGTAATCCAGTCTGAAAAACTGGGCTTTGCAACTCTGTCCGTATGTCTGTGTGTCTGTGTGTGTGTGTGTCCGTGTGTAAACACGATTACTTGAGTACCGTTACAGCTAGGCTGATGAAATTTCATATATAAGTATTTTATCAAAATCGTAGATCCGTATCAACTTTTGAGCGATTTCCGATAACCGGAAGTGGTACTTTTTCTACTTTGAATTTTTCAAAAGCCTATAACTTGAGTACTATTTCAGATAGATAAATGAAATTTCACATGTAAGTAAAAGATCTAATTCTCTACCTTCTGTTAAATTTTGAGTAATTTCCGTTGACCGGAAGTAGTAATTTACGCTACTTCCGATTTCTCAAAAAACTAATGTAAATTTTAAAAGTACTAATAATATTGCGCACTATTAAACACTCTTTTATTTAGCGTTCACTTGGTGTGCAATTCATTTGTCTACGAGATTTTATTCTATTTTTAAAACTTTAAGTATTTAAAATTGATTAAAAATCATGTCTATAGCCCGAGTTCCCATCCCCTGTTGTTTTATATAAGAATATTCGAGAAAGTTTAGGGGAGATCACTCCCGGTTTATTATAAAATGGAATGATGCAGGTCTAAACTAAGCAAACTTTATTTTTCAATCAATAAATCATTACTTAAATTGAATATTCATGGACATTCAATTATTGTTATTTTACTTGAATAATGTGCAGGTTTTAATAACTTTGAAAAATGATATGAATCTTTATTCATCTTTATTTATACTGAACAACATTGAGGTGCAAAACTTAATTAAGATGGAACATGAAATTAATTAATTTGATAAAGAGTTGATATGCATAACATTTCTGGGGAAAACTAAAATTAATGAAAACAGTAATTCTTGATAATTTTTTTGTCAAACTAATTACTTTATATGCACACTCTTTATTTATTTTTTTACCTTTTACTTTTATTTTTTTTAAACATTCCTTTATACTTCAGTGTGCAGTTGAATTGGTATTTATTTAAAGTATTGTTTACTTCAGGGTCAGAAAGCAAGAGTTGGAAGGAGAAATTTTTGAAATTCTAATCACCTTCAGTGATTTTATGGCATTTAAAGAAATGTTGCTTGACTATAGGAAAGTAAGTGTGATCTCCTTTTTTAAAATTTATGTATAAATAAAAAGTAAAGTACGTAACAGTTCCTCTTTACACCAAGTGATCCATTGAGCTGATGAAGCTGATTTCATGTTTCTTGACCTTGGCATATAAAGGAATAGGGTGGTAAGCACTATGCCCAGCCCCTTTACTTTCCCCAACGCAAGTCAGATACCCATCTGAGCTGGGTGGACTCAGGGATCCAATACTCAAGACCTTCAAGCTAGCAGCTTAACACTGTTGACCACACCGTCCCATATTTTTGTATAATAAAGATTATTGCAAACTTAAGCCCAGGCAGGTAAAATAATTGTTTTATCTACCCAGGATAAAGAAGGCAACACAATAGATCTCAGTGGTGGCCTGACCATTGTACCTGTTAAAGACAAGACAAATTCTGGAAGTTTCTCAGGACTTTGCATTTCTGGGAAATCTATCAATGGACCATAACTGTGTGAACAGCTTTTTAAAATAGACAATGTATTATATTTTTGTGAACAAGTTCAAGGCAAGTCATTTCATCAATGCAACAGAAGTTTTCAAGAGTTTGCAAGAGTTCCTCATGCTATTGACATTTTTCTATTTTTCTAAACAAGAGATAGTGGATGAAAAAGAGTAAGAGATAATAATTAAAGCTCGCTATTGTCATTATTTAAATCTGTTGTCAAATTGGGTACCAGAGTGCCTTTGATTCACCTAGTCGGCTCCTGCCTGTAGTCATATTGAACATATGTGTACAAATGTGACCATACTAATGTAGTTAAAATACTTCTTAGCTATGATTTTTAAAGTTTATAAAAAGTCTTGTTTATCAATAGATGTTTAGGATAACAATGGTAACTCATTAGGACATGCATTAGATTAGTAATTTGGCTGTTTTGTTACAGCTGATCCAAGCTAATAGAAAATCTTATTTATGGTTGTAAAATGATCAAAATCTTGTTGAGTTATGACTTGATTATTTACATATTATTGATAATGGCTTGCATATTTTTTATTTCAAGTCAATTTAAATGTGATATATATTAAATTGTGCTGACTAACTCATAGTTACACTGTGGACATGTGAAGGTGTCTAACTTAACTAAATGCCAATCTTGTACAGTTCATTTCATTACGTATTTGATTCATTTTATCATTTTGAAAGTATTTTAAGGATCAATGAATGGTGGTTCACAGCTGGATGCCTCTTCTGACAGTTCATTTTATAATATAGTACTTAGTTTTTTATTGTAAATACAAGACCAAAACATTGAGTTGTATCTCTAAGTTGTAACTTTAAAAACCTTCACCTACTGTTTTTATATGATAATAATTGCTCAATAGTGTCGTAGAAACAAATTTAAAGGAAAGAAAGACAAATACTTTTACCTTTGTGACTCAAATTTTTCAACTTATTTTGGGCAGTTATCTGCAAAAAACCTTTAAATTGGTCATTCTATAATTGGTTCACATTGACTTACTGGCCATTTGACATTGATTCAGAAAGTTAAAAATAATATCTGAAAGCTATTAGTTTTATTCCAGTTGTGTTTGTATATTTGAAAAGTTAGAGTAAATTAAAAGAATTTAATAGTCTGTTTATTTATCTAGTTTAGAGAAAAAAAATGTCCCAGTAAAATATGAATGATTAATAAAAGCATTTTATTCTGCTTACAACAGTTTAATTTCAGTTCACGTAATTTTATCTAATGGTCTGCAATCTACTGTGACATTCCATGGTTTTCTTTGTGTGCTCTTATCTTGTTTTTAATGACTGATGAATTTTTTTTACAAATAAGAAGAGTTTCGTGCATGTGTGAAAAGTAAGGTTTTGTTCTGCCATGAATGGTTTGAATCTCTTTTACTTATAGTAAGGCTTTGATGAACAGAGTCATTCTTATAAAACACTAACTTGTTAGTTATTTGACTGTTTACTATCATTTATTCATGTTTGTATGCACAATTAGCTCCTCATAATTGTTAAATAAAATAGTAAAAACATTGTTTTTAACTTTAAAAAGTGCTTTATTTCACTTACATACATTTTGTTACATTTCCTAATTTTGCCAAATTCTTAAAAAGAAATTGAAACAGTTGTTCATAAAATTTACAGCAGTTTTATTTTACTTATTGTTTGTTTCAACATATAAATTGTTTTCTATGGCAAGAAGAATGAAGAATATAGTTAAATTAAATAAATAAGTTTCTAAATGTTGTGATAATTGGTGCATGGTTTCTAGTTTATTAAAAATTGGATCAAGTACAACTAATCAACCACTATTGTTTAATGTACACTGTATAAGGTTAAAAACAAAAATAAATTTCACATTTCATACATGATCATCTATAAGTTGCATAATGATCAAGTTAAAATATTTCTGCTGAGGATTAGCTTGTCTTTGTATTGCATAATAAAATATACAAAAATAATACAGTTGTGCTAGTAGTGTATGACTGTACATTTCACTTAATAAATAAAATAATCCAGTTACATTCACAGATATGCTTTAATAATAATAATAATCAAAGTAAAAAATTTCAGTTTATAATATACTGATTTCAATTACTTGAGATAACTTTTAAAACCACAGTAGAGCTTAGCTAAAGCACATGAAGACAGTAGAAGATGGTCTCAGACAGACTCATCTGCAAAATTGACAAAGTTCAGAACATTGGTTTGAGAATAATGACAGGAGCCATGAAAACAACACCCATAAAAGCTATGGAGAAAATAGCCGCTCTTAGCTCAATAGAAGAAAGAAGAGAATCAAAAATCCTCACTCATTACACAAAGCTAGAGGCACTGGAAAACCATAACCTAAAACAAAAACTCCAGAAACCCAGTCCATCAACCAGACTACAAAGAACAAGTTTCATCAAAGAAGCAAAGAATCTGAAAAAGAAATATGAAATCAAAAATATCATTCCTGAAGCAATAAAAACTCAAAACCTCTCCCCGCCTTGGATCTCCCACTGTCACTTAACCATTATTGACTCAATAGACACCATAGGAAAAAAATCTGACTATGATCTAGAAGAACTTAAGAAAATAACAAATAAACACATTAAGGATCAGTACCCCAGCAATACCTGGATTAGAGTTTTCACAGATGGCTCAGCTGAAGATGCCACAAAAAACGGCGGGGCTGGCATCCTTATTGAATGGCCAAGCGGAAAAAGCCTGGAAAAGGCAATAGCCACAGGCAGCCTATCCGACAATTTTTAGGGCAGAAAAAGAAGCTTTAGAACACGCAGCAAACCTCCTGTCAGAACACCCTGAATCACCGAATAGTCAGATTGTATTTCTTACAGATGCCAAATCAGTCCTGCAATCCCTACAAAATCCGGAGTCCTATATTCAAACACTCATGACAGCACTAGAGAGGCTAAAAAATACCTGCAGCAGAATTGTGCTGCAGTGGATCCCGGGCCACTGCCAGATCCAGGGTAACGAGATCGCAGACCAGCTGGCAAAAATTGGGGGAAAGAAACCACAACCGGAAATTTCGCTACACCCAAAAGAAATAAAAAGAATAATTAAACACAAACAAACGCAAATGTGGTCTGTCACACACCCTCACTACATTAAAGACGACGGCTATTACAATTTAACACGAAAACAACAATACATAATCTTTCGACTTAGAACAGGCCACAACAGACTAAATCAACACATGCACAAAAAACTGAAGGTTGGGTGTAGCGAAATGTGCCCTTGTGGCAAGGCCCCGGAAAACACGGAGCACGTACTCCAGGATTGTACTCTGTATAGCCAGGCAAGAGGCAGACACTGGCCCCAGCCCACCCCACTCAGGGAAAAATTATATGGGACACCTGACAAACTGGAAACCACAGTCCGGTTTGTCCATGAAGTTGGACTTGTTGTCTGAATCCTCCACCATATTCAAAAATTAAGAACGAAGAAGAAGAAGAAGAAGAAGACTCATCTGTTGTGGAAAAGGAATTTACAATATGGTACACATCCAGATTTATTGAAACTTCAATGTGAAGTGTATGGTATGGGCAACAATTTTACCAAACAACACATTAACAAATAATTATGCTCACAAACATTTCATTTATAAATACAACATAAAAGGATTTACTTTACATATGTACATTTTGTATTTCACATTTATTTAAACTTAGAATCATTGAAGGCTCTATTCAGTTAGCTGTATACATCATATAGCTTCATAAAAAATGATAAAATAATCTAATTTGTATAGTTATGGAAGTTGGGTAACTATGAAAACAAGTTTTAAACAAACTTGTTAGATTTATATCCCTTAGTTTCCAACATTAAATGTTTCAAAATTTTGATTAAGGCTTAATTAAACGCTTGATTAGTGTAGGCATAATCTGGTAAAACATGCTTAGTCGTGTCCAGCATCCTAACACCAGGGCTTTCTAGATCACTTAGCTTGCTGTCTTGTTGCTGTCCAGATGTGATGTGGTAAACAGGGCTGTTTAGTCCATGTGGTTTGTGGTCTTGTGGCTGCCCAGGTGTGGTGATGTGGTACACTGATGAAGACTAATGAAAAGAAAATACATATAAATGTTAAAGTTTGGAGATGAGAAAACTGGTGGTATAAAATAAGAAATGATGAGTTCACATTAAAATATATATTTCATTGGGCAAAGAGGATAAACACAGGACTCATTAGAGAGGAATATGTTAACACTATGGAACAAAAAAAATTTCAGAAAGAAAAGATGGCACCATCAAAGTTGTAGGGTTTCTTCTTCTTTGTCATAACAACTTCAATACAATGATCAATTCAATAAATAAAAAACTTCAAACACTAACCTTTCTCCAGCTCTTGCAAGAATATTTGTAGTATGTCCGTTCATCTATTTCCTTCCCTTTATTGCAGCCTGCTCAACGTATATATAAATAAGTCATATATATAAATACATATTTTCATGTCTTTTTATCTTTGACTCACAATATAGGACAGACACTATCATGGCAACAATTATATGACTTACATGTGAGGGCAGACACTATCATGGCAACAATTATATGACTTACATGTGAGGGCAGACACTATCATGGCAACAATTATATGACTTACATGTGAGGGCATATCATGGCAACAATTATATGACTTACATGTGAGGGCAGACACTATCATGGCAACAATTATATGACTTACATGTGAGGGCAGACACTATCATGGCAACAATTATATGACTTACATGTGAGGGCATATCATGGCAACAATTATATGACTTACATGTGAGGGCATATCATGGCAACAATTATATGACTTACATGTGAGGGCAGACACTATCATGGCAACAATTATATGACTTACATGTGAGGGCAGACACTATCATGGCAACTACTATTGAAATAATGAGAGCAAGTGTTGCATAGTGGATATAAGACAGGCGAACTGGAGCACTATGTGAAAAAAAAAGAAATTTTATAAATTAAAATAATTACTTGCTAGATATACAGGTTATAAATATAATCAGTTTAAATTTATATGAAAGTAAATTGGATTTGGAAATTCTAAAATACAGGATTAAAAACAAAAAAACAATGAAGAAAAACACTATACAAGTAACATTTAGATTATATATATATATATATATATATATATATATATATATATATATATATATATATATATATATATATATATATATATATATATATATATATATATATATATATATATATATAAGGGTCCATGTTATGGGCTATGGTCTGGTCTATATATTTAGAGTCTATATAATATATATTATATAGGCCTATTATCATTTTAATCGAAATTCATAAAAAACTATTTTTTTTTTTATTTCTAAATTTTAATACAAATATCAGTGTTTTATTTTAAACAAAAGCTGCTTTATTTAACTAATTAATTTGCTTGCATATCTTAAATCATCCCAATAGTAATAGTGTACAGTGTACACTGTACACTACTGACACAGAATATGAAAAAAAAAACAACTCACGCCTGAGTTATGGGGATTGATGAATCATTGAAGTTGATGTTTGTGCCCACAATTTGAAAAGTATTGTTTGTGTCTTGACTGGTACAGCCATCTGTTCTCAAAGGGAGATCAATATTTGGCCCTGGGGTTAGAATTGGTTCGATTCCCACATACAAGGATACAGCCAAGCTTGTTACAAGTCCTGCTCCAGCCCCCTAAACAATAGAATTCAAGTTTTAAATTAACCATGGGAGACAACTCATTGCATAGTTTACAAGCAAGTAAAACAGGGCCTAGCAAAGACCATCTTTCGGTTATCATGATTAACTTACTTGCCACATTTGTTTACAATGTACTTAAATGAAGGATATGTAATAAAGTCTAAGATTAATGTATTCATATTTAGGCCCAATTTTTATGAAGTGTTGATAAAATTGGAAATATTATAAAAAACATAAAAAATACAAAACAATAGGCCTATTTAAAACCTACTAACTTTTGTTTTGGGATAGATCTAGAATAGATCTACGTCAAAATCAAAGGGTCAATATCTTTTGTTTTACATAGGGGAGATAATTCGTATTCAAGAAATTACATAGTATAATAGAGTTATAGAACATTACCTATAACAAAAAATATTGCATATGAAGAACCTACCCAGCTATTTACAAAAGGTATAAATATCCCGTTGATGATAAGACCCAGCAGGGGTCCACCGATGACACCAAAAACTATGAAGGACAAGGCCAAAGACGTTCTGCCCAAGAGGTCAGCACCATATGTAAGTCCAATCGTGACAAAGCCAAATAGAATCGCTGGGCGAAACAAACAAAACTTATAACCTGTGTACTCTCGTAACATAGGAGACACGGCGTTATAGAAACAAAACTTATTATAACCTGTGTACTCTCGTAACAATAGGGCTGGTAAGTAGGTCACCAACCAGTTTTACGGCTCAATAAAACCTGCATGAGCCATAGAACTGGTTGGCGACCTACTTACCAGCCCTATAGGAGACACGGAGTTATAGAACATTTGCATGTTTCTAAACTACAAAAATTAATTAGGAAAATATTAAATGTCGATCGTGTATGTACTTTTATGACAGCTAATCTAAATTTAAACAAAAATAAGTCAATGTATTAAAATTGGTCAGTTTTGAAAAACTAACTTAAATTAAAAAAATTTTCAAAAAAAAAAAGTTAAAATGTTTACACGAGTTATTGGCCTTGGCTCTAATAATAACTGAATATCTACATCTAATGCACGTCATCAATGTTCAGTAACTCTCAACATCTAATCCACGCCATCAAAGTTCAGTAACTCTCAACTTACTTAACACAGTGGCAGCTATCGTGGAGACACGCTTTGATGGACTCTGCTTGTGAACTCGTGAGTGCCAAGGTTTGTAGAGGTCTTCTAAGGTGACAGCAGCCAGTGAGTTCACGCCCGAGGACACGGTACTGTGGGATGTGGGTGGGGGGGGGGGAGATGTGTGGGGTTAGTTAGTATAGATAACCCAAGTTTTAAACTTAAGAAAGGGAGAATCAGTAGTAAGTACTGACCGAAGTGATGACAACACTGCTAAACACGTACCTTATTGACGCACCAAAAATAGCTGCTACAAACAACCCAGGTAATCCGGGGAAAGAACCCAGAGTATCCAAGACAAACAAGGGAACTAACTGAAAAAAATAAATATATTTAAAAATCTTTAAAATATATAAAAATCTAATTTTTCTTCAAAGATTAACTGGAGTATGGTTAATCTGAGAAAAGATCAACACACCTGGTCTCGTTTAATCCCTGCCGAGAGAGGGTCGCATGTCTCATAGTAGGCGAACATGACTAGCCCTAGTAGACTGAGTATGGTCAGGTAACAGAGCCACATGGGCAGGTTCAGAAGCAGGGCCCTGGTGGTAGGTAGATGTTATGGCATAATTCAAGCACATCCCCATACACATATTGCTTTTATACCCTACCACAATAACCAACTGCTTGTATAATACAATATTGGAGAGTGCATGGATATTTATGGAGGATATATATATATATATATATATATATATATATATATATATATATATATATATATATATATATATATATATATATATTGCTAAGACGTTTAGCACCTATTCACAATCGTTTATGAGTTTATGAAAGCCGCAGTGCCACTGTGCACGTCGTCCCTACATAACAGCTTCACCCTCCCTACATAATAGTTCCACCTTCTCATCATAATAGCCCCACCCTCCCTACATAATAGCCCCACCCTCCCTACATAATAGCCCCACCCTCCCTACATAATAGCCCCACCCTCCCTACATAATAGCTCACCCTCCCTACATAATAGCCCCACCCTCCCTACATAATAGCCCCACCCTCCCTACATAATAGCCCCACCCTCCCTACATAATAGCCCCACTCTCCCTACACAATAGCCCCACCCACCACAGAGTGACAAATGTTAAAGCCTCCTCTGAAAAGACAAGCGACTCACAATTTGGACTCTCTCAGTGTCCGAACACTGGCATATCTCTGTAGGTTTGCCTGATTGGCGCCATACACTGTCATCATGTTGATGCCCCCGCCCACCACCAATGTCCAAAACGTGTGACGAACAAACGGATCGGGATTCATGCTAGAAATCATTGGAAGAACACACAAAAGTATAATTTGGTTATTAACGTCATGGAAAGTGTATGAGTATATAATTAGGATCTGTTTTATCTGTCAGTGTTTTTTTAAAAAGAGGATGAAATGGATTTTTTTCTGTTTATTTATTGATATCTAGGCTCAGATGTTTATTACTATCTTAATACTCAGTCAAACTTTCTTTTCGATAACCGTATCAGAGTAATAACGTTAAAAAAAAACAACTGATAGTTTGTTATGCTGATAGGTCACTTGTCTTTCTCGCTTTCGTTAGAAACAGAAACATGTTAGATAATTATAGAACATTGATGTCACGATCTATAAATAGATTTGTCTGCATCCCCGAGCAAATGATTAAAGAAAATCCCTTGCTAGTCGGAAATAAAGCGAAATACTAAGGGATTAGTGTAATCACGGCCTGTCAGCTGACTGATCACGTGTGAGGGATCTGCTGGATTGTCACGCTGATCGCCGCGGGGAAGTGACGTCACCAATGTCATGGCTGTCAGTGTCGCATGTCAGTGATACGTGTTACTATAATGCATCTAACCCGGACATTTCCGTTCTAAACTTTCGAATCAGTTCGACTTGTCATACTGTTTCGCTGACATTGTAGTCAGTATTTAATGTATTCACACGGGATGGTCCGCTACAAGAAGACTTTCTGTCAGCGTGTTTATACAATATTTGCAGGTTAAAGGATCTGTATTGTTTCCGCACAGTAGTTTTCTGTACACTGTCATGTACCAGGAGAGTACTAATAACAACTGACAACTATAAGCACAACATACTTCCAAAGTCATCTAGAGTTATCCCTATTGTCAACGATTCTTGCTCTCTCTTTCAAGGCAAATGTCTGTCACGAATTATATGCTAGTGTTTACTCTTCCATTCCTATGCGTACATCTGACAGCTCTGGTCAAGCGCGTGCCCCTATCACGTTCAGACCTTGTTGTTTTGACCTCTGTGACCCCCCACATTCACGCCCCTGCATACCATACGCCACAGGTTTCTCGTTACAATAACATTAATTAGTTTTCTCCTGGCCTTAAAGTAAGGGGTTAACCCCACCCCTTGGAAAGCTGTCAAACAGTGTTTGTAACTATCCTCTAGTTACACACACACAGACACACACACACTATATATATATATATATATATATATATATATATATATATATATATATATATACATACAAATATCCGTATGTATGTATTTATGTATATTACCAAGACACATCCATCAATAATTAATACATAGAATGTATTATCGGCTGTAGATATAATTTTGACTTTAAAAATAACCCCGTGAAGATAGATCTCTGTTCACGTTAAAATATCTGTCAAGGAAGTCACCGGATCCCTCCCCTGTCAATCCACAGCCGAAATAGCAGGTTAATCCGTTTTATTAATTCTTATAACCTGAGGCTTTACAAAAATTCTAAAAGGATGGCTCGGTGTCGCCTGTACTAAGCGGACATCCACGAGGCGAGAGAACTACAAAAATAACAGCTTTAAATTTACATTAGGGGACTTTACATTTGACACCATTTACGTGAACCGCGACACGTTATGTGATAGTTTAACACCAGCCATTTTTGTGACACAGTTATACACCCGCCATCTTTGATGCACTCACTCAAACCGAGGCAGCCTCGCGCCCGTCCTGGAAATGTCCCAAACTTGTGTCCAGCCTCCCACGTCCTCGGCGCCCTTGAACATGACGACCAGCAGGCCGACCCAGACGACCAGCAGACGGAAGGCGTCTGTCCACACCACGGCCTTGATCCCGCCCTGAGGAGGAAACAGTCAAGTATAAACTCTCTCTTGGTTTCAGTCACGTCTACACTCTATTTAATGAACTGTTGCTCATTTACATTGGTTTCACGATCGTATGGATTCTAAACACCAGATTAGACCCATGTAAACACACCAGCAGGTGCCAAAAGAGTGAACAGCTAGGTGATATCATTGCTGTCACTTTGTCTAGAAAACTCGACCTTTACCAACACAGTTCCAACTAACGTAGGCTATGGTTTAAGCACCAAAGAAATAAATCAAACAATAAACTAAAATTGCAATGAGGCCTGTGTTGTATAGTTTAGTTTTACCACAATGATGTGCTCTGAGGCACGTACGGACTAGTATGTATTACAGCCTGTCCCTCCATTATCTCTCCCCCCCCCCCTAACACACAACCAATGGTTCAATTAAAAATGTTTTTTTTTATCTATGCATGAAGATTGTAGTATTCGTATTTATAAAAAAATAGTAAAGTCACTTTCTGTAACAAAAGTTCACAATAAAGTATGTGTCCTGGATGTGTGTGCACATCTGAATGAGAACCACTGCCCAGACTGACATTGATAATAAAGTCTATGTCCGGGGGATGTGTGTGTACATCCGAATGAGAACCACTGCCCAGACTGACATTGACAATAAAGTCTATATGGGGTGGGGGCGGTGTGTACATCCGAATGAGAACCACTGCCCACACTGACATTGATAATAAAGTCTATGTCTTGGGTGTGTGTGCACATCTAAATGAGAACCACTGCCCACACTGACATTGATAATAAAGTCTATGTCTTGGGTGTGTGTGCACATCTAAATGAGAACCACTGCCCACACTGACATTGACAATAAAGTCTATGTCTTGGGGGTGTGTGTACATCCGAATGAGAACCACTGCCCAGACTGACATTGACAATAAAGTCTATGTCCGGGGGATGTGTGTGTACATCCGAATGAGAACCACTGCCCAGACTGACATTGACAATAAAGTCTATATGGGGTGGGGGCGGTGTGTACATCCGAATGAGAACCACTGCCCACACTGACATTGATAATAAAGTCTATGTCTTGGGTGTGTGTGCACATCTAAATGAGAACCACTGCCCACACTGACATTGATAATAAAGTCTATGTCTTGGGTGTGTGTGCACATCTAAATGAGAACCACTGCCCACACTGACATTGATAATAAAGTCTATGTCTTGCGGGTGTGTGTACATCTGAATGAGAACCACTGCCCACACTGACATTGCGTACAGACAAGAAAAAAAAACAACTTACAATCGAGGTGTACAGCGTACAGAACAATCCCATGGCTAGTATGGAGATTTCCTTCGACAGCCCAGTTACTGTAAACAATTGTTCTAAATTTAGTTCATATCAAAGTGCAACGTAAGGATGTCTGATAAAGGGAAGTAAGTACAAGGGGACTATTAACTGGGGTCAAAATAGCAATGCTGAAATTTTAAAAAAGCTAGAACTGCCTAAATTGTTTTCAATATTGACGAATTAAATTCTTACACTTATTTCACAATCATGTGTTAACAATTAAAAACATTGAAAACGTAGTTTTTTGTGTGTGTCAATAAAAAATTTGAACACTTCCGGTTTCGTCAACCGGAGTGCAGTTGCCTACCTTGACTTAATGCAACAGCAGGAGCGTACAACACGGCCGCCATGTAGGTCAGCTGGAATAAATAGATGACGTGTTAGCTACAGTTTCTAAAAATATCCGGTGTCAGACAACATTGTCTTTTAAGTAAAAAAATATTTTTGTAACGATAAAATTAAATATAAATGAAAGTTTATTTGGCTAATAGATCTAGGCAAGTCCAGCAGTGATATATGAACAGAATAATACGTTTATTATAGACAAGAATAATTAACTCACTATGATTATAGACAAGATTATACTCACAATGATTATAGAGAGAAGATTATACTCACAATGATTATAGAGAAAAAGATTATATTCACTATGATTATAGAGAAGAAGATTATACTCACTATGATTATAGAGAAGATTATACTCACAATGATTATAGAGAAGATTATACTCACTATGATTATAGAGAAGATTATACTCACAATGATTATAGAGAAGAGTATAGAGCCACTGTATCGTATGACGTAGTTGAACCTCAGCTCCAGGTACTGTTGGGTTAAAACATTTTTAATCGAGTTACGTTCAACAGTAACGTATTATTTTCAAAAGTAATATGGTATATTCAACTGTAACATGTTACGTTCAACAATAAAAGTTTTTTTTGAAAAGTAAAATTTTACATTCAATAGTATCATGTTACGTTCAAAAGTAATATTTTATATTCAACTGTAATATTTTATATTCAACAGTAACTTTTTACATTGATCAATAACATGTAACATTAAACAGTAACATTTAAAACAATGACAAGAATGTATTGACAATCTGACCGTAGACAACTTACATAATGAATATTTTAGAATCAAAATTTAACTTAAAAAACTAAAAGATATAACAGTCAACATTGATAGATGAAGTAGAGTTATTCTGTTCTCTAGACATGACATTTTGAACACCCCAACGAACCGGAGTGCCTGAGTGTTTAAACGTCACACGAAGTTACACTAGTAGTGAATCTGTGCTAATAGTGACGTCAGTGTTTCTTTCAGACTTTTTTCTCCGGGGGGGGGGGGGGGGAGGGGGCACTGAAATTTCCGAGGGGGACGGGGCGTACACTGCTAAAAGGATATATTTCCTATATAAATTCTATTTCGCTCGGGGGGGGGGGGGGGGGTCGCGAAGAGATGCATGAAAGAAACTCTGAGTGACTTCATATAAAAAATTGGAGATCTCACTGAAACAAGAATCAACTTGTCTGTGTTCCCGTTAAATTGTCAAGGCCACGGTCAAATGATGGGTCGTCTGCTAGTGAAACTCACCTCATAGGCGTTGTTGAGGTGCAGCTTGTAGAAGATGGGCAGTATGAAGTAGGCCACGAAGAGAAAACAGGGGATAAAACCCAAGGCCCACAACCACTGCTCGCCTCCCCTTGAGTAGACCTCAACGGGGATTCCCAGAATGGTGGTGGCGCTAGTGAAGGTCGCGCTCAAGGACATTGCTACCGGAAGTACTGGGAGTTTCCCGCCTCCTGTAGAAATGTTCATCAATGTTTAATAAATATTTATAAAATCAATTTTAGGGGGCTAAATTTATTTTTGGAAACAGTTCATCGATTTTCAAAGAAGTATTGCACAGGGTGTTAAAAAGATTATGTTGAATTTTTAAAAATTCAAGGTCACCGAAGTCACGTGTTTCCTTAATCACACAACAGATCTGTGCGTGACATTACAAGACATTAAAGTCCAGGTAACAAAGGGAGGGAAGTCAAATCTGCTATTTCATCCCGCCCTGATTATCAAACCTTGTTCTAATTCTGTCTAATCCCCTGCATCCATTTCACCTGATACCTTCAGTTTCTCCATAAGCCGATGTGGATTATAACGCGTATGTTTTAAGTGAAATTTAATCTGTTTGGATATTTACAATTATTTGGCTTATTTTCAACTTTGTCTAATCGTTTCTTAATCCTTTAGCAACAGCTTTTTCCCACAACAGTACAAAGTATCATGCTCAGTGTTACACAAAGTAATGCTCAGTGTTACACAAAGTAATGCTCAGTGTTACACAAAGTAATGCTCAGTGTTACACAAAGTATCATGCTCAGTGTTACACAAAGTATCATGCTCAGTGTTACACAAAGTATCATGCTCAGTGTTACACAAAGTAATGCTCAGTGTTACACAAAGTAATGCTCAGTGTTACACAAAGTAATGCTCAGTGTTACACAAAGTATCATGCTCAGTGTTACACAAAGTATCATGCTCAGTGTTACACAAAGTAATGCTCAGTGTTACACAAAGTAATGCTCAGTGTTACACAAAGTATCATTCTCAGAGTTACTCAAAGTATCATGCTCAGTGTTAGACAAAGTATCATGCTCAGAGTTAGACAAAGTATTACTTTCCGTGTTTAGGCTCCCGACCAATAGGCTCCCGACAAAATGACTCCAGACATATTGACAAAAGAAATCGTATGACCACTTTGGCATAAGCGTAACCATTTAATCCAACCCACCAAAGACACGCAGAACCTACATACACTACCACCATCATCTCTTTAAATGCCTGAATGAAAAACTCCGGGAACTAGCAATTAATAAACAAACCGAGATTTAAAATTTTGACGATGTTTTATTAACCTCCGATTGCTTACGTTAAAAGCGAGCACAGAAGTTTAAATGTATGACATATATGATGTTTACAGGATGAACGACGGGTTGTTTGAATAAACTACAAACAAGGTTACTTATGACGTCACTATGTGAAACAAACGGACTTAAGCTCGGTGGAGTTGAGATTTTCGGAATTGCAATTGTGTGCTCTACTGCTCCACCACGCCGCTACATCAAAACATTAATTAATTAATTAATTAATTAAGATGGACGATTAAAGGGATTAAATTGACTATAACACAATACAAGTTGACCTACCGGTTATCATGTCGTTGGCTCCAGACTTCTTTTGTCGCCTTGACCTGATGCCGAAGACCAGCCCAACGACTGAAGACACGGCCAGGATGACACTGAACACCAGGTAGTCCTGCCACTTGAAGGTCACGAACGTGCTGGCCCCCATGACGATTAGAAGCTACACTCACACACTACACACGTTTGTTTCGTTGGTTTATATTCGCCCTGAATGATTCCTACTTTTGAAAAAAAATATTTCAGGATGAGATATCAAACAAAGCTCTCACAATAGTACACATAATTGTCTCTTTTACATGAGATTAGAATGATTCCCACTTTTACAGAAAAATATATGAAAAAGATATGAAACAAAGCTCTCACAATAACAATCAAATTTGTTTCAGTGTTAGATTCGGTTTGAATGATTCCGAATTTTAAAGAAAAAAAAATGTCGGAGTTGGATTTCTAACTAATCGCTCACAGTGGAACAAACAATTGTTTCGTTGGTTTATTTTCGATTTGAATGTTTGCAACTTTTAAAGAAACAACTTGTTTATTTGTGAGGTGATCGATGTCCTGTCAAGTAAGAACTTGACCATTGGTTTAAACATGGCCTTCTGACGGAGGTATCCGTCGTTGTTTGTCATACTTACATGTGACTGTCATACTTGCATGTAGCTGTTACCTCTACAGTGCAACAGTCACAGCCTACAAAAACATTGCGTCACTAATGTCAATTTATACGGAGCTGTGACTGACAAAAAAAAACTCACATGGGCGTCCTCGGATATGTTTTAAGATGGGGTTGGTGATTGTCTAAAATTTCCTATGTTTTTGTTTATGAATATAACTTAAAAATTGTATACTGTTGTGGGCTGCTTATACACCCTTCATCTTAGCTTTCAACAACCGTTCTTTCACCACATATACAGAAACAATAAACCGGGAGTGATCTCCCCTAAACTTTCTCGAATATTCTTATATGAAACAACAGGGGATGGCAACTCGGGATATAGATCTAGACATGATTTTTAATCCATTTTAAATACTTAAACTTTTAAAAATAAAATAGAATCTCATAGAAAAAAGTATTGCACACCAAGCGAACGCCGAATAAAGATGTTCATAATGGTGCGCAATATTATAAGTATGGCCTACTTTATAAATTCACATGCGTTTTTTTGAGAAATCGGAAATAGCAAAAATTACTACTTCTGGTCAATGGATATTACTCAAAATTTGACAGAAGACAGAGAATAAGATATTTTACTTCCATGTGAAATTTCATTTATCCATCTGAAATAGTACTCAAGTTATAGGCTTTTAAAAAAATTGAAAGTAGAGAAAGTTCCACTTCCGGTTATCGGAAATTGCGCAAAAGTTGATACGGATCTACGATTTTGATATAATATTTATAAATGAAATTTCATCAACCTAGCTGTAACGGTACTCAAGTTATCGTGTTTACACACACACACACAGACACACATACACACACAGACATACGGACAAGAATGCGAAACTATGTTTTTCCGACCCAGGGAGGTGTAAAACGTCGAGATTTGCAAAAATCTTGATTTTTTTTTGCACGATTACAAGACTTTCTCTATACTTCGTATATACGAGAAAGAAAAAATACACGCATCTAGAATTAGATTTTTGAAGTTTATGTTAAAAATTTAAACTTTTACATTCTGTAGGTTAGAAACAAGAAAAAAACGAAAGTTCTGATCAACTCACCAGATAGTCAATGTTTTGTGTCTAATCTCGAATGTTCTTATCACGTATACCACACGCGTGTAACTTTCACTAATACCGTCCACAACAACAACAGAAATGTAACTAACAAAACTGTCAGCACAACAGATCAAAGCAATTAACAGCACGACCACGAACCACTGACTGCCACACCACCGATAGGCGACCAGCAAGTGCCACCCATCCCCTCCCCTCACTACAGGTGGGCTATTGATAGGCTGTGATTGATTTCTGTGGCGTCACAACAGCGGCGTGACGTTATTGGATGGTCAGAAAGGTGTGATCTATCAGGAAATGTTCTCACGGGATAACCCAGGAGGAGTGGTCGTTTGAAGCTCATGAGGTGGTAGTTTGAAGCTCGCTCAGGTGGTGTTACTCATGAGGGGGTAGTTCAGACACCTCTCATAAGGTGATAGTTCACACCTCTCATGGGGGGGGGGGGTAGTTCAGACGCCTCTCATGAGGTGGTAGTTCAGACACCTCTAATTAGGTGTTAGTTCAGACACCTCTAATGAGGTGGTAGTTCAGACACCTCTAATGAGGAAAGTCAATGTGGTTAATGCGAATCTACAGGCCGTGAGTTGTGTGATGGTTATCAAAGACTTGAAACTTCGAGAATGTATTGTGACTGTTGTGTACATATGTAATAACGTCCCCCACCCTACCATCACAAAACCATCGCCATCAACTTTTCATAGCGTAATTGAGATGGTAAATGAGAGGGGGGCGGCTAGAAATAAATAAGAGGGAGGGGGTTGTATTATTGAAAACAAAATTAAATGTGATTTTGATTTAAAAAAAAATCTTGACCATTGAGACTCAGTATGGCGGTAGATATATTACTAAATTTGTTTAACGGGCGGATCTATTTCATATTTTATTTAAAAATATCAAGAAACAAGATTTTCAAAAGAGCGTACTTTGACAACTAACCTACTACAGGTACTAACCACCATACATCTTTATAATAATTAACTCTAGTTACGATGATTAATTATCCCGCCCGAACAGTAGACATGCCTGTCAGCTATTTCAAAGTTTAACGACCTACAAAACGTAATGAGTTAATCTCATTAATGACATAAATTTCCCCGTTTTCTGCTGAGCGCTACATTCTACTCTTGTTGGCAGATGGTTGCTCGGTCTTGAGGTGAATTAGTTTTTAGTAAAGTTATTCAACTACAGATGAAAAAAAGCTTATTTTTACTTTTGGGAAATTAAACGTATTGTATAACTCCCCAGGTAGACCTTAGAGTCCATGCCATAGAAAGACAAAAGGGGAACCAGCAATCTCACCGCGAAAAAAGGCCACAAAAATAAAAGAAAACGTTGGTCTGAAAGATACTGGCTGCTATGGACAAAATAACTTATGGCATTCGCCTCCAAGATGGCTGGCACGGGTGAATGGCTCATGACAGAGAAACATATAGAGAACTCTGGACAGCCTCAGTTGACGGCCCATACCTCAGCAGGACAGTGAACTCAGGAGGGGTGTAGGACATAAGGCCTTATGGTTTTGTCGGCTTTATGGTTTGTCGGCCTTATGGTTTGTCGGCCTTATGGTCTGTCGGCCATTTGGCTGTCTGCCTTTTGGATGTCGGCCTTATGTCCCGTCGGCCTTTTGGCTGCCGGCCTTTTCCCGGGTCAGCGTTTTGTTCAGGTCGGCCTTTTGTCCGGATCCCCTCTGGAGAGCTGTAGTTGGTGGCCCATACTCCAGCAGGACAGTGAACCCTACACATCTCTGTTGGCGGGCGTGTGAGTACCTTCTGGAGGCTGAAGGTGCTGGAACTCTTTTAAAATGGACTGCGCTCGGTGACTCAACCGACATTAAATTTAAACATTCTTGTCATTACCCCCCTCCCCTCTGAAAGTTTGAAAATGCTTCCCCCACCATAGCAAAATGTCTGAAAGGAACCACGAATGCATGCTAATAATACATTAGTTCTACCACTAGCGTGTATTTATATTTTTAATTGTTTTGATTATAACTGAAAAGTTTTGCTGTTAAAAACAATTTAATCTAGATCTAGGCCTAGATGTTTTAGGGTTGACAAAATTAATATCAACAACCTTTAAATAAACCTCAGGTTTGTTGTGTGGTAGCTGTTTTTGACCACGATTCACGACAAACTATTGTTCCATCAGCGGTGAGGTAATCAATTACAACAGAACATGCCATAAATTCATTCAGTATAGCCCATAATTATGATGTAGCGCGGTGTATCTAGTTTTACATTAATCGCGTTTCAAATTTTCTAAGCCAGTTTGCCATAAAACAATAACGTTAGGAAATTTGTTTAAAACTGAAGCTCAAAAATAAAAGTTTTTACTTTATACAGAATATAGAGCAGTGGTTTTTTAACCTGGGTTTGATTGAACCCCAGGGAGCTCGGTGAGTCAGTCGCAGGAGTTCGGCGGAGGTCAAGACACATACACCGACTCATATGATTTGCGATGGGGTTTACAAGTATGAAACAAAATTGTAACGTAACGTTCTTTCAACGTTTGAGGGATTTCTGCTAACCGGAAGTTTTACTTACTCTACTGCCGGTTTCTGAAAAGCAAACAACTTGTTCCGCTTAAGTTAGGTGAACGAAATTTCAGTTAGATTCTATAAGGATTAGCTGGTATGCGCAGATTTCTTTCAACTTTGGAACGATTTCCTGTATCCAGAAACGGTATTTTACTCTAATATTTTCATGGGAACAAGACAATTTAAGTACGTTTAAAGTTAGCTAGATGAACGTTCATATATAAGTATAAGATCTTATACTTTGGTACTTGGATTAATCTCAATACCAATAACATTGGCACCGTTTACGGTAGGTAGAAGAAATTAAAAAAATATGTAGGCCTTTAAGATTTTACTCTCTTGATTCATACCAATTTTGAATGATCTCAGGTGACCGGAACTACTACTTTAATGCTATTTCCGATTTCTAAAAGACATAAGAAATTGATAATTTGATATCAATTTAGGCGCTTAATGATTTTTCCTTCGTGATTTTATTCTATTTAAAGTGTTTGTTAGCAGAAAATAGTGCTCTCGCCCCATTTCCAATTCCTAAAAGACCTTCAGAATTTGATAATTTTATTTCATTTTCTTGTTATCGAAAAAATAAATACACCTCTAAAAACAACAAAACACGAGCGGTTTTGTCAAAAAGATCTGAATTTCAATAGCCAGATTGCACAGAAAAGGTCATCTTACTTACTGTTAATATATTTAAAACAGAATATTCGAAAAAGTGAAAGGGAGATCACTCTCGCTTTCAATTCGGCAAGAACTTTTCATCTTTACAAAAAATTATTTTATTTTGTTTGAAGTAGCGACAGCTTTTTTTTTTTAGTTTCGGTATTTACATATCCATAACTTAACTGTTTAAAAAAAAAATGTCTGAGGGGTAT